AGGGTGTGGATCCCATGGAACTGGAGTTATGGACAACTATAAGCCACCATGTGAGTGCTGGGAACTAAACCCGAGTCCTCTGCAAGAGCAACAAGTGTTCTTAACTACTTAGCCATCTCTCCAGCCCCAAAATCATTTTCAGTGTAATATTTTCATTAAATCTCTGAAATTTTCATACATTCATATAATGGATTTAGTCAAAATTATTTCTAAGTTGAGGAATGATAAACAAGGTAGAAGCAACGTGGGATTCAGGCTGGGCATGTAGTACAGTTGGAAGAGTGCTTGCCAGCACAGAGCTCTGAGTTTGACCCTCTGCACTACATAAACCCAGAGTGGCAGTGTATGCCTGTAATCTGTGACTTGGGAGGGCAAGGCAGGACTATCAGATCGTCTTCAGCTACTAGTTTGAGCATGGTCTCAAAAAAGGAAAGAAAAAAATGAAATGTGGAATTGAATTAAGGATATTTGAATAAATTTACTCTATGCTGTTTTTTTTCAATACTGATCTCAAACCCAGGGCTCAAACTCAGTGCTCAGTAAGCACTTTCCCACTGAGCTAAATCCTCAGCTCTATAATAGTAAAGCTAAGTTAAGTAAATGCTTAGGAAAATTAGAATACTAAGCAAGATGCAAGACAGAATATAAATAAATCATGTCAAAATAACAGTAGCAATTAACGTTGATAATGGTACCTGACTCTATTAGTTAAAGACAGGCTGCCCCAGTTGTTAGAAAGATTCCTACTATCAGAAGCTACTTCAAAATGTTACCCTGACATAATTGATTCTAATTGTTAATGAATAAATGTATCGATCAGATTATACTTATTTAGTTAATTTTTCGATGTAAATATTAACTTGAACCTCCTTTGAAATTAATACATAAATCCAAAATTATAGTTTAGGCTTACTTTAGCAACTCCTTTAGTTTCCTCATCTGAACAAATGGCACAATAATACTAATATAACTGCTTTTTTTCAGCTTTTGTGAGAATTAGGGGAGAATTCATGCAACTTTGCGGGAATACAACTCTGCTTGTGTGGAGGCCTGAAACTTCAAGTGATAGAGCAGTTAGCTTACCCTGACTATCTAACATGGCAGATTTCTTTGTCTACTCGACTGGAAGGAATACATGGAGTGATCATATTCTAATCTGATCACAGACTTCAGGTAGGCCTTTTATGTGTCTCCAGTTCTGTCGTGCTCTTAGGTGTCTGTTTTATAATGTCTCTCCTCTGTGTGTGTGTGTGTGTGTGTGTGTGTGTGTGTGTGTGTGTGTGTGCACTACACATTTTTTTTTTATTCCATGTAGGCTAGGCTGGTTGTCCAGCAAATCCCAAACCCCAAGGGTGTGCCTATCACTGACTCTCACCACCATGCCTGTTTTTGTTTGTTTGTTTTGTTTTTTGCTTGTAAACATGGGTTCTTGGGATCAAACTCCAGTCTCCATGCTTGCAGTATAAGCATTTACTGGACCATATTCCCTGGCCATCTTCACACCTCTGTCACTTCTACTCATTGTTACTCAATGACGGTCTTGCTAGTAAGGTCACTGAGAAAATAACAACTGTATGTATTATCTACTGCCCAACAGCTGTTCCAAGATTCTTCCCTTGATAACTAGAGAGAAGCGATCCTTGATCTTAAAAAGGCCAAGTTTCTCTGTTTTCTTGCTCATGTCACACTGGTAGGTCTGCCCTCTTCTGCATTGTCCAGTGCTTTTTTCCCATTGGATTATTCCCATGAGCAAGGATGCTGTAATGCATCCCATGCATAGTAGACAGAATAATGGTCTCTCAAAGACACCCATATCTGAATCCCTAGAAGCTTTGACTGTTGGACTACATTGCAAAGAGAATTAGAGTAGACAATGAAATTAAAGTTGCAAATGAGCTGGGCTTAAATTAGGGAGATCATCCTACATTGTCCCACTGGGACCAGTGTCACAGAGTTTTCAGAGGAAGGCAGAGAGAACCAGACATCAGTGTGACTGTAGGTAAAGAAGTTGACTTCAAGGGATGGGAGGAGCCAGGAGACCAAGCCTTTAGCAGATGGGTCTTTGGTGAACACTGGCCTAAACTGTAACACTTAACTCTTTTCTTTCTTTTTCCCAGAGGAAGAGATTGTATGCACCCTGTGGAACTTCCCAGCAAGGCTCAACCCCACATTGAGATCAGGATCCTAGGAAACAGTTGCATTGCCCAGCACAGGTAAGTATGTTCCAGCTTTCGCTGAGTTCTCCTTTCCCGGAGAAGCAAAGGCAGACGAAAGTACTCATCTATCTGTAACCTGTCAGAGGTGAGATGTCCACCCTGAGCAGTTTCCTTTTTTAGAACAAACTGCCCCAGAAAAGGTGCTGATCAGTTTATGAGCAAGAACAAAGTAGGACAGCGCTTTCTAGATTAAAAAGCCCAGGAAATCCATCTAGAGACAACTTGGGAAGGAATTCAGCTCTAGAGCTTTAGAGGCATGAAGCGGTTCTTTTTTTTTCTTTAAAAAAAAAGATTTATTTATTTATTTATTACATGTACAGTGTTCTGCCTACATACCAGAAGAGGGCACCAAATTGAATTGTAGATGGTTGTGAGCCACCATGTGATGGGAATTGAACTCAGGACCTCTGAAAGAGCAGTCAGTGCTCTTAACCCCTGAGCCATCTCTCCAGCCCTGGTTCTTTCTTTCTTTCTTTCTTTCTTTCTTTAAATTAGAAACAAGCTTGCTTCACATGTCAATCCCAGTTCCCGCTCCCTCTCCTCTTCCCCTGCCTCTCCAGCCCCTCCAGCCCCCACCCAATCCCCACTCAGCTCCCCAGGGAGGGTGAGGCCCTCTATGGGGGATCTTCAGAGTCTGTCATTTCATCCAGAACAGGGCCTAGGCCCTCCCCTATGTGTCCAGGCTGAGAGTGCATCCCTCCATGTGGAATGGGCTCCCAAAGTCTATTTGTATGCTAGGGATAAATACTGATCTAGTACCCAAGGCCCCAGAGATTGCCAAGGCCTCCTCACTGACACTTATATTCAGGGGGTCTGGATCAGTCCCATTCTGGCCCCTCAGCCATCAGTCTGGGGTCCAAGGCCCCCCCCCCCCCGCCTTGTTTAGGTCAGCTGTTTCTGTGGGTTTCACCAGCCCAGTCTTGACCCCTTTGCTCATCACTCTTCCCTCTGTCACTGGGTTCCAGGAGTTCAGTTCAGTGTTAGCTGTGGGTATCTGCCTCTGCTTCCATCAGCCACTGGATGAAGGTTCTAGGATGGCATATAAGGTAGTTGTCAATCTCATTATCAGGGAAGGGCATTTAATGTAGTCTCTCCACTATTGCTTAGTTTGCCAGTTGGTGTCATCCTTGTAGATCTCTGGAAATCTCACTAGTGTCAGCTCTCTCCTCAAACCTATAATGACTCCTTCTATTATGGTATCTCTCATCCTGCTCTCCTCTGTTCTTCCCCCGACTCAGCCTTCTGGCTCCCCTCATGTCCTCCTCTCCCCTCCTCTTCTCCTCCTCTCTTTTTCCCAGCTCCCTCTCCCCTCCTCCCATGCTCCCAGTACACACAGGAGATCCTGTCTTATTCACCTCCTCTGGGGTACCATGCACATCTCTCTTAGGGTCCTCCCTGTTTCCCAGACTCTCTGGCAGTGGGATTGTGGGCTGGCATTCCCCTGACCCATGTCTAAAATCCATATATGAGTGAGTACATACCATGTTTGTCTTTTTATTACTGGGTGTGTACCACGACAGCCTGACTTGAATTAAAGTATTTTTTTTAAAATCAAATCTTCTTTTTTAGATTTACTTATTATGTATACAATATTCTTCCCAAAAGCCAGAAGAGGGCACCAGAACTCATAGATGGCCATGAGCTACCGTGCGGTTGCTGGGAATTGAACTCAGGACCTCTGGGAGAGCAGTCTTAACCTCTGAGCCAACTCTCCAGCTCCAAATTAATTATTCTTTTTTTAATGGACAATGTGATAACAATAAACTGTATCTACTAAGGAAAGTCTCTTAGAACTAAGTGAGGCAAACGTAACCAGAGTTCCTGAAGCAAATGGTTTCTGAAGTTGACAGATTGTAGTCACCCATTTCCTGTTTATTGTCAGTGTGCATACCTACCGTGTGTATATGTGTAAGAGTGGGGTGTATGCATGGAGGCCAGGGGACAGCTTGCTGGAGCTGGTTCTTCCTGTCCCTTAGCTGTGGTGTTTGTCTTGTTCATCTAGCTGTGCTGAGTCCTCCAGGTCCCCTGGCCCACCAGCTTCCTGATGATCCCCCTGTCTCTGCCTGTCCTCGCTGTGGGACTCCAGGGGTTACAGGTTCTGTTGCGTTCTGGAATTACAGATGCGCACCTTTGCTCCAGGCTTCTTTTCACACGGATTCTGGGGATGGAACCTGTGCCGTGAGGCTAAAAGCCTCTTCTTCATTACACGGTGGAAGAAACAGAATTGGTTGGAAACAAAGACTGACCCTGCCCTTGAGTTTGGAAGGACACAATAAAAAAGCCCTGAGGCTTTTGCTAGTAAACAAGGGATTAAATACTTGTACCTGGAACTGTGATTTATTTTGTAAATGTTCCTAAACAGAAGAGGAACAGCGAGTGTTCACTGGAGTGAAAACTCCACCACATGGTACTTCTGGTCAGCCTCAGGTTCTTTCTTTCCTGCCATGTCATTTGGCTGTGGTTCGTGCACACACAAAGCCACGTCTTGGCAGTGAAATTCCATGAAGTCCATTTTGAGGATCAGATTCCTACACCTGTCTTTAGCTCTAAACACAGGCCACGCCTTGCATCGCACTTTTAAATGTAAAGCAACAAAGTATTGGACACAGCCCGTGTAACCCAGTCAAACTGCTCTATTTGGTCTAATCAGGCCACACTCATTGAGCCACCAACCTAATCCTCCTGCTCGTGCAGCTTCCTGCTATACTCGTCTCTTCTGGGTCTGGGACAACCCTCCCCATGTGCTGCTATATTTATCTGCCTTCTTAGCCATAAAAGGCTGGCTGTGGGGCCCTGACATTCTGTTGCCTGACCACATGCATTATTTTTGAACTGGCCCCCAGATCCTGCCTCTAGCCCTGCCTCTTAACTTTTCCTGGGAATCAGCCACCTAGGGTCTTCATTTCTACCCTCCTGCTCCCTGGTCACAGCAGTGGAACATCCATCTGCCTGCAATCCCTGCCCCCAGAGACTGGTAAGTGTGACACCGAGGCAGCAAATGTCTGTCTTCTGAGCTCAGCAGGGAAATGACCGAGGGAAGGGAGAGCAGGCCTGCTGGGTCCAGTGGCTATTTAGCCGTGTCACTATATTCTTTTGAAATGAAGCTGCTATTCCTGGAACTATAGGATCATATTGTCTCAGATTCAACTCAAGTCCTCCCTCCACGTTCTAGTTCAGTAGTTAGTTTGAAATCTGGACTGGATGAGGGGTGAAGTGTTTTCCCTCCTCTGCATGCCTGCAGGTCTGCCTCCCCGAATGCAAATCAGGCTAGAAGGATACAGATTCTCTTTAAAGCCACCGGTTCATGATCCAGCGACTTTGCCCTGAAAGGGCAGTGTGGCCGAACTCTCAAGTGCAGTGTGTTATTTCTGACTTGAAAATGGTTGGGTGCTCGAGGGGGGCAGGGCCTAGCACTGTGACCCTGAAATCATCGCCTCGTATAAGTAATTTCCATCAGCTTTTGGCCTCTGCTGCCAGCATTAAGAGAACTGGAGCAAGATTACAATTATGGAGTTGGTATTTCTTCCTGAGCTCCCAAATTATTTTTAGGAAGACCACAAAACCATCTTTCTTTCTAACAAATTCTGACTGTCTTGTGTTGTGCTAAACCTGGCACACTTAAGAAAAAGGAGGTGGTTATACCATCATTCCAAAGGTCAGTCAGTCCTGGTGACTTAAAGGCAAGCCCCGTTTACTGGTAATACGTGACCCCTATGTACTAAGCAGCAAATACTAATAAAGTAAATATACTTGGGGCAGATAACAAAGAGTGGAAAATAGAATTAGGGCGAGACATTTAAATAATCTGTCTTGTGAAAATGATAGTGTTTTGAATCATCCGAGTAGTGGTGTTGGTTTATAATGCAATGTAATATAATGGATCATATGTAATTGTAATGTAATATAGTGAAAGTTATTATTTGTAAGTCATTCTGATGGCACCGTTACAGAGTCTTCTCTAACACTTTATGACACTAATGCCATTCTAGATAAATGTATCCTAACCCTTTATACTCTAAACGTTATCTAATAATTATTCATTAAGTGCAATTCTGAATGCTTAGTAACAGAAACAGCAATCTACTTAAGGATTGAAACCAAATTGCTTGCTAGTAGCTATTTTTTTTTCTTCTTAGGAAATGCCATGTAGACAGGTATTTCTGGATTTTCTTCTTTAGAGAGTATATTTGACCTTTCAAGTCACTTAAATAAAATTTAGTTTTAAATTTGACAAAAATTAAAAGGACTCACTCCTCACTTTAAGCAAAACAAGGTTTGAAGAAAAAAAAAAGAAAACCTTTACTTGAGGAACAATTTTCTTACATATTTTTGAAACTAGTATTTTAGGATATTGTGCATAAGAGTATTTTTTTAAAGCCCGTTTGCCACACGGCTGATGTTTTCCTTTCAGTGAACACATTATTATTTGCAAGAGGGAATGTGGGGGCTCCATGAGTAAAGAAGGGCACTTCCTGCCAAGCCTGGTGCCCTGAGTGCCATCCCCGGAGCCCACATGACGGGAGGAAAGAACTTATACAAGTTGTCCCTGCCCTCCGTGTGCATGCTGTGACACACATGCACCCCACACAAGATAGACAGATGCAAAGAAGAAAAGTAAATGTGATGGGAAGCCTCCCTTCCCCTCGCCCCCCCAAGCTGAACTAATAGCTCAAGTTCACACTGCCAGCAGCCACACCAAAGGCCTGATTCCTTCTTCTTTATATAGCAAGAATCAAAGTCACCGTATTCTAAATGGGATAAGTACTTTTTCTGGTTTGAAAGTTGCCAAGTGTTTGCAGGATTTGGGGAGAACTTGTTGTGCTCATAAACATTACTAGACCCCGTTCCAGTGCTAAGGCTGTTGTGTTTGTAGCCATCCTCATCTGTCTTCTCCCAGCTCCGAAAGGGTATCACTGTGCAATATTAGCTGATCTGAAACTTGGAGGGACAGGCTGGTCTCAAACTCACAGAGATCCACCTGCCCATGCCTCCAGAGTGCTGGGATTAAAGGCGTGCACCCCCCCCCCAGTCTTCTCGGTTTTCAGTTTCACCTACATGTGGTTGACTCCAAGATTTAGATGTCCATCCTGCACTGTGACCCTGTACTCGAATGTCACATGTCTAGCTTCCCAGTTAAAACGTCAGCTGGAGGGTAGAGCAGGTACCTCACATGTAGAACGCCTCTGATCAGTCTCTTGGTTTCTCCATCCCAAGATGATACTTTATTCCCTTCCCCATCTCAGATAATGGTAACTTCACTCTCCTAGTTAGGCAAAAATCCTTGGGACACTTCCTTTTCCTTCATGTTCTGATTTGGAACATCCAGTGAGTGCCATTGGCTGTACCCTCTTCAAACCATGTGCAGACTCAGAGGGAGTACCGAAGTGGCCTTTGTACTTCTCTACTAGAGCCTTGAGAACAGAGTGTAAAGGACCAGATATCTAACCCACAGAAATGTTTTTCCTTAAGGTTCTGGAGCCTAGAAATCCAAGGTCAAGTGCTGTAGATTTGGACTTTTTTCTTTAATAAGGCTACTCATCTAGAGGACTCGGGTTCAGCACTGACATGGCTGCTCACTGCCATCTGTAACTTCAGTCCCAGAGGATCTGACACCACTCTGTGTCTACCACAAGTGCCAGGCACACACACCATGTGCAAACATAACATACAGGCAAAACGTCAAGACACGCAAAATAAAAGTAAAGATAAGACAATGATGAAGAGGGGTTGGAGAGATAGCTCAGAGGTTAAGAGCACTGACTGCTCTTCCAGAGGTCCTGAGTTCAATTCCCAGCAACCATATGGTGACTCACAACCATCTACAATTCAATCTGGTGCCCTCTTCTGGTATGTAGGCAGAACACTGTATATGTAATAAATAAATAAATCTTTTAAAAAAATGATGAAGAGCTGGACGTTAGTGGCGTGTGCCTTTAATCCCAGCACTCGGGAGGCAGAGGCAGGCGGATCTCTGTGAGTTATAGAGCTAGTTCCAGGACAGCCTCCAAAACAATACAGAGAAACCCTGGCTCAAACAAACAAACAAACAAAACCAATGATGAAGCTTCTGACTGCTTGTGGATGGACCATCCTCCACAGGGTGGGTGCTCTCCATGGTGAGTCCTCTGTTATTGTTCAAATACTGCAGTCCTCATGGTTGGTCACTCTGTCGTGTGTTTAGACGCTCCTAATTTTATTTTATTCTAGGGATTACCAACCCTGTTGGGCTAGGGCCCACCTGAATGAGCTCATTTCAGTTTAATTTTTCCTTTCAGGCCCTGGTTTTCAAATGCACTCTTATTCTGAGGGATCAGAGGCACTTTAGCATATCACTCTGGGGAAACGGGTATGATTCACCCCAGTATAGCCCTCTAATTGATCTCTTAGCTTTCCTTCAACAATCTGTTCTTCAGACCTGAGCAAGGGCTTGTTGGTTCAGAGATTTCTAGTGGCGTCTCAGCCCTCTGAGTAAAAGCCAAGCCCTTAGCATCTCCTCGAGGGCCCTGAACTATCTACCTTTTCTCTCCTACCTGCTCTTCACCTCATTCTCATTGTCTGTACCTTCCCTGCAACCCCCTCAAGCCCTGAAGCCCCACTATCCTCGGCTCTGGCGTTTTTGTTTTGTTTTGTTTTTTTGGTTTTTCCAGACAGGGTTTCTCTTTGGCTTTGGTGGCTGTCCTGGAACTAGCTCTGTAGACCATGCTGATCTCAAACTCACCGAGATCCGCCTAGCTCTGTCTCCTGAGTGCTGGGATTAAAGGCGTGCGCCACCACTGCCCGGCTGGCTCTGGTGTTTTTCATGGATGTTCTATCTGAAGCACTCCAGACAGCCCCTGGTTCTGATGTCTGTCCAGGACGCAAGGGTACTTTAAGTTGTCCTCTCCCTCCCTCCTACTTTACTTTACTCCACGGCCTTCAGGACATCCCAACACACAACTATTAAATCTCACCATTGTCAGTGTCCTACAGAATGCTCAGTCCCCTGCTGGACAGTTGGAGGAGGGTTTTTGCTTTGCTTTGCTTTGTTTCCCCTGTACTATATCGATTCAGTAGGTGCTGCTTATCTCCTGAGTGAGTACCACTATCCCCCCCAGCGTTCCACATTCTCCCAGGTGAAGCACGCACCGGACTCGAGTGTCAAAAAGCCGGAAACAGGCACTGTAGAGTGTTTGAGAGAAAAGCGCAATAGCTGGGCAGGAGGCTTTTCCAGGCAAGAAGGAAAAGAATGCATGATGGCAGGGGGTGCGCCCGTGGGCCACCGAGGAGGGCGTCGGTGAGCACCCAGTTAGGCTGAACTTAGCCCTCCCGGTTCCCTGCCCATCGCGGTTGCAGTCTGCAGATCTCTGCATCGGCCGAGATGACTTGTTCTCTGGGATTGTCCAACCGAGAATTGCTTTCTTGCAGGTGGCCTCCTCCCCTCAAGGGCCCACGATGTCGCTGCCTTTCTACCAGAGGTCCCACCAGCACTATGATCTGAGCTACCGTAACAAGGACCTCCGCACCACCATGAGCCACTACCAACAGGAGAAGAAGCGCTCCGCCATCTACACCCATGGCTCCACCGCCTACAGCAGCCGCTCCTCGGCGGCACACCGCCAGGAGTCAGAAGCCGTTAGTCAGGCATCAGCAGCCTCCTACCAGCAGCAGGCCGCTCAGGCCTACAGTCTTGGAGCATCCCAGTACTCTCGAGAGTCTGGGGTCAGCCGGAAGACAGCCTTGGCGTATGATTATGGCTACTCCCACGGGTATGTCGAGAGCAGCCTTCCAAACCTTGGGCACATGCTGTAAATAATCATGTCTCCTGTCTCAAATATGGCAACCCTGTTGTTATACCAGGTGTGTATGTGTGTGTGTGTGTGTGTGTGTGTGTGCGTACCTGTCTTTTCTTCCCCTTTTAGTGTCGTCTCTTTGAAATTTTAGAGTTTCACGGGAGGGTCTTGCTTGAGTCATCCACTCTGGTGGTATTTCTAGAAGCAGGGAAGTTTTGGTTACTCTGGCAGCCACAGAGCCAGGAAAGATTTAGACACTCAGCAGGTTTCCTGGCTCTCATAATGTTTCTGCTTGTATTAAAAGCCAATAGAGAATTTAACATTCACAGGTACCAGGGAACAAACTTGCAGCAGAGATGCATTGGAATTTTTCAACATCTGAAAACCAATACTCTGAGTTAATATTTTCTTTATTTGGGATATTTTATACAGAAGCAGGGCCTTCTCTCCGTGAGCCTAAGAATGGTAAGAACAAACATGCATTGGGCCTAATTAGATTACTGACCAAACACAATGAGGGAGATTCTACTCCCAAACGAAAAGTTATGTTAGGATGCTAGGAAGAGAGAATTGCAGTTGAAGGTCTGCTCTGCCAAGCAAACCCAGACTCTCATTTCCATGGAAACAACAAAGTAAGCATAAACGTGAACGTTATATCCGGAAAGTTCCCGTTTGGATCTCTTTGCCTGGGGTGGGTGTTAAAGCTGCTTTCCTGACTGAGGTCTTCCAGGTGAGAGTGGGAAGTCTCCTTCTTTTAAGCGTTCTTAGTTTATTTCAGCGTGTGTATGTATGATGGCATGAGTTTATGTGTACCACTTGCATGCAGGTGCACAGAGAGCCCAGGAGAGGGTGTCAGAGCCCCTGGAACCGGAGTTTTAGGTGGTAGTTGTGAGCCACACAGTGTGAGAGTTGGGAACAGAACCTGAATCCTCTGGAGTATAAAGTATTTGTCAAGGCAACTGGAAAAAGTACCTCTCTCGGGGCATGCGAAAGGTTAGTGGGGGATGATGCAGTGGCTTGTGTGAATCCACGTGGAGCAGGCAGAAACTCCTGCATCCCTGATCTAGAGCTGTCATGTTGTCAACGACAGTGACCGCAAGGGAGCTTCTGGCAGGTTCAGTCCCAGAGCCAGAGTCTGCCAGGGTTTACCTGGAACGCACGATGGCAGCGCTCTGAAACTGCGCTCGCAATGGAACAGGATCACTTTGCAGTCTCACTTTCATAGGTCATATTCTGCCCTGGGATGCTCAGAAGGATCTCATGTTGGCTGCAAAAATGGAAATACTGTCGCTGAGGAGAATCTGTTTCTTTTAGCACTTACTTCAAATGAATTGCCTTCCAAAGGAAAATTGGGAGGAATTAACACCGTGTGTGTGTGTGTGTGTGTGTGTGTGTGTGTGTGTGTGTGTGTGTGTCTGTGTGTGAGAGAGAGAGAGAGAGAGAGAGAGAGGCAGACAGAGAGACAGAGAGAGACAGAGACAGAGAGACAGAGAGAGAGACAGAGACAAGGACAGAGAGAGACAGACAAGGAGAGAGGGAGAGAGGGAGAGGGAGGGAGAGGAAGAGAGACAGAGACAGAGACAGCATCAGTTTGTTCTCTTGAAGAATGTTCCATAGCTATCTATGTTCAAGATCCTCATTTAGGAAAGCAGCTGTCTTGCAAAGAGGAGGATTAGATGTTAAATATCCATCTTCCTGGTTTGTCTGCACCAGGCCTACAGAAGATGGTATTTTTATGATCATGAAGTTAGCTAATTTCTTGTGTATTTATTTCATTTTCCAAACATGGAAGGATGGATATAATGTTCTACATCATATGTTCAAATGATTTTATTTCTTTAGCTCCACTGCAAGCTTTTATGCTCGAGCCACTTTAACTCTACAAGGTTTATCTAGATTCTGTGCCGTGTTCTTATTTATAATTCGAGATAGCATCTCGAGTGTTAGTAATTAAACTGGCTGTTTAGAGAGGGTGGGGGAATCTTGTCGTGTAGCCCTACTCATACTTTACATAGGAAACGAACTGTAATCATTTTTCCATGGTCCACACCATATCTTGTTTCTACTGTGTATGTAGGTTAGTATTTGTAAGTTGCTTGTTATACTTGGACAAGACTGAGTTCAAGACTCTTGGTGGGAACAGAATGAGCTAGAAACAGTGCATGTGGGGAGAAAATACCAGTGCTGTCTTCCCCCCTTCATATCATGAATGTAAAAGAGGAAGAAGCCTACCATGACCTTGGAGGCATTTCTGTATGGCAGGGAGTATTGTTGTTTGTTTTGTTTTAGGACTCTAGGAGTAACATGTGCAGGCTTAGAACCTTTATAATTTCTTCGGGTTGTTCTTAAGTTTATTCAAAATGAAAAGATTTTTCCTGGTAAATGAGGCATGTCTTTGGATTGTGAACAGTCTCGTTGATAAAAATCCCCTGCATTGGAACTGCATCCCTCTGAAGTGTATGTCAGCACTAGGCTAGGTCTATTTTTACCCTCTACTTTGTAGTTAGATGTCCAACGTTAAGGTGGAAAGTACAGAGATTTAAATGTGCTCAAGACTTGGCTGACCTCAGTAAGTCTTGCTTGGAGTCAGTGTGGCTGTAGCACGGATTGGTTGCTGACAGTGTTGTAAAACTCTTTAAATGCCTTTAACTCATGGTTACATTGAGAGAAAAAAAAGACCCTAAAAGCAGCACAAACCCTGTCAGAGTGGCATTTTATGTAACAGCAGTGTCAACGATAAATATGATCAAAGGGAAATGCAAGTATGTTCACGTACTGTGTGTGCATACATGAGTGGAGGCCAGAGGTCAGTCAATGTCTGGCACGCCCTCTTCTATCGCTCTGCACATTTTTTAATAAAGAACTTGAGAGTTCAGTTGGATTAGCTGGACAGCAAGCCCCTGGGATCCTCTCATCTCCATCCAGTGCTGAAATTACGGGTACCACCTCCAGCTCTTCACATGAGTGTTGGGATCCATCTCACACCCCCATGCTTTTGCAGCAAACACTTTACACACTGAGCCACAGCCCAAGCCCACATTCTGTAACTGTTGCTTCTCTGCTTTTGTTCCATTTCTTTGGTCTTCAACTATACAGAAAGTAATATGATGTTTGGTACTTAAATACCAGAAGAGGGCTGGTGATATGGCTCAGTGGGTAAAGGTGCTTTCACCAAACCTGCTGACCAGAGTTCAATCCCCATGCCGGGGGGTGGAATGTTATGTCTCTTGGCACCTTCCTGCTGACCAGACAGTGGGGGTAGCCTGCAGGAACTATTTCACTTCGCTTGGTTTTATGTCCTATTATACTTAGTTTTTAGGGACTGGAGGTTGAAGCAAACATCCCTTTGGTTTGTTTGTTTGTTTGTTGAGACAGGGCATCACTATGTAGTGGAACTCACTAGAGTTTTTGAACTCATGGAGATCCTCCTGTCTCTGCCTCTGCCTCTTAGGATCTGGGATCACAGGCATGTGCCACCATGTCTGGCACCTATTAGATTTAGTTTTTGAAATTATTTTTTATTTGTGTGTGTGTGTGTGTGTGTGTGTTTGCTAGTCTGTATGTGTACCAAGTGTATGCCTGGTACCCAAGGAAGCCAGAAGAGCATGCCGGAGATGCTCATGAGCCACCATGCTGGGGCTGGGAACTGAACCTGGGTTTTTTGTGAGAGTACCCTTACCATTGTGTAGCGAGCCGTCAGTGTTCGCAGTTTTGGCGCTTCGGGGCTACAACACTTTACAACGATCCGAGGCAAAGGGCTATAAGGATATAAATGAATTCAAAGACAGCAGCGGCTCATTCTTACAAGGAGAATGGCGTTTATTTTTAACAAGGGTGGAGCCTCATATACCAAAGGCAGGCAAGGTGGAAAATCACCAAAGTCAGAGGCCTACATTCCCAGGGCCCTCCCGGCAAAAGTGGGCCAAAAACAGGAATTAGCATTTAGACAATAAGGATGGACAGAAAACGAACTTGCACGCAGGCCTCTCTGGGAGGAGGGGACAGAAGTGTATTGCTAAAAAGCTCCTAGTCACAAGCAGGTCAACAGACCCCCGTGGGGGAAGGGTGCAACACCATTGCACTATCTTTCCAGTCCCAGATGCAGATTTTTAATGCTTCGTGAACCTGCTTGTACATCTATGTTCATAAAAAAATATACTGGGCTGTAGTCATATCTTGATGTCTTAGTCAGAAAACACTGAGCTCACCAGATGAATTGGACAGTGCTATTTTAACATATTTTTTTAAAATATGAAGTACTCATCATTTCTTCTTTAAATATTTGTTAGAATCTATCAGTAAAAACCACTTAGGTGTCTGTTTTTCCTTGTGAGGATGTTTTACATTATTAATTCAACTTGTCAGCTTTGGTCACTCAGAGTTTTATGTTTTGGTCTTTGTAGGAATTACTCCATTACCTCTCAGCTGTCTAGTGAGTTGACACAGAAGCAGCTACACTAATTTGCTATGAGAGTCCTTAGTTTTGAGGGCTGGTTATTATGTTTCCTCTATCACTCTTGTTGGTTTTTTTTATTTAAATTTAAATTAGAAACAAGGTTGCTTTGCATGTCAATTCCAGGTCCCTCTCCCTTTCCCTCCCCTCCTCCCACACCCTCCCACCAACCCCCCAATATCCCCTCATTTCCCCAGGGAGGGTGATGCCCTCCATGGGGGTGTCCATAGTTCCTGTTTTTCCAGGGTTTTCTTTTGAGGGATCTTCACTGACATCTATTTCTGTTCTGTTTCTTATTTCATTGTTTCTTCTTGAATCTTCATTATGTCACCCCTTTCTTGTGCTTATTTTAATTTACTTATGATGTATGTTGAGACAGTACAGGATTGTCTAGGTCATTTCAGTGTAGGTATACTACTAGCTTTCTTTTATTTTGAAATGTGGCCACTAAGTTGCCCAGGCAGCCCTTAAACCTGTGATCCTCCTGCTTCAGTCTTCCCACAAGTGAAGTCTAGCCTCCATACAACACAATGAATAACTGCATACAGGTTTTAAAAAGAAATTCATTTTTTAAAAATGAAAAACCACTTCTCTATTCCATGTATTCCTGTGTCTGATTTAAGAGCCGAGTCTTAATGTTTTATCATTGCCTTTTGACTTAGAGGAGCAGATGAACAACTAACCTCAGTACTGGGAATCCTGCTTCTGCATTGTGTGTGTGTGTGTGTGTGTGTGTGTGTGTGTGTGTGTGTGTGTGTGGTGTATATGTGCATATGTGTGGTGTGTGTGCATACGTGTGGTGTGGGTGTGGTGTGTGCATATGTGTGTGTGTGCATGTGTGTGGTGTGCATATGTGTGGTGTGTGTGTGGTGTGTGTGCATATGTGTGGTGTGTGTGCATATATGTGGTGTGTGTGTGTGGTGTGTTTGTGTGGTGTGTGTGTGTTTGTGTGGTGTGTGTGTGTTTGTGTGGTGTGTGGTGTGTGTGTGGTGTGTGTGTGTGGTGTGTGTGTGTGAGAGAGCTGGGACCCGAGGTCCGTCTCCAGTGTTGGTCTCTGGAGCTCTCCATCTTCTTTTTTGTGACATAGTGTCTCATGTCCTGGATCTTGCCAAGTAGTTTAGGTTGTCTGACCAGTGAGCCTTGGGAATCCTCTGTCTCTGCCACCCAGGACTGGAATTAGAAATATACATCATCACACTTATAGTTTATGATTTTTATTTATCTTTTATTTTTATGTGTGTTGGAGTTTGACCTGCACATCTTTGTGAGGGAGTTGGATTCCTGAACTGGAGTTACAGATAGTTGTGAACTGCTATGTGGTTGCTGGGAATTGAACCTGGGTCCTCTGGACGAGTAGCCAGTGCTCTTAACTACTGAGCCATCTCTCCAACCCTCACACTTAGCTTTTAAACATGGGTTTTGGGGATTAATTTAAATTTTTTTAAAGATTTATTTACTCATTATGTGTACAGTTTTCTGCCTGCATGTCTGCAGGCCAGAAGAGGGCACCAGATCTCATTACAGATGGTTGTGAGCCACCATGTGGTTACTGGGAATTGAACTCAGGACCTTTAGAAGAACAGTCAATTCTCATAACCTCTGAGCCATCTCTCCAGCCCGATTAATTTAATTTTGTTTTCTAGCTTCAATAAATAATTTGGAAGCCAGACATAGTTGCACATACCTGTAATCTCAGCATTTGGGAGGAAGAAATAGTAGAACCACCATGATCCTAGGCCAGCCTGAGCTATATAGCAGGACATTATCTTAGTCAATCAATCAGTAAATGACCTGACATTACAAAATCATCTATTTAGATGGTAATTTTATATCTACTTCACACACTGTAAAAAAAATAACTTAGCTAGTTGTGGTGGCATATAACTTTATTACAGTATTTGGGAGGCAGAGGCAGGAAGACCTCTGAGTTCAGGGGTAGCCTGGTCAGCCAGGGATACACAGTGAGACCTTGTCTCAGATTGAAAAAAAGAAAGAGACAATAACTTGAGTATGCTGGAGAAATCATAAAAAATGTAGCAGTCTTGTGTTTCCTGTATAATACTAAGTAGTATATGACAAAATATTACTTTTGATAAAGTATTTGTTCAAGATAAAATATTAAATGGGAGCTAGTGCTATTAGCACAATCTTTAGCATCTAATTTAACTATTAAAATTCAGTTCCTGTGATTTACCTGTGAGAATGGGATAGTCTCATCTAGGGTATGTCCTATGTAATATGTTCATTATTTAAAATATTTGTCTTGCAGAAAAAAAGAGCCAACAAAAATAATGGAGTATCATAATTTCTATTGCAATCCAACATTGAAAAATGAGTGTGAAAATTTGATTGTAGAGGAAAAAATGAAACAATAGGGTAAAAATAGAAGAGTGATGAGAAAATTCCACTGTTCTCAAAATAAGAAAGGCAGCAATACACTGGATCTCATGGTTTACTGTGGAGTAATGGAGTGAGGAGGTGGAGGGAAATGCCACTCTAACTTAGGCCTGTGTAAGCACAGGTTGTACTTTGTGACCTAGGGTATAAAATGCAGTCCTTTTGCTGGAACAGTCAGCCAGGGACAGATTTCACTCTGGCTTCCAATTGGTAAGCAATCCGCAAGCTCAACTTCAAGGTTCTAACCTTTAGCTTCAATGCTGTTCCACAGAAAAGAGTAGCTATCGCCCTGGGTAGCAGAGCGTGCCACTTCCGTGTGACCACGTCAGAGGGTCAATGGTGGGAGCCCAGCCTGCACATGCAACACAGTTTTAATAGACAAGATACGCACACACCCATTCATGTGTGTGTGCTTAATGTCTACTCAGAGACCGGGCCTCTGTGCACCCTGTAAATCTTTGACCCTTATTGTTTTATACATTGCTACTTTCTTGCGTTACCCATTTTATACTGTGTGTATATTTGGCCCATGGTTTTCTAAATGTTAAAAAAATTATAGTGTGTATGTGTGAGAGAGAGTATGTGTGGTGTGTGTGAGTGTGAATGTGTATATGAGTGAGTGTGTATATGTGAGAGTGTGTGAGTGTGTTTGTGAGTGTGAGTGTGTGTATGAGTGAGTATGTATGTGAGAGTGTGTGTGGTGTGTGTGTGAGAAAGAGAGACCAAGAGATAGAGTGTGTGTGTGAGAGTGTGTATGAATGTGTATGTATGTGAGAGTGTGTGGGGTGTGTTTGTGAGAGTGTGAATGTGTGTATGAGTGTGTATGCGAGAGTGTGTAAGTGTGTGAGTGAGTGTATGAGTGTGTATATGTGAGAGTGTGTAAGTATGTATGCGAGTGTGTGAGTGTATGAGTGTGTATATGCGAGAGTGTGTATGTGAGTGTGTGAGAGTGTGTATGTGAGTGTGTGTGAGAGTATGAGTGTGTGTGAGTGTGTGAGTGTGCCTACCTGTATAAATCTATGTGCACCATGTGTGTGCAGGTGCCCTCGGATGGTAGAGGGCATTGGGCTTCCTGAACTAGAGTTACAGATGGTGGTGAGCCACCATCTGGGTGTTGGAAACTGAACCCCTGTCCTCTGCAGGAACAGCCTTCTCTGCTGCATCTCCAAGTGTTTTTTAAACATTAGGCAATGGTCAAGACTTGAATAATTTTAACTGGGCAGGTTGGTATTTCCTAAGAGATACCACCCACAGGCGTCACCTTTCAAGAGTTCTCTGGACTAGGAGCGTTAATGATGCTATTTTATTTTAGGATAGTTCAAGTCTGCAGGAGGAAATTAAGTGCAGAGAGTTCCACACAGCCTCCTGTTGTCAGTGTCCTTCATCACCTTAGCCGCCAGGGAATTTTCAGTCCTCAGTCTACACATTGGTTCCTGGGAGTCTATGCACTTGAATTCATGAAATCATTTGTCTGCATGAAAAATAGATTTTATTTAAGTCAACAACTACATAGGTTAACGCTGTTCTTCGTTTTATTAATTTTTTATGGTTTCTACTGTTTCCCACATCCCCCACGAAGCTTTTCATTCATTCAAACAGGAGCTGCCTCCTTGCACACATTTGCCTCAGCGTGCATAGTCAAATACAACTGGCCCCAGTGTTCTTTATCGTACTCACTCAACAGCAAGTGTCCATGTAGTGAGGACATATTTGATGAGTTCAGGGTTCCCTCAAAGGCTGGAATCTGCCTGCAGTGCATATGGAGAGATCTCACGGTGAGAACCTAGGGTTCTGCATCAGAGTAGCCCAGGATCCCTGTGTGGAGAATTGTCCATTTCCCATTATGTTCTAAGAGGACCTAAATACAAAATACATCAAAACCATTTATGTGCTTGCCTACAAGGCCCTGGGTTTGATTCCCAACACTGCAAAAAGAAACAAACAGACAATTTATACAGATTGCCTAAATTTTAAACACTATCTTAACCGCACAGGCTATTTGAAAATATCAATATCTTTCTCTTTTCCCTTGAAATTTTATGGGGAAGAAAAAAGATCACCATTTTTCTTCATGTCTGTCTAGAATACATTTATATATCTGCAATCTTTCTAACTCCAATTCATTTCCAAACATAATAATATTAGAGACCCAAGGTTCTAGGAGAATTCCCCGACATCATGCCCTCCCCCCCTTTGTCAAACCTTATAATATCTTAAATGCACTTTGTGCTCTGTCTCATGTTAGAAATCTTATTTCAGACTAACAGATTCCAGTCTGCTGTTAGAAGATTATTCATCCAAGTTGAGTCCCCAAACAAAGAGAGCCAAGCGGAGCCTTCTGTCTGGAGAGGAGACAGAAAACCTGCCAGGCAACTACATGGTGCCTATTTACTCTGGACGGTGAGTGTGCTTCCTCTACCGGTGAGTAATTATTACAAGGGAGGAGTCAATAGGCACTAAGGCTCATTGAGGACTCCCTGCATATTGGTTTAAAAAGGACTTAGGAAATTTGGAATCCACACCAAGAAAGGCGGGGCTGCTTGAAGTCAAGGGACTTCATTGTCAGGTATTTTTGTTGTACACAGGGTACATGACAAAAGAGAATGATGAGGACATTATGCCATTCATGTGGTCATTTGACATGGGAAGCAGAGCTTTATATGTGAGTGATTAAATATTATCTATAGCCAGTATGTGTCCAGTATAAAGAAGATTCTAAACAATAAAGTGTAAGGTTAGCAGGGTATGTAAACCTGTGGAAGGGCAAAGAGAGGAGGGTAAGAGAGGGCACTAGAGGTTTGAATATGACCAAAGTATCCCACTGTATTATGTACGTATAGGATGCCCATAAGAAGGCCTGTTAACTCTACAGAGCTAGTACATATCGATAATAGTTTTTAAAATTATGTATGTTAAAAACCCAAACTATAAAATGTTGGGGGAATGGAGAAACCTACTATGCACCAGAGTCTTATGTGACATTAGGACATGTTACATGTCTGGGCTGTGCACTACAGCAGAGTTCACACAGTCACATATGAGGTCACAGACATTTGGTCTCTGTTTCATTGTACATTGTCAGATTTTCTGGAAAAAATCATCAACTTCATTTTTTTTTATCAGAAACTAAATCGTATTTAAACATACTTTGTTGGTCAGTGATACTCCTTGGGCTGACACTTAACTTCCTTAAGCCTTGTTACCTTGTGTCTCAGATAGGAGTGATAGTGTCTACCTTGTGGGGTTTTATTTGGATGGAATGAAACACTATATGTGAAAGGCACCAGAGCCATAATAGGAACTGTTACTTTTATCATTCTTAGCGTTAAAGGAAGGCACTTTCTTCTTCTGTAATAAATAGACTGATTTATCATGATATTTTACAAGATTTATTTTCTGTTTTATGTGTATGAATATTTTTCTTGCGTGTATATAAGCATTGCTCATGGAGGTCAGAAGAGGGCATCAGATCTCTAGGGGCTGGAGCTATAGAAGGCTGTGAGCCGCCATGGGAAGACGGGAACTGAACCAGGGTCCTCTGCAGTGCTCTGCTCAGCCACCTCTCGAGCCCCACTCCAGGGCTGTTTTTTTAAATGGCAGATTTCCTAAGGGCTGCCTGAGCTCAGCGAAAGCAGGCAAGCTTGTCACTACCATGCCTTCTGCTCTGTTGTTTCAGCCAAGTGCACTTCAGTGGCGTTAGAGACACAGAAGAAGAAAGAATCAAAGAGGCTGCTGCTTACATAGCTCAGAGGACTCTTCTTGCAAGCCAGGAAGAAATCTCAGCCTCCAAGAAGTCCACAGCCTCCAAGCAGTCCAGAGTATCCAAACAGGCCACGTCCACCCTTCAACGAGAGGAAACATTCGAAAAGAAGTCGAGGAACGCTGCAATCCGAGAAAAAGCAGAAGAGCTGTCACTGAGGAAGACAGTAAGGAATCTTAAACTTCATGGTTGTTGTAATTTTAAAAAGTGGTGCTCAAGAGAAAGATGCCATTCAACAGAGTTCAAGTGGAGGACTTTTTTGTTTGTTTTTTTGTTTTTTGTTTTTAATTAGGGAAAGGGGTCATAAAAAGGGGAAGGGGGAACCAGCCTCCGGAGACAGGAGCTGCAGGAGAGAGGAGAGAAAGACAGAGAGACAGACAGAGAGACAGAGAGAGACAGAGACAAGAGAGAAACAGCCTGAGGGAAAGATGGGAGGCGGGCAGGGTCCTTTTAAAAGGGAACATAGTGAATAGGCACAGATGGTACTCTTAGTGGCTGCAGTTGAGGGTGTATCCTGTCAGAACCCCAAGGACAGGCCAGTATAGATGCCTGAATCCTAACAATGCTACTTATAAAAGTGGAAATGTATGTGAGCTGTGTGTGTGTGTGTGTGAGAGAGAGAGAGAGAGAGAGAGAAAGAGTGAGTGAGTGAGAGAGAGAGAGAGAGTGAGAGAGAGTGAGAAAGAGAGGGAGAGAGAGAGAGAGAGTGTGTGTGTGTGTGTGTGAGAGAGAGAGAGAGAGAGAGAGAGAGAGAAAGAGTGAGTGAGTGAGTGAGAGAGAGAGTGAGAGAGAGTGAGAGAGAGAGAGAGAGAGAGAGAGAGAGAGAGAGAGAGAGAGAGAGAGAGAGAGTGTGTGTGTGTGTGTGTGTGTGTGTATGTATCCAGACTGGATTGTTTCAAGAGCAGAGCTATGTGGGTTTCAGGGAAACAAAGCTAATGGAAACAGGGAGAAAAGTGTCGAAATATATAGGTCAAATAAAGCCAAACTTTGGAATTTTAAACTTCATGGAGATTCAGATTTGAAAGACATTAAATAAATTTATGAAGCCACTTTAGTGAGATATCATAGGAGTATTGCTCAATCTTAGAGTTTTAAAAACAAAACTAATTAAAAAATATTTATTTATTATTTATGCAATGTTCTGCCAGCATATATGCCCACATGCCAGAAGAGGGCATGAGACCTCATTACAGATGGTTGTGAGCCACCATGTGGTACCTGAGAATTGAACTCAGGACCTCTGGAAGAGCAGCTGGTGCTCTTAACCTCTGAGCCATCTCTCCAGCCCCCAAACTCATTTTTAAAACCAGGAAGGAAATGATTTTACCTGACTATAAAAATAAGGATCAAAATGTAAAATTTAGGTCTGAGAATTCAGTAAATTCATATTGTTTGCATAAATTCATAAAGCCACAGATTCAGTCCCCACCACCCCATAAAGTGGGACACAATGATGCCATCCTGTAATCCTTGTACTTAAGATGTAGAGTCAGGAAGATCAGAAGTTTAAAGTCATCCTTGGCTATATGTGAATTGGAGGCCAGCCTGGGCTACATAAAAATCTACCTCAAACAAAACAACAAAATGAAGGGAAAGTAAAATTTTGGCTTCTAGAAGTAACTTTAACTTGGTAGTATTTTGGAAACATTTGTTTGCTTGCTTTTTCAGTTAGAAGAGACCCAAGCATATCATGGAAAGCTAAATGAAGACCATCTACTCCACGCTCCTGAGTTTATCATTAAACCTCGTTCTCACACAGTTTGGGAGAAAGAGAATGTGAAATTACACTGCTCCGTAGCGGGCTGGCCGGAACCTCGTCTCACATGGTATGTTTTCTTCGTGGATGCTAATAGAATTGATTACCATGTTAAGTTTACATCCACAGAAAACACCCTGAACTAGCAACATGCAAGAGTCAGCAAAGACACCTGTAAGTTTGTACATGTTTTCAAAAGAGTAAAGGTATCAAGACAGTTTTATGAATGGGAAGAGCAAATGGTCTTGCATACAGATTATGCATTTTAATAACTTTATAATCATTGGTAAAGTGCTTTCCGTGCTAACGTGAGGACTTGGGTTTGGGTTCCTGCACTCCTTCTGGGTGCTGAAGAGGTGGAAACAGGGAGAGCCCTGGAGCTTGCAGATCACCTAGTTCAGACAAATCTTGAAGCTCTGGGTTCAGTGAAAGACCTTGTCTCAGAAGTGTGGTGCAGAGTGATTGAAGAAGACACCTAGCTCTCACATGCACAGGCACACTTGTACACGTGCACATGCACACATGAATATGCGTTTGTACACAGAAAACTAAAGCTCAGAGAGCTTCACCTCTACCCCTCCTGTCTCAAAATCAAAAACAAAAGTAACCATAGCAAAATGCCAAAAATGAGTATGAGTTACTGTGGCAAATAATTTATAGTAAGCAAAGATGATAAAATGTCACAAGACATTTCTTACATTTTAACAAAAATGGATTTTTTAAAAATTTAGCTTACAGATTTTGAAATATGAAAGTAAATTAAAAATTGATTACTACTGTTCCCATACTTCTTTATGCCTATAAAGTTGCACTATTCAACCTTTAAATGAATGTTTTCTCTTTAAAAGTCAACAAACAACAGCCACTGAGCCAGCAAGATGGCTCAGCAGGTAAAGGCACTGCCTACCAAGCCTGGTGACCTACGTGCAAGCCCCAGAACCCACAGTGATGGGAGGAGAAAACCAATCTTCACAACATGCCACACATACATTCATTCATATACTCTCTCTACACAGACAGGCAGGCAGGCAGACAGACAGATGCAGTTAAAAAATTACAGCTGGATATGATGTCCCACACACACACCTCTAATCTCAGCACTCAGGAGGAAGCTGTAGGAGGATCTTAGTGAGTTTGAGATAGCCTAATATATAGTGAGCTCCAAGATTCTCAAAAAGAGGATTGTAAGTTCAAGACCAGCTTGGGCTAGTTATTGAGACCCTGTCCAAAAACCAAACCAAAAGGTGCCCCAAAGAAGCTAGGAATAAACAACAAAAAATATTTAATTATTGGTCTGGAGATGAACTTCATTGGTAGAGTACCTGTCTTATGTGAATTAGATCCCCCCCCAACAAATATCACTTACCAAATGAGAAAGAAAATCCAAACATTCCTATGGAAATGCATGAAGATAACAAATGCTTAGTTCCGATAAATACTATTTGATGAGTTAAAAAAATCCTTCTCAGAAATTTAAATATATTAATGTTGACAAAATAGAGTCCTTAATCAAAATGAAAGGTTTGCCGAATGTTTTCCTAGTTTTATTTTTTTGCTTTTAATTTGAAAGTTTTTATTACCTATTCTTGTTTGTTTGTTGTGTGCTTGTTTGAGATTAAGGCCAGCCTTGAACTTGTGATCCTACCAATTTAGACTCCCAGATGCAGGGACTGCAGGAGTGTACCTCCTTGCTCCTGCCTTTGTTTGTTTGTTTGTTTTTAAATACTAAAGTGGACTTTCAAAATGGTGCAAAGTAATAGTTAGGAGAAAAATATTAATTTCCTAAGCATTTTTTTTTGTAATGCAGCGGCTGGAACATAGACTGGGCCATGCTCCTGGCGGTGTTTTTAAACCAGCAGTGGGGTTTCTCAGAGGCAGGGCTCACTTTGGAGATTAAACTCCTTAGGTGCCCCCTGTTGGCCTGGAGAAGGGATAATTGACAAACAGCCAACAGATAAAAGCTCCCCACACAAAGCATCAGACAACTAAGACGGTGGCTCTTAAAATTCAAGCTAAATTTTAAAAATCCAAGTATTGTCTGTTTTCCAGTTCTCCTCACTAACAGAGCTGAATGCCAAATCTTACACTTGTGGCTGTGAAATATTTATTTCCATTTGTCTCAGGAAGGATTGGGAGAGTAGCCTCCTTCTGCAGTCGGGTCCTACTCTCTTCCTTTCTGTGGTTGGGGGAGGTCTATATGATGGAGGGCACCATTTAGCGAGACTCAGTCTTCACTTTTTTTTTCCTTGTGACTATGACCTTTTTATTTTTTATTTATTTTACATACCAACCAGTTTCCCCTCCCCCCATGCTGCCCCACCCCGTCTACTCCTCTGTCTCCATTGAGATGGGGTAAAGCCTCTCATGGGAGTCAACTAAGCACTGCAGGACGGAGCCCCTGCCCCCTGCATCAAGGCTGGGCGAGCCGTCCCACCGTAGGGAACGGGTTCCAAAGAGCCAGCTCAGGTACTGAGACTCAATTCTTTACACCAGTTCCTCCAGAAGGGAAAGGCCAGGAATTCCAGAGAAAGTCCCCGCTGACAAGCTCAGTGAAAAATATAAGCCAAAACAAAAGAGCCGGAGAGCAACTCCTATTTCTGAGTGGGCTGGCAAGATGGCTCAGTGGGGAAGGTGCCTCCCACTGTTCTGAGACCAAGAGTTGCCCCTGGGTGAGTAGGAATATGGGGAACCAGTGTGCACAGTGACAGCTGGCTGTGGTGACAGCAGGGGAACCAGTGTGCACACAGTGACAGCTGGCTGTGGTGACAGTAGGGAACCAGTGTGCACAGTGACAGCTGGCTGTGGTGACAGCAGGGGAACCAGTGTGCACACAGTGACAGCTGGCTGTGGTGACAGCAGGGGAACCAGTGTGCACAGTGACAGCTGGCTTTGGTGACAGCAGGGGAACCAGTGTGCACAGTGACAGCTGGCTATGGTGACAGCAGGGGAACCAGTGTGCACACAGTGACAGCTGGCTGTGGTGACAGCAGGGGAACCAGTGTGCACAGTGACAGCTGGCTTTGGTGACAATAGGGAACCAGTGTACACAGTGACAGCTGGCTGTGGTGACCACAGGGTCAGATTCAGGTTTGTGGAACAAGAAGCTTCTACAATTTGGGCGTCACATTACAAAAAACGAATACAAGGCTAATATGCTAGGGTTCTTCCAGAGAGGATCCCTGGAACTTAAGCCGGATTCACTGCCAGGCAAACAGAGCAGGTTCCTTGTAGGTTTGTGTCTCCTCTTTGACACAGTGCCTTTTCTAAGACACATCAGCTGGAATTCTAATCTATGTCACACATGGATGCAAGGAGAATGTTTTTCATAACCATCCTCTTACTCATGGGGCAGGGAACTCATTACCAGCTGAGAGCCAAAGCTGTCAGTGATCACGTTGTTGGCCTCTCTGGTGCCCGACTGCAGCTTCATGGTACTGACACCAAGCACAAATGGGAGATAAATATGGGAGGAGGTAGGTTAAGGGAATGCGTTTGTGAGGTTGCTCGGTGCAGTCATACTCCCTCATGGAGAGCAGCTAAGTCCTCAGCTATGCCTTTCAGAGGTATGTGCCCTAGGGGTCTGGTTCCCTCAGAGCCTTTTCCAAAGACAGTTTGGCTCCAAGTTTCCACTGGCTGATGTTGGGTCATGGGAGTCCCTGAGGTCTAACAAATGTGAGCAGGCAGCAGCTGTTCTCCTGGCCAGTCTCATGTTACCAGTCGTGTCCATTTAAGTGGAACTTAGAGGTTACCCAGAGAACGACGAGCAGCAGGAACGCAGCAAAGCAAGCTACAGAACACGACGGAGGTCCCAGATCACCCCAAAAGCAGGAGTCCTATTTGTATGCTTTCATTCAGTAGGAAAATTGGTTACAGAGAACACCAACATACCAGGGTGGTAAAACCACCATCATGGAGAGGGCCTTGCCAACATGGAGGGAAAGTTATTTCTGTGGTGGAAAAAAAATGAAACTTTAATGTTTAGTAGGCTATTTTATACAGTAGCCTACCCAACATCTATTAGTCTAAAAGGGGAAAGCAGAATTTGTGTTGCTTCATTTGCATACATTCTGGAAGGTTATGTTGGAACTTGAGGAGAGTAATTGACCCTGATGGGAAGGTATAAAAGGGTGCAGACTGAGCAGTGTTATATCCTCTGGCACTTAGGCAACTATTATTTTCAATTATTTCAAATAAAAGGATAAGACACAGAGAATTAAAAACATGCTTTAATGGATGGCAGTATGTCTCGGTAGACTCTGGGTTTTATCCTCACAACTGCATAAACTGGGCAAGATGGCAAATGCCCGTAACCCCACCACAAAGGAGATAGAAGCAGGGAACAGGAAGTACAGAGTCAGCCTCAGTTACGTAAGGAGCTCAAGGCCAGGCTGGGAAACATGAGACCTTTTCTCAAAAAATGTTATTCGTAAAAGGAAAAACTTGGTGTGGTCTATATACAACAGCTAGAATTAACTGGTTTCTGCTCTTAACCACTGAGCCAACTCTGTAGACCCAGATAATGGGTTTTACAGTGGGTAGCAGCTGTTTCTTTAAGTTGGATTCTCACCAGCGTTCCCATTTCTGGTGAAATTTAACATGTTCAAGGTCATTTCAATTTGTGTGGCACCATGACAGAAAAAGGACCACAGAGCCTTCTTGTCGCACTGGATTTCACCCCACCAAGGAGCTCTCCCTATCCCCCCTCGTCATCAGCATTAGCTCTGCCATTGGCTGCATAGGTGTGTTAAGGATGAAGTATGTTTTATACACTAAATGGACAAGGTCATGGGACAGTAGAGTGTTATCTCAGAAACACCCCCCACAAAAACCAATTAGTTAGTGCCTACATGAAAGGTAAGGAAAGTGGCATCCACACGAAGCATTTAAGCAAGCCTTTGGAAACAATCCCAGGGTGGAGATTACTCTCCACAGCTAGCTGATGACTAGCTAGTTTGGAATTCCACTTTCCAGAAGCAACAATCTGTGAAGTTGGGAGGAGGGGGGCAGGCCAAACTCCCTCCGTCCCATTCTGACTTAATACCGAAGACAGCCAGTCTCAAGTGACCCAGAACTTGAGTGCCTCATACATAGCAGACATTCCCTGCAGAATAGACAAAAACCTCTTTCTGGCTTAGTCCTTTTGTACTGCTTTAGCTCAGAGTTGTTTTTGTTTTCGTGTTTTTTCTGACATGGTGAATTCTGTGAGGTCCCGTGGTCAAGTGTTGTGTATTTTAAACCGGTTTCCTTTGGCAGGTGGTCACTTTAGGAGAGCTGTGAATGTTTAGCTGGGAAAGAGTAAAGGTGCTAAGTCGAGTAGCAGGAAGAGTGACACAACTTTGGGAGCTGCAAAATAACACTTTAACTCAAACTTTATAGGGGCATGAACAGCATTGTTGACTAGAAGCCAGCCCAAGAGTCACTCAGTCACTTGGTCGGGCAGCCCATGCCACGGTGCTCAGTGGCACAGTGCTCCCCTTGCCGCTGGAAAAGAACTGCTGAGAACCCTCCAGCGTGTGAAAAAAACAAGCAAGCAAGCAAAAGGGGGCTCAGCCTCGTCTCACCCCTTCCCCGTGAAGACAGGAGAGTCTGAGATTCAGAGTTGCAGACAGCTGTCCCTGATCACACAGTCCTGACTGTCAGACTGTGTTGAAACGACTGACTGCCTGGAGCCACTTCCGGGCTTTAGAGAGGCAGAAAGGCAGCACTGTGAGGAGGGAGAGGGTCACACATCACACCTGCTATCCGCTGTGACTCTTGGGGTGGAACAGTCCTCCTCATTTCAGACCTGAGGGAAACAGGACTCTGAAAGCCTCGACTTACTCATGTGCACTCACTTAAAATCGTCTACAGCACGAGGTATGCATTTTCCAGAATTTGACGTCTTTATGAAAAAGTGTGAAGGTATAATTTAACCATTTTATCACACAGCAATTCTGCTCTGTCATCTTAACCAACGCTGATCTGCAGTATGCTCATGACTTCCTCAGGAGTGGGAATAAAAGAAAAGAAAATGTATATCAAGCATACACATAGTTCCTCATCATCAAATGTCTAGCAGCTCGACAGGAGACCGTAACTCAACCGTAACTTTATTATATAAATTTTATTTAAATTGGAAACAATCTTACTTTACATATAAATCCCAGTTTCCTCTCCCTCCCATCATCCCAAAGGCCTCCCCCCCATCCACTTCCCAGGGAGGATGAGGCCTCCCATGAGGGATCATCAAAATCTGTCAAGTCATTTGGGGCAGAGCCTAGGCCTTCCCCTGTGTATCTAGGCTAAGAGAGTATCCCTCATGGGAAATGGGCTCCCGAAGTCTGTTCCTGCACTAGGGATACATCCTGGTTCCATAGACTGCCCAGTGCTAACTGACACCCACGTTCAGGGGGCCTGGTTCAATCCTATGTTGGTTCCCCAACTGTCAGGCTGGGGTTCATGAGTTCCCAGTTGCTCAGGTCAGGTGATTCTGTGGGTTTTCCCAGCATGGTCTTGACCCCTTTGTTCATCACTCCTCCCTCTCTGAAACTGGGTTCCAGTGACTGTGGATCTCTGCTTCTGCTTCCATCAGCTCTAGGATGGCATTTAAGGTAGTCATCATTCTCATTATAGGGGATGGGCATTTAAGGTAGCCTCTCCACTATTGCTTAGGGTCCTAATTGGGGTCATCCTTTTGGATCTCTGTATAATTCTCTAGTGCCAGATTTCTCTTTAAACCTATAGTGGCTCCCTCTATTGATGTGTCTTTTTTCTTGCTCTCCTCTCTTCCTCTCCCCACTCAATCTTCCTGATCCTTCATGTTCTCCTCCCCCTCCTCTTCTCTCCTCCTCTTTCTCCTACATCCCTACCCCTTTCCCCCTACTCCCCATTTGTTCAGGGGTTCTTGTCCCTTTCTGCTTCACTGGGGGACTGTGTATGTCTCTCTTATGGTCCTCCTTGTTTCCTAGCTTCTCTGGAGGTGTGGATTGTAGGCTGGTAGTCCTTTTCACTATCCCAACCATAACTTTGAAAATTAACTTTGTTTAGTATGTGTGCATGTGCTTGCGGGAGGGTTTGTGTATGGCACGTGTGGGGACATCAGAGGAAAACTTGGGGGAGTTGGTTCCTCTCCTTCCAACATGTGGGTTCTAGGGATCAAACTCTGGTCATCATTAGGCTCGGTGGCAAGTTCCTTTACCACAGAGCTATCTTACTGTCCCCCAACAATAGTTTTGATAATTGTTGTATTTAGCAGAGTAACCATTATTCAAAGAGATGAGACTAGTTCATAATTTTGAAGACTTGTAAAGAGGAGTACTGAATACTTGGCATCTGACCTGAGTTTTGACAACATAACTAGGTAGAAAGGGAGAGTGATAGCATCAATAGAAATATGTCGGGGCTGGGGAAGTGGTGCCTACCAGGCAAGCAAGAGAACCAGGGTTCAGATTCCCCCAGGACCCACATAAATGTCAGGTGGGCATGGTGGCTCGCCTGTAGTTTTAGCTTCAGAAGACAGGACTCCCCAGAGCAAGCTGGCTACTAGACTAGTTGTATTGTTGAGCTCTGGTTTGTTTGTTTGTTTGGTTGGTTTTTTGTTTTGTTTTGTTTTTTTGATTGAGAGGAAGAAGATTAGAAGAGCAACTGAGAAAAATTGCTGATTTCAACTTCAGGTTTCTATATTCACATGCACCAGAACACACATATATGTGAACACACAGAGGCATGCTCTTAACATCATGCATACGCATACACACATGAAAAGAAGAAAAATGCAGTGTGCCTTAGGAATTATATTAGCTCTCCATTTCTATATCAGAACACCTAAGGTTACCTACAAAAAGGCAGATTTACCTAACACAGCGTGGTGTCAACTCTTATGAGGGTGCCTCTTGACAGTGCCACATCACTGCAAATGGAATCACGGTAAGCGAACATATCAGGGAGCAGGGTAGAATCACACCTTGACAGAGAAGCCAGAGAAGGCCTGCTCTTTTACAGTAACTCATTACCTTGGAATTAGCAAAACACCATAAGGCCACCCGTGCCCAACGCCTTCCCGACTAAAGGTCTTGATACCATATCATGCTACAACATTGGGGACCAACCCTTCTAAAACATGAATCTGAGGACAAAGTTAAGGTGAAACAGTTAACTGAAGCCAGTATCTTTCTCTTGTGCCGCTTGTATCCATTTGGAAAAGTCTAGAGAAATGACATGCAGCTACATAGAGAACAACTAAAAAATGGGAATGCCACAAGTCAGGAGCCAGGGCCCTGGTTCAAAGCCTAGCTCTGCTAAGCCTGGATGAGTTCCTTGATGTCTCTGCACCCTGGTCTCTTCCTTGGGAATCGAGGTTAAATAGTGTCATCTCATTGGTGGTTGTGAGGACTAGATTTACTGATGCTGCTGTGTATACAGGGAGACGGGACTCCACTGCCACCCATGCTTACTAGTTACAGTAGTTTTACTGGCAAGGCGTGCATGAAGCAGGCTACTGAAAGGGAAGTAAGGGACCCCCTCTGCTTCTCCTCCTCCTCCTGCTTTTTAAGCAAAAATGAAGTTTAAGGGATTCGCTTCATGTGGCACCAGAGCACCAACTATCGAGAACCTGAGACCAGTACCACTTACAGAATGGAAGTCTGAGCCTCATGGAGAAGCCGTTCTGCGTGGGCTCCCTCCTGAGGGAAGCAAGCTGCAAACGGGAACGGGACAGTTGGAAGTTTCCTTTCATGGTTTGAAGTTATTCTAAGGCAAAAACCATGCTTACTTACGACAAAAAACAAGTCAGTTGCGAAAATGACATTTCAACATAATGGCGCTGTGTTTAAGGATAACATGGGAGAATGCTAGTAGGAGGGATATTTTGCTTTGCTCCCCCAGAGATGGCCAATAACAAGAACCCTAACACAAAGCTTTCACTCTGCTGTGTTAGTAGTAGTCAACTTTGTTTTGTGGTTGTTGTTGAAGTATAATGTCCATACAAAGAAGTGTATGTCATATATAAAGGGAGAGTTTGGGTGAGTGTTTATTGGACTGTACCCACCCGTGTAACCAGCACCCAAATGGAGCCCAAGCATGTCCAGCACCCAAGACACCTCCTTCATGTCCTGTGCCCACCTCAGGAAATCACTGTCCTGATCGCCAGCAGCATCAATGAGCTATTCTGTTTTTCTACCTTGTGTAGACCAATCGCTACCCTGTTTACCATTTCATAACTTGTTTTTTTTTTCATTATCATTTTGTACATGAGATGCATACAACTTGTGACTGGTTCATTTTTCCTGTCAATTTTAAGGAAGAGGAGAAAGCACTTTGGGAAATTTTATTGTAGTTGCTAGTGAATTAATTAAGCTCAGGTAACTTGCATTTTTTTCAATATATGGAGTTGTTGAACTTTACTTAACAGGTGTATCTACAGGAACAGTGATTGTGTGTGTGTGAGAGGGAGGGGGAGATCGTGCAGTTAATTATTATTTAATCTAGTCATCTTGTTTCTATTATCTTTCAGGTATAAAAACCAGGTGCCTATAGATGTCCATGCAAACCCGGGAAAGTACATCATTGAAAGTCGATATGGAATGCATACTCTCGAGATCAACAAGTAAGAGAGCATCACCGCTTGTATGTGCCACCCAGAAGCCACCTAGGGAACCACCTCATCACTCCAGGTCACAGTCAGACAAAATCTGCCCTCTTCCTGGTCCCAGTGCAGGTTTATCTCACAGTGGTTGTTCTGTACGTTTCTCTTGATCAGGCTTTTAAGTCTGCCCTGCATACAGTTCCTCCTAATGCCATCTCATATTTGAATTTCATAAAAGATGATAAAGCGAGTATGTATGTTTTTATTTAACCCACATATAGGAGCATATCCCATAGAAATTTTTTTTTTTTGGTTTTTTCAAGACAGGGTTTCTCTGTATTGTTTTGGAGGCTGTCCTGGAACTCCCATAGAAGTTATTAAGAAGATAGTTGCTTAAGTAGGCATTTCTATGTTGGTATCACTACAGAATTCCAAACCCACAGTACTGTGTTCTTTTATTTTTAATCAGCAAAAGGCATAGAGGCTAGGATAGGTGTCCCTGAGTGCGGGATAGACTAAGAGAATGTCCTTTCTGCCAGCTCACCAGAAACTATGGGATGTTGTGGGCTTTCTCAATTTGCCTGGGTGAATCAAGACAGACATTGGTATGTTTCAGAGTTAAGCAAAATTTGAAATGGAAGCTCTATGAAAGGTGCCAAGTCATAAAAGATGTATGGAGTTTCCCAAGATGGTTTGAAGTGCAAACCTGGTTATGTGGTTGCAAGAGTAAACAAGTGCCTACCATTTTGGTTCCATCAAGACCCATGTGCGGAGCTGTAAAGGAGCCGGTGTTGATCATCCTCACAGCTTTCTCCCCAAAAGAAGAGTTGGCTCAGTAGAAATTGGGCTTGGGACAGAACCCAGCATCTCTGACATTCTCCAAGCTCTGATCTGAAGTGGTATCATTTCTGCTGGAGCAGCAGTGAGCCTTTTAAAAGTGCTTGCTTTTACAATTAAATATCTCCGAGGAAGGTAAATTGTGTTTCCCTTCCTGGAGTCTGATGTCTTTCATTTCCGCAAGACACAAGTGTATCGCAAGTGAAGCTAAACTAAACCCGAGAAACAAGGAAGAACATGGGAGGTCGTGTGACTAGCTAGACACAAAACAGCCTGACTTCTGCGAGAGCGCTCTTCTGTTGTGCCATCTCTGTGAGGCACCCCTCTCTCTCTAACCTAAGAAACCCCCAGATAGTACCTGCGTTCTACTGTGAGCTGGGACTCCAAGTGGAACCCAGACACCAGCAGAACCAAAGTGTGACGCCGCTTGTGTTTTGAAACTAGAACACGGAAAGGCATAAAGACCAGCCTTGGGCAGGTTTGTGCCTCTGCGAGGCTGTGGGAAATTATCATGGGAAGTTGCTTCTTTGTGTTCCCTGTCATCCTGATGCCACCAGACTGAAAGCCACCTCCTGGGACAGGGCAACACGGAACATACACACCCAGGGTCATTGCACACTAAGAGCTACATGAGTGGCAGTTATCTGCTGTGTAATTTATAGCCTCAGTACCTGGCTAACTGTTTGTTTGGCATTTTAAATGAACCAAGGTTCGGGTCACAGTAGATGTTCTCTTCCTGCCCTACTGCCATGTGAACTTTAGTAAATAACTTGGACTTTAAGATGTCCCACAGGAACAGAGATAGTCCCTTCATCAAGAGTCCTAAAGACCCACGTGTGGGCCACTGGTTTGCAATCTGTTGTGTTAGCAAAGAGTTTCTTGACAAAACAACCAACAGTTGCAAGGAGTCACCACTGTGATCACTCATTTCCACGTGTTTCTGCAGGTGTGACTTTGAAGACACAGCTCAGTACCGGGCCTCAGCGATGAATGTTCAAGGAGAGCTCTCGGCATATGCCTCGGTCGTGGTGAAGAGTAGGTTTGCCTTTGCTTTATTCAAAGTGGATTTAAAACTCCTTCCTGTTTTATATATATATATATATATATATATATATATATATATATATATATAAATAAATCAGGCAATTACCAAGTAGCTCACATGTGTTCTCTTTTCTTCTCTAGGATACAAGGGGGAACTGGACGAATTTCGCCTCCATGCTGGAGCGTCCATGCCTCTCAGCTGTAAGTTTAACAGCTACATGTCATCTTTATGTAAGGTGTGGTACAGTAATGCTCAGGGAAGCAACGTGATTTTTAAAGTGATGACATAAATTCACAACACTAATGATGCTAGCTAGCATTAGTCCTTGCCAGGATGGGCATAATACCCACTACCCAGCCATAGTTAGTTTTTTTTTTAATTCTTTGGTTGCTATTCTGTTTAATTGGTTTGTTCTTTCTATTTTAAAAGTAGCCTGTTTGTGTTTGTTAATCTGATCGTGTGCTCAGACTGAAAAGGACAGTCCAGCCCACACTTAATCTCTACACGTTAAATCATGATTAGTTTAATCCCAGCACTCGGGAGGCAGAGGCAGGCGGATCTCTGTGAGTTCGAGGCCAGCCTGGTCTACAGAGCAAGTTCCAGGACAGCCTCCAAAGCCACAGAGAAACCCTGTCTTGAAAAACCAAAAAAAAAAAAAATCATGATTAGTGGTTCTGAAAATAATTAACACTAATACTTGCTTCTGGTTTGGTCTTCCACTTAACTGGTTGAGTATCTGTAGATGATCTACTCCTTGACTTCACGAATGGTTCCAAACTTCAAAGTTATAGTCCCTGCTATGAGTCCCATGGAGGGGATAATGCATGGACATGCTCTTTCTCCAGCACATCAGTAATTCTGAAATCATAGCACAGCTCCCACAGTCTCCGTAATTCCCCTGATTTATCATTTCCCAATCCTCCAACTTTATCCTGCTCGGTCCCAAGGCCAAATTTCTTCTTTTGTCTTCTTCTCTTTCAAGCCAGGTTCTAAAAGCCCAGCTTAACTCTGTTTCTTCCAAAGCATCTTCTGATTGCCTCCTGGCTTAGTGCCTCTGTTCCTAACATACCAAATGCAAACACCTCTGTAGGTGGTAGGTAAATGAGTGTGCACAGCTGGATCCCAGTAAAACCATAAATGTGGACATTGACATTTGGATTTCCTATGACTTCCCACACATCATATTAGATTTTTATCTTTTCCAACTATCAAAAAATGTAAAAATGAAACCCATCCTGAATGATACTAAATAGGAAGCAGTCTGGATTTGGCTCACAGGTTTCCCAGATACTACCATTTCCCCCAGATGGAAAACACACGAGACACAGGCCCGCAGAAGTGACAGTGGCCTGCTTTGTCTCCTGGTTGTTATAACCAATTTCCCACTGAGTACCGAGGCAGTCTCTGATGTCCAGCTCAATGCTGCATATGGAGAAGTTAGAGCCTGTGCATTTCCAGTTGGTTTTGGACTTCAGGGCTGATAAACAACTTCCTTATAACTCTCCTTTGCACCCCTGCGAGGCAGCCCCAGAACCATGTAGCCTCTGAAGGCTGTGCAGGATCTGATCCAGTCAATTGTCTTGGGTTTCATTGGGATATTATTACATAGAAATCAGGCAGACAGGAGATATTCTTCAAAGAGAAGCTATTTCCCCGTTGACTAGTGGTTGCCTGCCAATACGGGTTGGAAGGAAAGCTCTGGAAAGTTCCGTGGGTGAGTGTGGGCAGACATCTAGCCATAGCCAGGAGTCCCACACAACAGTTTCTTCCGTGGAGAACGTAAGGATACTTACCTGATAGAATCATCATGGGCATATCCGCACTGATAGCTATTAAATACTTATAATATCTGACAAAATTGAACTTAACAAAGGATAGATTGCATTTTCAAGATAATATTTCAAGGCCCTGAGACAGACAAAAATATAACAAGAAAGGACTCAAGCATTAGACTTTGGCAGTTATAGGCTTGTGAAGTCATGGCATTAGCTGTCTATGATCTTTATGAGTTTCTCTAATGACTTTGCTGTCAAGTTGTTGCAAGGAATAGACTGTGTGCCTCATGTGAATTGCCTGGCACGTCAGGTAACCTGTCTATGTGTAGCCATTTCTTTCCTGATCCAGGAGAGCTGATCATGATGCAGACATTTGCTCAATCTATAAGTACTTCTAAGAATAATCTTTGAGAAGTTATATTTTAAACTTCGAGTATTTTCCTATTGATGTTTCTTATAATACTTTATATAGGTCATTCGTAAGAGAAAATGAAGTAACTTTCTGAAAAGCATTTGAGTAACTAATAGAACTGTTTTATCCAAAGAGTATAAGCAGTAGAATTTATCTAAAAATCTAAGATTAAAATCCTCATATATTGCTGGGCATTGGTGGCGCATGCCTTCATTCCCAGCACTCAGGAGGCAGAGGCAGGCGGATCTCTGTGAGTTCGAGGCCAGCCTGGTCTACAGAGCGAGTTCCAGGACAGCCTCCAAAACAATACAGAGAAACCAAAAACACAAAAACAAAAACAAAAAACCACCCATATATTATAGCTAAGAAAGCCTAGGCTAGATGATGTTTTAGTTTACATTTAAGACTTTACATGTGACCCTTTAAATTGTGTTCCAATAATAATAATATAGACATTTAACTTATATGATCAGTGAGGTAAGAGTTTTTATGCAAATGCTGTATGCATATGTTCTTATGTAGAACTTAATTTGGTCTGCTTTCTTATTGCAGCTGTCTCCCTTTGAAGAGACACATGACTGGTCTTTGTTTCTGTTGTATGCAGTTGCTGTGACCCCTTACGGTTATGCTTCCAAGTTTGAGATCCACTTTGATGACAAGTTTGATGTGTCTTTTGGGAGAGAAGGAGAGACGATGAGTCTGGGCTGTCGTGTAGTCATCACTCCTGAAATTAAACAGTTCCAGCCGGAGGTCCAGTGGTATAGAAACGGCAAGTCTTTCTTATTTGCTTCTTAATGAAAAATGCATGTGGGCCAGTTGCAGATTAGAGCTAGCAATAGCCTGTAAGCTGAAGATAGCATTCTGCTGTGCTAAGTTTTTAACATACATTTCAAAATAATGACACCGTGTGTGTGTGTGTGTGTGTGTGTACCATGTTTGTCTATTCCCTGAGACAGGGTCACACTGTGTATCACTGGCTGTCCTGGAACTCACTATGTAGAGCAGTCTGGCTTCAAACTCAGAGAGAGGACTGCCTCTGCCTCCCCAATGTTGGGATTAAAGGCATGCACCTCTATGCCCAGCTAAAATATATTTTTGAAGGTAAGATTTCCTTGTCACCAAGTAATATGAGTAGTAAATTATTAAAAACCTGTATATTTACTTTGTAAGCTAGGTTATTTGATAAAGTATTTTTTCTTATGGACATCATTTATAAGAGTTATATAAAACTTAAAAAATATATAACCCCAGGAAACAATTAAGTGCTAATATTATTAATTAATCAGCAGAGTAAATTTTCAGAAGCAAGTCAGACGTTAGTAATTCTTTTTTCTGTTTTGGTTTTCTGAGACAGGGTCTCTCTGTATAGCTCTGACTGTCCTGGCACTCACTCTGTAGACCAAGCTGGCTTCAGACTCAGAGATCTACTTGTTTCTGCCTCCTGAGTGCTGGGACTAAAGGTGTGCACCACCACTGCTTAGCTAGTAGTCTTACGTTAATGTGACAGTCTCTTTATAAATTAAAAGTTTATGGTAAATATATTCTTCACATGGAATGTGTAAATTTGTACAAAACCAGATACAAGATAGATAAAAATTAATCTTGTTTGTGTTTGTTTTATATTTTCTGGGACTGATTTTTTTGGGAACATAAACAGTGCCATCACACAGGACGGCTCTGGAAGGCTACCTAAGCTGGGTTCAATGCTATGACATTCATATCATTTTATCCCTTTTTAAAATTTTTATGTGTATGGATGTTTTGCCTGGATGTATGTCTGTGCTTTTTTTGTATGCCCTGACAGAGGAGGCCATTAGGTTCCCCAGAACTGGAGTTACAGATGGTTGTGAGCCACCATGTGGGTTCTAGGAATTGAACTCAAGTCCTCTGGCGAAGCAGCTAGTGTTCTTAACCACTGAGCGAGCCATCGCTGAAGCCCCTCATTTTATCTGTAAACTTCCCCATCAATCACTATTTAAGAAAATGCCCAGTGTGGTCTTGACCCCTTTGTTTGTCACTCTTCCCTCTCTGAAACTGGATTCCAGGAGTTTGGCTCAGTGCTTGGCTGTGGATCTCTGCTTCTGCTTCCATCAGCAACTGGAGAAAAACCTGACCTGAGCAAGCGGGACCTCATGGACCCCAGTCTGACAGCTGGGGAACCAACATAGGACCAAACCAGGCCCCCTAAACATGGGTGTCAGCTAGGAACACTGGGCAGTCTATGGGGCCTCTGGCAGTGGAACCAGGATGTATCCCTAGTGCAGGAACTGACTTTAGGAGCCCATTTCCCATGAGGGATACTCTCTTAGCCTAGATACACAGGGGAGGGCCTAGGCCCTGCCCCAAATGACTTGACAGATTTTGATGATCCCTCATAGAAGACCTCACCCTCCCTGGGGAGTGGATGGGGGATGGGATGGGGCAGTGGGAGGCTTGGGAGCACGGGAGGGAGAGGGAACTGGGATTGATATATAAAATAAGATTGTTTTTAATTTAAATAAAATGTATTAAAAAAAGAAAGAAAATGCCCTATGCTAGATCTCACAGAGTCATTCTCTCAACCGAGGCTCCCTCCTTTCAGATGACGCTAGCCTGTGTCCAGTTGACGTGAACCAGCTAGCACAGAGGCAGAACTAAACACTTTGAGCTTCTCTGCTCTCTGAACAAAGAGCTTTGAATTTTAATTTTGTCAGGTGTTACAAATTATGTGTCTGCCGGGGAGCCCCTCACTTCTGTCTAGTATTTTCCCTAGTATTAAACACACCAGAATGGCGTAAAGATCTGGACAGTTCTAAGAGCCAAGGGACTTTCAGTGTGGAAGAAAGGAGAGAGGGAGAGGTGTGGAGTGGGGAAGAATGGAAGCTAAAGGAAGGTAAAGCCAGTGAATTCGCTCATTTTTTACATTTCTAGGAGCACTCGTTTCTCCGTCACAATGGGTCCAAACACAGTGGAGTGAATTAGCTCGTTTTTTACATTTCTAGGGTCACCCGTTTCTCAGTCACAATGGGTCCAAACGCAGTGGAGTGGAGACCGGGCAACACTCACATTCTCTCACCTCAACAAGGAAGACGAAGGCCTCTACACAATCCGCGTGCGAATGGGAGAGTATTATGAACAATACAGCGCATATGTCTTTGTTCGAGGTAAGACCTGGCAAAAGGCACAACATACAACCACACTAGAAACACCAAGGCCACTGTCAGCACTAACATCATGTCTTAGTAAGGTGAAGAGTCATCAAAAACATCCTCCCTGATAACCCAGAACAGGTGGCATGGGCCAGGGGGGGGGGGCGTTTGCAGGATGCTTGGTCTGCATGTCCAGGTCCTGCTATGGAAATGGATAGGTTGTTGTCGCTGAGCTTCAGATGTTGTCTGGGAAGAGCAGTCTCTGCAGTCAGAAAGGGTAGAGGTCATCAGAATACACAGACAATTGAAAGTACAAACAATATAGATGATTTACTAATTTTTATCTCTCATGTACTAAGTAGAAAAACTAACCCATAGGCATTTCGATGGAGATGGAACCGTAGCTGCCATGCATGTGCCTTTATAATAAGAGCAAAGACTCCCACTAGCTGTGTAATTGATTCCTTCTGAAATGTCATGTCTTTTATGAATTTTAAAGCACTATTCTTACTGGGTTCAGGAGATAGCTCAGCTGGTGAACTGCTTGCTAGGCAAGCAGTTGGAGGACCACAGTTCCAATCTCTAGCACCCAGGTGATCGCTCCTACCTATATCTCCAGCATTGGGGAGACACTGGTAAGAGGGTCTGTGGGGCTTGTTGCCCGGCCAGTCTTGCTGAATCTGCCAGCTCCAGATTGTGTTAGAGACCTTGTCTCAAAAAATAGGATGGAGATTGGTCAAGGAAGATGGCCAACATCAGCCTCTGGTCTATACACACATCAGCACACACCTGCCACATGCATACAACACACACACACACACACACACACACACACACACACACACACACCAGCACATACCTGCACATGTGTACACACACACACACACACACACACACACACACACACACACACACATCAGTACACTCCTGCCACATGCATACAATACATACATCAGCACATGACTGCATATTGCTTACAACACAGACACACATCAGCACACACCTTCACATATGCACGGACACACCACAAAATTTAATTAAAAATAAAAGCATTGCACTGTTCTCACCAGGGGCCTCATAAGGGCTCACAGACCCCAATAGGCATTTAGGACACATGTCTTCTGGTGCCTCAGCTAAGATTTAGTTAGAGTGCTGGCTGGGCTGCGGAGATGAGATAGCCACTAAAGACGTCCCCTCCTACGTCCATCAGTTTCTCACTTCCTGGCCTTTTGGCTCAGCCTGTCACTTCAGAGTCAGATGGTGGTCCTGTTGGCTCTGCTCAGTATGATCATGTAGTATCATACATATTATTTCATGCTGTTGTCCCAGGTCATCATTCCAGGCTAAGAGGAATAAAGGAGAGAAGTGGGGGCTGGAGGGACTGCTCATTTCTGTTTGGTGAGCAAATATCTTGTATATTTCACATACAGCACTCACCAAGGATGGCCCATGTGTTTCCCACCAACACTTAGTGCTCATAACACCCAGCGGAAGCAGGAAGAATGAGTTCTGGGTCAGTCACTATGATGTATCAAATCCATATTGAACAATGACAAATGATCACTAGATTTGGTCATGAACTAGCAGCAGATAAAAGATGTATGAACATCTGTAACTTCTGGGAAACATGTCAGGGTGTCTTCTCCACAGAAACATTGTGGGCAAAGTCAGGTATTGCTGAGGGGATGGAGGAAGCAGCCTTTATAAAGGTTGCTATGGGAACAGGCTCACTGGGACTCATCCAGAAGTTAGGTTAGCCCAACAACCTGCATCAGCTAGGCTAATAATGGCTGGATTTGCAAAGTCTTCCCTTCCCCTCTTAGTGTCTCATCTCAACCAACTGGAAAATGTCTCTAGCTATGTTTTGGGAGCCCTGGCCTGGCCGGGCTCCTCTGCACTTGTCATGCCTCACCTACAACTGTGTCTCTGCCAGATTTGGATGAGACATCACATGACTGACTCCAGATGCCGAGAACTTCAGGGGACAACGTTTAAATTCCATATACCAATACAAATGAAAGAAATGGAAAGATGCTAAAATTGATCCAATGTTAATATTACAGGATTGAGTAGATAACTGGAAGAGATAAAAAAAAATGAAGATTTCAGCAATTGTACTGTGAGCTTGACAACTTTTAGAAAAGCTTGTTTTTCATATTACTACTACTACTGTTGCACTGTTGTGAAGCTCAGTGACTTACATGTGCAGAGTAAACATACTGCCACTCAGTTTCATCCTTTATTGATCTGAAATGATGTGTTTTAGAGTCTTGAAACATCTCTATTTATATACAAACACACATAAAGTTCTCCCACATTAACTGCACACTCGGATGTTTGTAAATACATTTGCTCACTTATGTCATAATACATATGGTAGCCTGTTCCTTTTTGTTGCTAGCCTAGTATTCCAATGTGTAGCTGTGCCTCATGTCATGTGTGTATCCACCAGTTGATAGGCAGCAGGACTGTCCCTACTGTTCAGTGTTTTTAAGGGTGCTAGCACTATCAGTACTCATGCTCATGTTTATGGGACAGTTTTTTCATTTGTCTTTAGTACATACCCACGTGTTGAATTGTTGGATCATATGACACATTCATGCGATCTGTTTCAGAACTACAAAACATTTCCAATGATATGTTACGTGTTTTTAAACTTTTCCCATGGAGGTGTGAGATGCTACTAAAGGACATTTTTTGGGGGGGTTCTGGTATTTTTTACTGCATACAAGGTAGCTTCTACATCAGCATGGTCAGTAGGTAAAATACCATGTTCTATAGAAACACTGCAGAGCTGAGCGCATTTGGACAGGTTTCCATTATCCAGGTAATATGTTTATTGTAAAAATATAGGTGTTACAAACAAACAATAAAAAAGAAGAGCCACTTAAGTTGTCATCATAAATCACAATATCAACATTCATTACATACTCTCTCTGTTCTACTTGAATCCCTCCCTTACACAAGCATGTGCACGCATGTGTGCACTCGAACACACGGAAGAATTGCAAATGGCAAGCAAATACATGAAAAATTGTTACCAGCAACCAAAGCACTCTAAACTGCAGACAGGTGATGCTTTACCTACCATACTGCAAAGATAACAAGATTTTAATACTCCCCTGTGGGGGCTGAGGAAATAGCTCAGTGCCTGCTGCACACACATCCAACCCCAGCACCCATGTAAAAGCCAGGTGCAACCACATACATCTATAACCTAAGCATTGAAGGGCAGAGGGCTGAGGGCTGAGGGCTGGGGCAGAGACAGGTGGATCCCTGAAACTCTAACCTCAGAGACCTCTCACCTCTGTAGCTGACTCCACAGACTCCTGGTTTTGTGAGACACTGTCTCAAAAAGCAAGGTGAAGAGCAACCAAGGAAGACACCACCCCTTGAATTCCGGTCTCCGTACATGTGTGCACATAGGAATGCCTACACACGTAGACACCTGCACACAACCACACATACATACATACACACACATAATAAAAACAACTCTACCAGGGTAGGAGAGTGAAGGAACAGGTTCTTCTGTGACTGTGAATTGGTTCAGAGTCCCTGGGGGTGTTTATTTAAAGCACGTAGTCAAACTTCTCTAGTTCCAGGACAGTGTGGGCAAAGGTGAAGACAGATGTTACAGAAATCTGGAGAGATCCAGTTGTTCATCAATATGAGAATAGTATTATATATGTATATATGTATACTTTTAATAAGGAGGCACAAATATATAAGAATAAATATAAAAAGTTCATGCCCCACATAAACAACAAAATACTACATAGCAATGAAAATTAATGATGTATACCTGTACTTAGCTGGAACGTATCAAGAAAAAAAAGGCAGATTTCATAAAGGTCATGACCCAGACTATTTACAAAAATAATTGTATTTAGTCAGGTGGGGTCACATATGACTGTAATCCTTGCACATGAGAGGTGAAGCAGGACAGTCACCATGGTTTTGAGGCCAGCCTAAGCTATAAAACAAGACACATATAAAAAAATCATCTTTTAGTTTATAAAAATAAAATCTAGAAAGGCTTAGGCCAGTATGTCTGTCGTCATTATTTTGAGTTATAGAGTTAAAGGAGATTCTAACCTTCCTGATTATCGTTTATTTTATAGTCCTGTGGTACCTTTATAATAATATAAACAATAAGAAAATGTTTTAGAGAAGATTATTCTTTGCCTGTGTCTGAGGCCAAACTGTAATGAGTAGCAGGCTCATCTGTGACCCAGCTTATGAGCCTACAAAAAGTTCAGCTACTTGGAGGTTGGGAAAGACAGATGCTCGGGAGTGGTAAATGTTGGCTGTGTGGGCGCCGTGGCCAGATCGGTACAGCAGCAGCTGCTGGAAGCCAGGCATGTGTGAGAGCACTCCACAGTTGTGTTGCTGACATTCCCAGCATGCTTGGCTCCCCACAGTGTGTGCTGCACCTTCTTGAGAACAAGAAAAAATATTTATTTTTAACTTTTGTGTTTAGTACTGTCTTAGTTAGGGTTTCTATTTCTGTGATGAAAAGCGCCGTGACCAAAAGCAACACAGAATTTACTTCAGCTTACAACTCACAAACCCATCGCTGAGGGAAGCTGAGGCAGGAACATGAAGGGAAGAGTTGATGCAGAGGCATTCTTAGGGGTCCTACTTATTGGCTTGCTCCTCATAGCTTGCTCCTCATAGTCCTGCTTTCTTGTAGAGCCCAGAACCACCAACCCAGGGCCCTTCCTTCCAGTCACTCATTAAGAAAATGCTGGGGCGGTGGTGGCACACGCCTTTAATCCCAGCACTCGGGAGGTAGAGGCAGGCGGATCTCTGTGAGTTCGAGGCCAGGCTGGACCAATAGCCTCCAAAACAATACAGAGAAACCCTGTCTCATAAAAACCAATAATAATAATAATAATAATAATAAAGAAAAAGAAAATGCACGACGGACTTGCCAATCTAGTAGAGGCGTTTTCTTAATTGAGAGTCCCTCTTCCCAAATGATTCCACCTTGTATCAACTGCCATAAAGCTAGAAGGGAACATAGGGAACCAACCCTGGAACAATACCCACACCCAAGTTTAGTAAAAGTCTAAGATAATACAGGAAGACATTGTCCGCAGCTAAATTAGTGGTTGTTCTTGTGGTATTTTGAATTAAGAACTACTAAAGTGAACCTTTGCTTTTTCTGGAACAGCTGGTCAAGTGGGGCTTGGGAATCAGCTATGATTAAGAAGAGACCTGTGTCATTGCGGCAGACTTTTCTGGGAAGTGTTTCTTCAGGGTCAGCACATGGAGGCTGTGGTCCTCAGGTGGCCGTGAGTGGATGAATGAACAAACGAATGAATGAGTGAATGAATACATAAATAACTAAATAGATCATCAAGCCCATCCCCCAATGGCATCTTACAAACTGTGTTACAAAAAATGCTGGCTCGCAGCTCTCTGGACACCTCCTGTCTTCCGTGGTCTGCTACGGTGTGCCCCTGCTTTGTATTGCACAGATACAGTGGCTGTTCAGCTAACTAGACTGCATGGGAGTCACTCCGTCAGTGTGTGCGTGTGGAGTCACAGGCCTTTAACACAAGGATGTGTCTGTGTTGTTGCCAGCTGTCCCTCTAGAGGCAGGCGCCTCTCCTGGTACCTGGCTCACCAGCGTCAGCATCACCACTGCGCTCTTACCCTGATCTTCCTCCCGTCGGCAACATCACTGTCCCCACCCTGCTCACAAAGCCCCTGAGGAGAGGGAAGTGCTTCCAGGAAAGCACGTGTTTCCTGTTTCATAGCACGAAACAGGATTCTACATCTGGCCATGTTGGTATCTTTCTCCTTTAGCGTGTCTGCCGGAGACGACATTTACACAGAGAACATGCCCTCATGGTTTGTGGGGCATGAAAAAGAATGTCCAAAATCCAAGAATATGAACTCTTGACAAGTAATGCAAACCTACTAACATAAAACCCAGAAGTCTGCCAATGTCTAAAATACTCACGAGAGTTGCAGAAGTGTAGATCGATCATAGGAAAAGATTGTTTCTTCAGTTGCCAGGAATGTTTTCTCCTGGGTAAGTGGCTCCCATGTGTCCCAGGCTCTCCTAACCAATTCTGTTTATGAAAGGGCTGTTGGCAGTGTGGGCCCTTCCCCCAGACTTACCGCTGGCTTTAATAATTCTCACTTAAAGGCTATGATGGTATATTATCATTTCATTTTCTTCTGATTCATTAATTAGCTGTGCCTGGGGAGTAAGGGGAGGGCTCACAGTCTCAGATCTTACTTCATAAACAGTCAATGCCCTGTTTCCTGTGTTATTGTAGACTTTTACTAAACTCAGATGTGGGTACTGTGTCAGAGTTCTTTTCCTAAGTGTCCCCAGTTTTGGAATACTCATTATGTGTGTTGAATTTGGATTGTTTTGTTTTGTTTTTATTTTTGTTCTTCTATCTGCCAGGCTCTGTTTCAGGATTTACTTTAGTTGACAGTATCATGTTTCAGCCCATGGTAGGCTCCATATTCCAGGGCATGTGGTGAGACACTTGTGCGGCAGACTGGGTGGAACAGACCTGTAAACTTATGTCAGCTTGGAAGAAGGAGGTGGCAGCAAGAAGGAGCCAGGAGAAAGACATACCCTTTAAACACGTGTCGTACTGACCTGCTTCATCCAGCCAATCCCATTTTTCCAGTCTCCCTACTCACCAATCATGTATTCAGTTGTTAAACTAGCCCTGGGTTAAACCACTGATTAGGCTGGGGCTGTCATGATCTAATGGTCTTGGGACACGTGCACAGATGTACTCAGATGCACTGTAGCAATCTCCTTCATGCAGTCAAATAGACATCAGTAACCATCACATTTGGCCAAAGCAGTCTTCAAAGGACAATGCCCACTTTATAAGCTCCATGTTTTTTTTTTTTCTTACACGTGCAATCAGGTAACATGGGGCAGGGGATGTTTGTCTCTTTGGGAGTCTGCCAGAGATTTAGTACCATTGCCCAACCAATGTCTTAAGAACAGACTTTCTGGCATGAGTCACCAATTTGATATCTCCCTAACAGTATTTTTGGAATACTTTGGGAAGCAAGGGTAAGGAGACAAAAATCCATGGATTCTTCTCATAGCCCTATTTATTATCTAACATAATTCTCTTTCCCCAAAAGTTAAAAAATGCGCCTTGTTATATTGGTAAACAAATTAATTATAAGATTTGAAGCTTGCTCTATGAGGCCAAATACATAGCTACTGTGATTTGTAGGAAATGTGTGCACCTGACCTCAGTCTGCCAAGCTGGGAGAGGCTGCGTGAGCGTTTAACAGGATGCCTTACCTCCACAGATGCTGATGCAGAGATTGAAGGAGCCCCGGCAGCGCCCTTGGATGTGGTGTCTTTGGATGCTAACAAAGATTACATCATCATCTCTTGGAAGCAGCCAGCTGTGGATGGAGGGAGCCCTATCCTGGGATACTTTATTGATAAGTAAGTGCTTGGCCTAACCTCAGTCCGAGTTCTGTGGACATACAGATGTGCACTTCATTCCTCCCATTATTTCTAGGCAAAATGCTTTCTCTCCTGGTTTTTGCCTCCTCTCCCTTTCTTTCTCCATAAGTGTTTAATATATATGTGTATATATGCATACATATTAATACCTACTTATTTACATAAATTCTTTGAATTTGATAACCAACTATGCCACTAACTTGGCAAGCGTTCGGTGTCTTTGGAAACTTAATAGCAGAGGCCATTGTAGAAGTGAAATAACTGATATTCAATATACTTATCATTTGTATTCCTACTATGGCAGTTATTTAAGAGTGCTGATTTTAGGAATACAAATGCATTCCTTACACCATACAATGTAGCTTCAAGTTATCCATGTTACATAAGAGATAGTGACAAAAATTCACAGTGTTAGCCTACATGCTAACCTGCAAGCCCTTGTGAGTTGCCATCTGCAGAACTTATGGATCCCAAGATTTGTGGGTTTTACACATTCATATCTACTAGGTTTGGGTAATACAAGCAACAAATTCAGATGATTGGCCCAAGTATGCGATCCTGTGACTTAGTTTCTCTTAAAGCCATAGTTGTCCTAATTCCTCTTGTTTTTGTCTCTGGAAACAGTTAGATGATCTATGTCAGCATATTAAACCTCATATTCAGAACAGTAAGTAAAAGTGGGTCCATTGTGCTCAGTGCCTTCCAGAAAGATGTTTGTAATCAGTCCATACCGTTTAACAGTCGACACGAAGTAGGCGGGAAGCTCCACTCACTTCTGATGAATGTGGAGGCTTACACAAGTTCCTTCCTTACTGCCAGTCTGCTCTGTTGTCTTTGACAAATGTCCAAGGGATCTGCAGACTCCATGGACGATTACAGACAACTTTGCACGCTGTTCTTCTCTTTACAAGTAAGCACACAGTGCCTAATATTTAATATTTGCTATGGCATGGTTCTAAACACTGCATGTGTTTACCAGTAACCATCCTAGACAGGCCTTGCTGTTTGCAAGACAGAAAGAGCTGGCCCAAACCACACACCAGCAAGGAGACGTTACCTTGACAGGTACCACGCACAGACATACATGTAGGCAAGACACCCCTACACATTCATAAACAAAACGAAAAGGGTTCTGGATGCCTGCATGATTTTCTTACCCTCATCCCTACCCCTTCCTCTTGGCACACAAGATCCCCCCCCCAGCTGTTTGTCCAGGGAAGGCCTGAGGCTTTACTCTTTGTGTTAAAAAAGACAAACTGTTGGCTGGTGAGATGTCTTAGTGAGTAAAGGTGGGTGCTTGTACCCCACATGATAGAAGAGAAACATCTCTCCTTCCCTCCCTCCTTGCCTCTCTCCCTGCTTCCCTCTCTGCCTCTCTCCCTGCCTCCCTCCCTCTCTCTCTCTAATGAATACTTGGAATTTTAAAAGAAAAATATAAAGGGCACGTTGAACTTGAGCGCAACTGAGCGTCTGAAGTCTAGACCTAGCAAGCCATGCAGGTGCTGCACGTTTTGTCACGGGGAAGATCAGAAGCGACAGTGAACTTGTGCCTTGGCCCTCATCACTTAGCCACACTCAGTGTGACCTCCTGCTGATCCCTCTCCCCCTTCAGGTGTGAGGTGGGCACAGAGAGCTGGTCTCAATGCAACGACACACCTGTGAAGTTTGCTCGGTTTCCAGTCACTGGTTTGATAGAGGGTCGTTCCTACATATTCCGAGTGCGAGCTGTGAACAAAACTGGAATAGGCCTGCCGTCTCGAGTTTCTGCGCCCGTGGCTGCTCTGGACCCAGCTGAGAAAGCTAGACTTAAAAGTAAGCCCTCTTCATTTCTCTTTATCTTTCCTGGGCCTTAAAAGAAAAAAAAAAGTCACCAAGTGTCACTGCAAGCAATTCCTGTTCTGTCCACTAGAGGGAGGCAAGAAAAAGCCATCTCTGTGATTAGAAAATCCTGTGGTCTGGTGAGTTCAAGAACATAAAATTTATTTGCTTTTGATTTGGGGGGGGCTTGTAAAAGAACATCACTTTATCTTATCATTTAAAAATCACTCATAAAAGCGTATCTTGCTAATCTGTGTTCTAAATGTTAGGTATGGAATGAAATTTGGGAACAAATAGCCCCAAGGTCATTTTTTTTATTCACATTATTAGTGTAGTCCAAATATAACTGGATTTATGGCTCAGAGTGAATTTCCTGACCTTGAATTCTTTGTTCAGGCTTCTCCATGTTGATTAAAGAACAAATTTACATCATTTAGGTAACATAAAATAATCTTGAACTGTCAAGATGGTGCAGCAGGTAAGGGTATCTGAGTTCAGTGCCCAGGACCCACATGGTGGAAGGAGAGTGCTAACTCCTACAGCGGTCCTCTGACCTCCATATGTACTCTGTGGCCTGTGTGCAGTCACATGCACCCACACATACCCAGTGCACGTGCGCACGTGCGCGCGCACACACACACACACACACACACACATAATTAAAATGTAATCTAAAAAGTCTCTAAAAAATAATACTTTTATCTGTTTGTCTTCTGAGCCTGAATGGCAAAACCAAGGTACATAAATTATGCCTTCAATGGGAACCCCTATGACATCTCCAATACAAGGGATCATAAAATGGCATCATAGGAATCCCTAGTTATTGACATTTCATTCTGTCCCGGTAGCCCTCGTCACACCTCAGGCCAGCAGTTGTTAGCTGAGGGAATATGCACACAGGATGCTTACGGACAGACCTTGCATCTGCCTACTGCATGCCCGCCGTATTATTTTCCAGTTGTAATCAAAGATGTTTCTGGATGCTATCAGATACCCCAGGGAGTAGGAGGTAATTCATGTGGATGATCACAGGTCCATTCTGAGTTTACAGTTTTTTTCTTTCCCTCAGTGACTTTTAGTGTCATCACAAAGCTCCAAGGAAAATAGCATCACATTCAGACTTACATCCTGTTAGATTAGTCAATTCTATCTCATGTTTTCTTCTACTCCCCTTTAAGAATTCCAGTAAAAATAAGATTTTTGTGAATGGGAAACACATCGTCTTCTTTGCTACCTTCTTGTTTCCTGCAGACTCAAATGAAAAGTCCCCCAAGTAAAGCAAGATAGAATCATTCTTTCTTTCCTGGACAATCTAATATCTATCTCTCTGTCTCTGTCTCTGTCTCTCTTTCTCTCTCTCTCTCACCTGTCTATTATCTATCTTTTGTCTATGTATCATCTATCATCTATGTACCTACCATCTATGTATCATCTATCCTCTCTCTCTCTCTCTCTCTCTCTCTCTCTCTCTCTCTCTGTGTGTGTGTGTGTGTGTGTGTGTGTGTGTGTGTGTGTGTGTGTGTGTGTGTGAATTTGGGCATGCATGCATTGCCACAGTGTTCATGTGGAAGCCGGAGGACAACCAGCTGGCAAGAGTTGGTTGTCTCCGTCCACTGTGTGGGTCTCAGGGATTGAACTCACGTCATCAGGCTTGTCAGCAGGCACCTTTACCATCTTTCCCACCCACCATTCTCTTTTTCATGCTTTCAGGGCCATAGAATGGAGCTCTTCTTTAAATTACACCTTTCTCTTCCATCTTCCTTACTCATGATCTAAGCTGACTTCCCATGAGCAACACTTTCCAAAACACAACAGGAAAGGTTTGCCTCATTCAGCTCTCCTGTCTAATCTGCCTCTTGTCTCCTCTGATCGCCCCCCCCCATGAGAGATAGAGAACTACTGGGCCCATGACTGGCCTCGATGTGTTGTTCTGGTCTCCGAAGAAGGACTGAGAAAGCCTACATGTTTGGGGGTCGTATACTGAGCAGCATGAGCACAGGCTGCCCACTTATCTTGTATAAGTAGAACTGCAGAAAATTCAACTCAGTCCAGGGAGGCTCTAGGTTCCGGCAGGGGCCGTGCTTCCCCTATACCTTATACATGTTGACAAAGATGCATTAGGAGGGCGTGTCAGAAATAGAGCCCATTTGACTAACTCATCCAGAGTCAGAAGCACGTGTGTGAACATGCGACTCTTACTCTTGTCCTGTGTAGGTCGCCCTTCAGCACCCTGGACCGGACAGATCATTGTCACGGAAGAGGAACCTGCTGGTAAGAACTCTCGCCTCTCCAGAAGCCGCTGCTGATGTCTTGCTGTGCAGTTTAGCTTTGCTTGTAAAAGCATACATTACTGCTTGCCAAGCTTTGGGACAGGATAGAAGCTGAAATAACTTATCAAAGAATCTTGCAGGGTGGGGCTGAGGATTGAGCCCAGGGCCTTGTATGAAGGTCAAGAGCACGCTTTACGTTTTGAACTATACACTTCCGGTCCCAAAGAGTCACATTTAATTTTAAAAGACACATTGTGGTGCAGTTGTCATGGATGAACTGTGCATATGTCAGCATACCATTTGATAAGCCTCATGTGTGTGCACATGTGACCTCACTGCCGTGATCAAAACAGCAGACATGCCCACCACCCCAAGACCCTGTCATGTTCTTCCAGCGGTTCCTCCTTCCACCCCTCCCCCATCTCCAGGTCATCTCTGGCCTGCTTCCTGACATTACAGTTTGCCTTGTCCACGTTTCATAAACAAGATCATACTTATCTTTGTTTCTGTAGTCAATGTTTCTGTTCCGCCTGGTCCCGCAGCCGATTAGCCCCAAATAAACACACACAGACTTGTATTGATCTATAAACTGTTTGGCCGGTGGCTTAGGCATCTTACTGGCTTGCTCTCTCTTAATTTTTAACACATTTCTATTAATCTAAGTATTTCCACGTGGTCTTACCTTACCTGAGAAGGGTTGTATCATACCTGTTACTCCTTCCTCAGCTACATGGCGTCTCCCTGGCAGCTTCTCCCCGAGTCCTCTCCCCAGAATTCTCCTCGTCTGGTAGCTCCGCCTATACTTCCTGCCTGGCTACTGGCCAACCAGTGTTTTATTCATCCACCAATAAGAGAAACACAAGAGCATCCCCATCATGTTTTCTTTTGTCAGTACACTTACTCTGTGGTTTATTCATGTAGATGCTTCTGTCGATTAGTAACGATTCATCTGCGCTTTTTTTAAAGTTTGTGTAAGCCATATGGGTTTGTGTAGATGTGTGCATATTTTTATTTATTAACCAGTTTTTTCTTATTTGCTCTTTTCTTTGGACTGGAACATTTTTTAGTTATCCCACTTTATTTGCATTATGTCATTAGCTATCGTTCTTCGTTTTAGGTTTTAATATATGATATTTACGATGTGCGTCTTTTCTCAGCCCACCTTTTCCCTTTCTCAGTGCTATGTTGGCCCACATTGTAATTGTGTATAGACCATAAACTGTACAGTATATCATGCTGACCTTGAATAGTCATCTATCTTTCAAGGAGTTAGAAAAAATTATTTAAAAAATGTATTCATGTTTATGTCTATGAGTGTCTTGCCTGCTACATGTAAGTGCACTTTGTGTGTGCCTGGTACGGTCAGACAGAGAGGGCACTGGATCCCCTAGAACTGGAGTTAGACATGGTGTGAACCATCATGTGGGTTCTGGGAATCAAACCCAGGTCCTCTGAGAGAGCAGTGTTCTTAACCACTGAGCCACCTCTCCAACCCTCTGAAAGAAAAGCTTTCTGTGTTTATTCACCTTCTTATCTTTTCCTCCCTCCCTCCCTCCTTCCTTTCTTTCATACATGATCTCACAGGCATGTGCTACCATTATACAGACTCCAGGGTTCTATTTGATCGGTTTTTCCTTTCACATGGTTCTCATCCTTTAACTTTTTTTAAGTACAGATTTTCCAGTTATCAGTCGTTTTACCTTTTGTGTGTCTGAAAAGGTCTTGGTTTAACCTTCGTTCTTGTGATATACCTTCACTGAATATAGAATTCTGGCTTGACAGTTTGCATCAGGACTTTGAGGGACTTAGTCCAGTTGGGAGGCTGTGACACTGGCTCAAGGAGCCATGGATAAGATGCCAAGCGTCTGTGGGGAGGACTTGTGTCACAGGAGTGCATGGAGGTTTTGCAGCTTTTTGCAACACTGCGTGGACCAGACAACAAGCTTTAAAAAAAGATCCCAGCGCATTAGAAACAGCTAGAGCAAAGATAAATGAAAAACTAACAAGTACTGAAGGTGACATTTAGCCTAAGAAGGTAGAAGAGCTGGTGAGAACAGTTTCTGTTGTTCAGAATGTCGTATGCAAGGTGACCACTCTGAGTTCAGTGCACTGAAACTGGTCCCCGAAAATGTCTCTAGAACATATGCCATATTGTGATGCTCCAACTCAGAAGCAGTGTGTCTTGTAGGATAAAACAAGTCTTTGCACATTTTAGCTTTAATCTTGAAACTCTGGCACAGGTCCTAGAAATGTAGATACTTTTCTGGAATTGGTTTGTTGAAAATGAATGAATCCAGGAGCAGCTTCAGGGCATTGGTGGCACACATCTTTAATTCCAGCACTCTGGAGGGAGAGGTAGGTGAGTCTCTGTGAGTTCGAGGCCAGTCTTGTCTACAGAGTGAGTTCCAGGACAGGATCCAAAGCCATAGAAAAACCCTGTCTCCAAAAACCAAGAGCAGCTTCATAATTTCCCATGAAGAGAGCGTGCTGAGAGCCGCAGAGCCTGTGTTAAAGGCCTTAGGTAAGACAGTTCATTCTCACTGAAAACCAACCTTTATACAATGACATAAGAGCTTACTTAGGGAGGTGAAACAGACTCCCTCCTCTTTCCTGGTGATATAGATTTGGTCTTAACAATGCCATCTGAAAGGGAAACATCCTGACAAGTTGGTGAGTTTTCCTCCCATGGGAAACACGATTGCTCGATATAAATCACTAGATTAAATTGATGCTGAGGCACTCAAATATTAAATTGGTCAGTAGCAAACAATTTCCGATGGCCCGCCACAGAAGGTAGCCTTTGTTTCCCGGAACACTGTAGTTATTTCTGCAGCTAACAAATAATCATGTAGTTTATTTTAGCCACAAGGTACTTCTCTGTGTTTTTGTAGACACTTTAAATCAGTCTTCTATGGATAGATGAATGAACTATCAGATCACTTGGGGTCACTACGGAATAAAGACATCCTAACTTTTTAAGGAAACAGTTACCATCCATGAGACTATATACAGTTTTTATAGTTATCTATTGCTTAATGCTGGATATTTTTAAATTTTTAGAAATGCCTTTGAGCATAGTTTTGGGGACACAAATCTTTTCAAGGTGGCAGGGAACTCAACTGTTGTGGAGGGGAAGGAAGGAGGGAAAAAGAGAGAGGGAGGGAAGACGTTTTCTAATGAAGATGTAATTGTGAGGTAGATCCGGAGATTATCATGTAACTTCCACGCTTCTGACCTTGACACAGAAACCAACCCTACCACCTCATGGCCCACTCTAGGCTTCAGTTTGTACTTTATATACTTTGGAACCAAACTAACACTTCTTTGCACTATTCAATTTCTCCCTTCACTGGGTCAGCCACAAATCATATAAAGACAGGTCCCCTCGGTCTGTTTGTCTGTTAAATGTACAGTAGCATCATAATAACCAAATGAATGAATGATTTATTATTTATTTTAAAGAAGAGATTAGAGACAAGGTTTCTTTACACAGTGGAGACAGGAATAGAGAGGCCCTTGTGTCTCTCCATGTGTCCCTGGCTCCCCTGAACATGTGCACCTCACTTTACCTTGTTGTTTTTCAGAGGGTGTCATTCCTGGTCCCCCCACAGACCTCTCTGTCACTGAGGCCACCCGGAACTACGTAGTGCTGAGCTGGAAACCCCCTGGCCAGCGTGGTCACGAGGGCATTATGTACTTTGTAGAAAAGGTAAGGCCCTAGCATTATCTCCTAAGGGTCTTCTTAAGTCACATTAATTTCTAATAACAGTGGAGTAAAGGAGGACAGCAGCAGGAATAATCTAAACTCTTTAAATTCTTGCAGATTATGAACTGTCTCTGTTGAATATATATATATATATATATATATATATATATATATATATATATATGTGTTCATAGAACTTCATCATGGCGCTTTGAGACTCATTCATGTTCTTACAACTATAGATTGCCTATATGGTGGTGTTTTCTAGAGCAGTACCCTGTCTCTCTTGCTCTAATGATGGCTGTTTGTCTACTGGTCCTTCTGTCATGATGATGAAACAATAAGTTCATGACTGTTTTCCCATGCAACATAGACATCATCTTCTAAGGGTCTGTTTTTATGAACTCTAAAATTATACTTATAGGTTTGTATTTTCTAAATGTTATCCCCAAATAAAAGTTTGGTAGCATCCTTAGCCTTTTTCTATTTTAATAGAAGCAACGATGGTATAATAGCTAAATGTATATTTCCTGGTATATTTAACACACACCCATGCCCACTGCATTTTTTGACACACTCCACAGGAAGAGGCTCTGAGTTAACTCTGTGACAGTAATTACCACTTTGTTGAAGTAATGACTCATAACAACCCACTCTGAGACATGTTCTTCAGATGAGTCAGCGCTAGCTTCTGTTGACCATTTCCGTTGGTCACACCAACCTAAATTTTTCCACGGAAGTCTGTAACTTCCCCAGATCAAAATACATATCATCTATCACTAAACAATTAAACATTTTGTCTACCAGCCTGCTCAGTTGAACGCAAGAGAAGATAATATTTAAGAGTATGGCATTGCATGGAGAAGCCTCACAGGGTATATTCCACTGTTGCAGCATCCAGAATGTTGGAGGAGTCAGGATGCAGACTGTGTTCAGAGACCTGGGATGCTATTACAGAAATCTCTAAATGCCAAGCCACTCTACTATGAGTCTAATTATTTCTGATAAGCCATTTTATGAGCCGTTGGCCTTTTTAAAGTTTCACTTACTGTTTCCATGGCATGTTTTTCTCCCACCTAGGATGCTCATGCAGCCACAGTGCTATCTCCTGGGCTGTCCCACGCTTGCACCTGAAGGGACTTTCACCTGGGATTTTCATGCACACAAGCTATGTGCTGGTCTGTCGAGTTACATGCTTATAGTCAAACATTGAAGCCAAGCCTATAATTCCTAAGATGAAAGGACTGGTGAACCAGGGTCTTCCCTTTAAACTCCTTTTCCCTCAGTTATCTCATGTCTTGGATACTTTCTCCATTGCCCTTTCAAAAATCTGGTCACGTCAGGCACAAAATGGTGTCACTTACTAGCACTGCTTGTATCTGTAAAAATGAAAATAAGTGGTGCTTGCCAGAGAACATCACTGTATCGCACAGATTTGTTAACCTACTTAATTCTTTAAAAGAAACGCTGTTAGGGGCACACTTTTATTTTCATTGTACCTATTTTATAGATAAACTGAGTATTTGATGGGTTTGATAATTTGCTCCAGATTGCACAGCAGGTACAAGTTAGAGGTAGGATTTGAACATGCATAATCCAGGCACAGATCCAAAAATGTAGCTAGTCCAAAAATACAACTTCATGATCCAACAAGACACTCAGAATGTTTTGGATTTTGGATTGGGGATACTTAAACAATAAAAGTCTATGTAGATTTTACACACACACACACACACACACACACACACACACACACACACAATTCCTAAGTCTTAAATACTTATGGTTCAAAGTGTTTGAAATAAGGAAAATTCTACCTGCATTATGCTGGGCTGCACCCGAAACTTAAATCTGCTCCTCTCAAGAATGGTGGTGGTACAGCTGAGAGGGTTGAAATTAGAGTGGCTTGTAACATCCACAGCACAGAGAAAGCAGCATGATTGCTTATGTATTCCCCTGAGGACGGATGCCAAGAATGTCAAGAATTTGTCACTCGCAGGGGGCAGATCACACATACAAAGGTCACATTATCATGAAACTTATTTCAGGAACACCAGAGCTTCACCTTATAACAGATGATAACAGTGAGGCCAAGAGCACCCATTTCCCATTCCAAGGTCATCCAGCTCATCACTAACTGGGACCAGACCCGTTGAGTCCCTTCTGCCATGCGACTGAATACATCCCATGTCAATAGAGATCATGTTGTCTAGTGTAGTACAAACTTCTATGCCTGTCATAAAATGTAGATTTCTGGAAGATTTGCATTGAAGATGGTTTTTGATCTCTAGCATACTCAGGCAAGGGCAACAAAATTTGTGCTTTTGCCGACCTCGAGCGTTGCTGGATGTTAGGGATGGAGAAAGTCTTTGACTCGTCTTCTGACGGTACTGACTCCTGCTAACGTGTGCATTCACCTCTTCACCCAAGTCACTGGAGGTCACTTTAAGGATAGAATTTATTTATTCATTCATTCATTCATTTATTCATTTGCTTAATTTCTTTTGAGACAGGGTCTAACTCTGCATGTCAGCTGTCCTGGAAGTCACTGTGTAGCCCAGAGTGACTTCGGACTCCTGGCTTTCCTCCTGCTTCAGCCTTCTGAGGGCCGAGATGACATACATGCACCCCATTCCTTTCAATCTATTTAAACCTTTAAAAAAAGATTTTATGGTTTGTTCTAAAACTCGGGCACAGTTTCCACAACCTTATTCGTTTGTCCATTCAGAGAAGAAACTTTTAGTGTCCTCCTGGACTGGGGCAGGGCAGTGAGTGGGCAAGTCCCCTGGGCTCATGGAATGCACTTTCTGGTAGAGGAGAGAGCAAATAAGTAAGCTTCACATAATGACAAATGGCTTAATTGCTGAACAAATCAGGGCAAGGATTGAAGGGTGACGAGAGAAGGACCTGAATTGTCCTAAACTGGTGAAGGGAGGTTACACAGGCCTTTTGGAGGAGGTGGCAGCCAAGCATGGGCCTGAAGGATGTCACCAGTCATAACGCTCAACCAAAGTAACACAGGTCATAGCAACATTGCACAGATCTAAGTACTCAAGGCAGTTCATTGAAGTGATGACCTACCCTAAGACTTAGAGAAATAGCTATTCTTGAGATAAAGACTTCTACAAGTACATTCACATGCACGTTGATGCACAAGTGACATAAAGTGTTACAACAGCTTATCAAACATCTCAGTGTCACATGTGGCATTCAGCTGTCCCTTTTCCACATCTCTTCTCCAGTTCATCTCTAGAAACAGGGGTAGTTTGTTGGCAGGTAAATAAGTGTGAGTCCCATGTATGCTCTTGGGGCTTCCAGTGATGTCACTGTCCCTGCTGCAGTGTGACGTGGGAACAGAAAACTGGCAACGTGTCAACACAGAACTCCCAGTAAAGTCTCCTCGCTTTGCTCTGTTCGACTTGGTGGAGGGGAAGTCTTACCGCTTCCGTGTCCGCTGTTCAAATTCAGCAGGAGTCGGCGAACCATCAGAGGCAACAGAAGTGACTGTCGTAGGGGACAAACTTGGTAAGTATAGGGTCAGACTGAACAATTAAGAAAATTCCAATCCAAGAGTAAAATAGTGTTTTTTTGCTTATGCAGAGTAAATGTCAGTAGTTTCAACAACTAGTATGGTTTTCAATGTCCATTAACATTTCATTTTCTGTTATGCTTCCTGAATAATATTTTGAGCAAAATACATTACAAAACAAAGCAACTGTATGTTCAACATGATGTGTAAATATTTATGCATGTGCTTGCATGGGAATGAAGTATATTAAATGACCTTCAGTTTGATCACCACTTTTTCTTTTTTTACACAGATATCCCCAAGGCCCCTGGCAAAATCATCCCAAGTAGGAATACAGATACCTCAGTGGTGGTTTCCTGGGAGGAGTCCAAAGATGCCAAAGAACTAGTTGGGTACTACATCGAGTCCAGTGTGGTTGGCTCTGGCAAGTGGGAGCCCTGCAACAACAACCCTGTGAAGGGCTCACGGTAATGTGTGTGTGAGTGTGTGTGTGAGTATGTGTGAGTGTGTGTGTGAGTGTGTGTGTGAGTGTATGGTGTGTGAGTGTATGGTGTGTGAGTGTGTGTGAGTGTGGGGTGTGTGAGAGTGTGTGTGGTGTGTGTGGTATGTGTGTGTGTGAGTGTGTGTGTGTGAGTATGTGTGAGTGTGTGTGTGTGTGTGGGGGGTGTGGGGTGTGGGGTGTGGAGTGTCTTCCAGAACTACTGTAAGCTACACGTAGTACACGCATCCAGTGGAAGAATAGCACACTTGGGGTTAGAGAGATGGCTAAGCAGCCAAAAGTGTGTACTGCTCTTGCGGAGGACGGACCCAAGCTCAGTTCCCAGCACCCACATTGGGAGAGTCACAACGTCTGTAACTCCAGCTCCAGGGGTCTGACAGCCATGTCTGGCCTAACCCTCCATACACAGACACATTCGCCCCCACCACACACACATGTATACCAGGTAGTGCCATACACAGACACATTCTCCCCTAACACACACACACACACACACACACACACACACGTATACCAGGTACCTCCATACACAGATACATTCTCCCTCCACCCCACCACATACACATATAGATATAATTTTTTAAAATCTTTTAATAACACATGTACACATTTACTTTAAATAGCCAAATGAAATTTAAAGCTGAACATGTCTAATGTAATATATTTGCAAAAAAAGACTTACAATGTTAAACACTTAAACATAATATATCATCCAAAAGTTTATTTTATAGTTCTTCTCTAATTCTTTCTCTTTTGATTATCTTTTTTCCATTGTTATTCTCTGGTCTTTCACATACAAAATGACATTAGACTCCAAGGACCTAAGAGGCTCTATCAAACATGAATACCTTGGTATTTTTAAAAGGACAGAAAACAGAATATCAGTACTTTACAAGTTCTAAACATCAACATGATTAAACCCAGGACCAAGCAGATGGAAAACAGACATTCTGGCTGTTTGCCACCTCTTTCTTTTTTCATTGTGGGGAGAATAGTTTTTCTCTTGCTTTTAATTATTTTCTCAACCAGTTGAGCCTGCATAATTTAGGACCAACTTGAGAGGTGGTCTCTATTAAGTGTCTCACGGGCTCATTGGGCAGCTTCTGTCTTAGCCCTTTCCCAAAGCCGCACACTCCTGAGGATGGGTGGAACCAGAACCTGAGAGACTGGAGACCAGCATAGCATTCATTTCTTACACTGAAATGTTCTTGCGTTCCATCTTCATCCTGGGCATTCAGAAGCCCAGGAGCCCAGGCGTCTGCCTTTCTACAAAAAAGCAGGAGCCAGTGAAGAGCAGGCACTGTTGTTATTATCATCATATCTATAACTAGCCCCATGTCTTCACCTCTAACATGCTCAATAAATATTCACCAAACCAAGTTGACCCTAGACTGAAGGTTTGGTTTTCTTTAACTATCCAACAAGTGTGTGGGAGAGAGTCCTTAGCAGACTGTTATTTCCTGGGTTACAGTCTTCAAGGTTGACTTAATGTTCCACTGGCTCATGCAATGCTGCTTAGAGCTGTAACAGCTGTTAAGGAATATGGTGGTTTTGAATAGGAGTCTACTGTGGATTCACACTGTATTATTGGACCTTTGCATCTACATGGTGATTCTGGAAACTGTTTTTCACTTTATCTCAGAATCCAGTGTAATTTCTCAAGCAACGATTCCTTCCCTGGCATAAAGAGGGTAGCGGGTCAGTGTCTATGACAGGATATTTCTCAGTACCTTGCATTTTAAGTATAGAACTGAAGTAGCTACTCATGATATTGTCAACACACCTATTATTTATTATTAGCTGCCTCATTCTTTTCAGACCCACTGGTGGCATTTTAAACACTAGATAGCTCGTCTTTATGCAGAATCAATATGTAGTAATATGATTGTTTCCCTGTTGGACATTTTCTGTTGAACATTGAGGGTAAGCCAGGACTCCTCTTCTTTTTTTTTTAAAGTTTTAAAAATTGCCCATATCGCCTTCTTATCTAAGGTGCGTATGTTGCTTGAAGGTCTCATGTTTGAAAAGTAAATCTTTTCATAAAGCCAGGCTGATCAGCTCACTCAGCCAAGCTGCCAGTCATCCTCCCTAATCCTCCTCCCCAAGGCTCTGAAAGCTTTCTCTCCCCTTCAGATTTACTTGTCACGGATTGGCCACTGGTCAGAGCTACATTTTCCGGGTCAGAGCAGTGAACGCAGCTGGACTTAGCGAATATTCCCAGGATTCGGAAGCTATTGAAGTCAAAGCTGCGATTGGTAAGCGCCTTCTGTGAAATGTAGCCAAAAAATACAAATGAAGTTTCCAACTTTCCACCTCCCTAAATGGTTTAAGGTTTCTAATTTCACTCCACGATTCCCCGTTAAATGACCATTCTCTCTTTGGCTCCAGTTGACGACTAACCTTCCATAGCTGACATTTTACAGATCTTCATCACTTACCAGCGTCTGCACATCCGTAGCAATTTCATCTTCCATCACTCCAGTTTCCTCAGACATTCCCCATTGTGTGAAACTTCATGCTAACTTCGTGTTCAGCCTGGGAACGGGCAGGCTGTCCCTCATCCATGAAGTGGTACATCACCGTCACTCCACCATCTTGTACCTAAACGCCATTTCATCTGCAGCAGAGCTCGGCTGCTTTTTTCCTAACAGCACATTACCATGCTTCTTAAAAAATGCCTCTAAGAATCATGTAAGACACGTGTGGCCGCTTAATCACACAATCCATCTGTTTGCAAACTAACAGAGTAACACCATTAATACGGTAATTATATGTATATATGTGTTATACCTCCCAATCCTGGGTAGAGTGGGAAAGGGACCCAGCTAATTCAGAAAAAAGCAAAAGTAAGATCTGTAATATGCTAACATATTAAAGGAAACATTTGATTGAGTGTGTGTCTCAGTAATAGAGCACACAGTTATGAGGTGCACAGCCGCAATAAAAAGATTAGGCAGGTGCGATGGTGCATACCTATAACACAGCAACTGGGCATGCTGAGGCAGGAGGATTGAGAATTCAAGGTCATCCTGGGCTGCATAGCACGACTCTGACTCAAAATCCAAAGCAATAGCACAAAAAAACAAACAAAAACAAAAAACAGATTTAATGTTAGTTTTCTTCTTTGGCATTGTTTTAAGGTAGGCAGTAGCAGACACGTTCTTCTGGGGGTTGGGAGGTAAATTCACTGCTGTTGCACTAGCAGTCATGACTCTGTTACACAGCTAGGATCTTTAATGCTGTGTCTTGTGCACTTTGCGCTCCTTTCTCTACTATGTCCAGTATCAGAGCATATTGTCTCTCAAAGATTATCTGAGATTTGCTTTTTTTCCTATATAAACTAAAACCCTTTGGGTTCTGCAAATAGAAATGGTTCCTGTTCAGTCTATGGTTTGGTTTTGCTCTTGTCTCTTCTTTTTCCACAAACAATGGAGAAGTTGAAGTGTTCCCTGGTATAAATTCTGCTAAGCCAAGATTGTTTTTTCCGCTCTGCTTGTAACCCTAATGCTTCTGTTTGTTCTGTTATCCAACAGTAACATGTACGGGGTCTGGCTCACGTCGTTTCTGTTGTTGTCTGGTGACTGTAGGGGGAGGAGTGCCTCCAGATGTGTGGCTTCAACTGAGTGATGCGCCTGGCGGACTAACAGACTCCAGGGGGGGGGCGTGAATGGAGCCTCCCCTCCAGCCTCTCAAAAAGATGCTTTGCTCAGTAGCCAACCTAACAAACCTTCACCACCCAGTAGCCCTTCCAGCCGGGGCCAGGCAGAAGTGAGTAAAGTAAGTGAATCAGTTCAGGAGGAGCTCAGCCCGCCGCCACAGAAGGCAGCTCCCCAGGAGCAAAGTAGACCCGAGCCCCCGAAAAAGAAGAAGGACCCTGTAGGTGAGAACGGCCACGCCCAGCTCTTCATCATCTCCATCAGTGTTCTCACCTCTCATTGTCCAGACCATACGCTTCATCCGTGTCCATTCCTCACTCGTTCTGAATTTTCTGTCTCTGTTGGCCATTTGGCATGCGTTCGTCTAATACACTATCAAAGTCACCGTGTGGGGTTGGCTCACAAGCATTATTCCTTAGCCTTAGCAATGACAAGATGTTTACGGGACTTTTTGAATGAGGGGGAGTTAGTCAGGAAGATACTCTAGGCCCTAGACATGAGGGTAGGAAGGACTTGGTGATTTAGTCAGGCTGGGTGAAGCTGATTGACCTTGACACAATCTGTTTGACATACGTGCTCAGAACATGTAGAGGAAAATATTCCACAATGAAATGATGGTGTATCAAGGTCAGAGTTATTTCCATTATTCATCTTCAGGTTTTTAAGTGACCATTCAGATTTCGTTCAGATCGCTAGCTTAGCTGTTCTGAGAAGTTCGGAATGGCGGTATAGCCATAGAGAACTGCATAGAATACTCCTTCCCAGAAGGGACTCATGGAAGATGGTTTATTAGAAAGGTAAATGTGAGCCGATTGGGTGCTGTGGGTTACATGTGTGTCCTAGGAGACAATGTATTGCATAAAAGTGCTGATAAGTTTCAAGGGCCTCCTGCCCATTCCCCGTCTCTACGTACCCCAATTTCAGAACTCCTCTACTTTTTTCTGTTTTGAACACTTATTCGTGCCATTAACTAAGAAGAAATGGGATAGTCACTTGAGGGTCCATCCTCATAAGTTCTCTGAAAAAAAAAAGAGAGAAATGACTTTATTCTAAATGTTTTCTTTGTTCTGAAAGTTGTTTTAAATAGGAATGTGATACTTTCTGTAACTCTTATAATCAAAACAAACCCTTGGAAATTTTTCTTCTATACTGCATATCTAGATAGATTTCTTGCTATCTCTGTACCTTTTTTCTTTTCCTTGAAAACTGTCATTTCTGTGGCCAACTGTAAAGGGGACCAGCAAAGCCGTGTAAATGTACAACGAGTTTTGAAGTAACCTTCAAACACTTTTCCAGCTAGGGACTAGCAAATGCTGTGATAGCTGCACAGTGTTTTGTGCTATGTAAAACACTCCAGCACCAAGAGTTTATAGGGGTTTAAAAATACTGTGATAAACATGTATCTACCAAGAGAATGTCATATGGCAGATTCTGCCTTGTGCTATAGGGCATTTTTAAAAGGTGCGTTAAATGAGATCCAGGACATTTTCCTGACTGGAGTATACAGTGCAAAGACTCTGACTTAGGGTAAGTGTACATGAAAATGAAGCCATTTGGAAATATGTGGAGATGGCAAGTAAGCAAACTGAGACAGAAACCAAGATACGTACACATTCTGTTGTCATCAGAGATCAAATAAAAACAAAACCACAAAAAGGTGTAGCTCTTGGGGGAAATATTCCCTCCTATGGGAAAAAGATCATTTCTGGAGGACATAGCATTTTTTCCAGACAAAATTTATAAGGCTCGGTTTAATGATTCAGTACACTTTCTCAATGTCTTTTTTTCCTCATACACCAAGTCAGGTGACAAGTTTCAGACCAGTCTCACAGTTCCATTGCATACGGCGTCTAGCACCCCCACACTGGCCAGTGTGTACAGAATCATAAATGCGTCTCTCTCTTACAAGCTATTTCTGTTGCCACAGCCGCACCGTCTCCACCCTATGACATCACTTGCATTGAAAGTTTTCGTGACTCAATGGTTCTTGGATGGAAGCAACCAGACGCGACTGGAGGGGCAGAGATTACGGGCTATTATGTGAACTATCGCGAGGTGATCGGTGGGGTGCCTGGAAAATGGAGAGAAGCCAACGTCAAGGCCGTCAGCGACGCAGCATACAAGGTGGGCAAGCCGGCCTCTGTGGTGTGATGGGTCCTGTGAGTGAGACAGTGCCGGCATGTACACACTCACAGCTGTTGATGGGTTTGCGTCATTTTACCAGTATGCATTGTCAGCACTGGTGTGAGTTCGTGTAAAAAGAATATCCCTTGGTGGATAAGATGAGTATGGCTGGCCAAGCAGGGCTTACATTTTCTGATTCATACGTGTAAGCATGATTTTTTTTTAGAATATCTACCACAAAATGTGCATTTATTATGAAAACTAGTATTTTCTTTCAAAACTTTGGTAACTATGCCACTAGCTTCAGACATTGCTAGATCCTGTAACTGGATTTTTAAAAAGTCTTCACAGTTAAAATCAGTTTACTTGACTCCCCTCCTTCTGGGGTGTTCACTAAAATAGTGAATCTTACTGCCAGAAAAAAGAACATATGTTCTTCTGTTGAAGAGGCCTCTACTACCCCGCCTATCACAGACACTCCCCCTCCCCGCCCTCTGTAGTACAGCTGTTGATCTTCGTTAGAGCATCACCTGCTAAGCCCAGTTACCAACCCCCCAGCACTCACGGACCCCCCCCAACACAGTGAAAGGGCAGAGCAAGACCCAGCCAGGAAACAGCCCACCTTGAAGTCAGTGCCACACTCTAACATTTGAAATTTGTGAAATATTACACATAGACCAGTCATGCTAATACACAATAGTTCTGCTTTTGCTTTCTGTTGCAAGTTTTCATTATGTGGCCTAGGCTAACATCAAACTTGTAATCTTATTCCTCATCCCACAAAGTACTAGTATTACAGACATGCACCACCACACCCAGCTACAAAGTTGTGTCCTTAACATTCTCCCATGTTGCTATGTACAGTTTTTTAATTACATATGGCATTCTACCATGTGTCTGTTCTATGATATGTGCTCCATTCCCTTACTGATTGCTGTGTGTGTCATTTCATGTTTTTGTTTGTTTGTTTGTTTGGTTGGTTTTTTTAGCTACATCACCCAATACAGCAATGAACACATCTGCTAGTACATACATGCAACAGTTTCTCTAGGCAATTACCTAAGTAATTCTTCCATTTTTTCCTCTATACTACTTCCTGACGTTTGTAGTCCCTGGTCTGTATCTTTGCCCACATTTGGCTATCCAGACATTCTCAGTTTTGAGAACTGGAATGTCAAATGGGTTTGAATGTCTCTTCCTGTATATAGGCTTCATTTTGTATCCTCTTCTATAGCACGCCTGCTCATAGTTTCCCCCACTTGTCCTGTGACTTTCTTACTGCTGACTTGTGGCAACCTTTAGTGTTGTAAGTGTTAGTATTCAGGCATCCGTACTGGCCTGCCCTTGGGGTTCTGACAGGATACACTCTCAGCTGCAGCCACTAAGAGCACCACCTCTGGAGACTGGCTTCCCCGCTCCCGCTCCCCTTCCCCCCTTTTATGATCCCTTTCCCTAACTAAAACAAAACAAAACAAAACAAAAAACTCTCTGCTTGAACTTGAACCCTGTCACATGGCATCTTTCTCTCACGAGTGCAGTTCTTAAATTACAGCAGTGAACATGGTCAGTGATCTTGGTGCCCTTTTGAAGAAAGGTCTCATTCACGCCAGGATCACAGAGGGTCTGCATCTGGTTATGTTCTAGAGCAGTTGTTCTCAGCCTGTGGGTTGTAACCCCCTTGGGGTCTAACTACCCTTTCACATGGATCCTAAGACCATCTGAAAACACAGATACTTACATTGTGATTCACTACAGTGGCAAAATTACAGTTATGAAGTAGCAAGGGAAATGATGTTATGGTTGGGGTCACCATAACATGAGGAACTGTATTAAAGGGTGGCAGCGTTAGGAAGGTTGAGAACCCCTGCCCCAGAGGCTTTGCAGTCACTTATATTTCAGTCATTAATTCCCCTTTGACGTTTGTATATGTTGTGAGCTGGTGGTCGAAACTGATTGTCTCCCATTGGAGACACAGCTGTGTCAGAACCGCCAAATGAAATTCATCCTCTCCCCATGATTCTTTGTGTCTGTGTCTGTCTTTGTGTTCTGAATTCCACTCCACTAGTCAGTTTGTCCAACCCTGAACTGACATCCCACTAATTCAGTTTTTACTGTTTTATAGTAAACAACCACATTCTCCCATTTCCTTAATTTTTCAGGGTTATTCTTAGCTCCCTGCACTTTGATATAAAGTATAGAATTATGTTTCTAAGTTCTTTCTGCCAAAAAAACAAGACCAAGTATAAAGAAAATAATAAATCAAATTAAAATCTACTAGAATTCTGATGGAGAGTGCATAGAATTTATCAGTAAGTTGAGTTAATTGACACATTAAATATATTGATTCCTCTAGCCCATGAACATTAGTGTTTCTCTCCATTTATTCTTGCTGGTGGGAGGGGCATACTTTAGCAGAAATAAAAATACACATAATATGTAGTGATTTTACGTGTAGCTGCTTTAGTTTTTGTTAATTTAACCATTAATTTATAAATTTTTTGGGAATCTCTTTAGAAATAGTCCTATCAAAGACAAACAGAACATTTACTCCTTCACACCCAGATTTATTTTACACTTCTGTTTCATTTCCTTGCATTACCTCCTACCTGAGACCTTTCACACAATGTTGAATAGGAGTGGCAATGTTGTCATTCTAGACATGCTCCTTTGGGTTTTGTTTGGTTGTTTGGTTGGTTGGTTTTTTGATACAAGGTCTTACTATGTAACCGAAGCCAGCAGTCCTCCTGCCTCACATCCAGAGGTTAAAACTACTTGGCACCGTGCTTTGTTTTCTTGTTTTGTCTTTGAAGTGCTAAGGCTGGAAGCCAGGGCCTCATACATGCCAGACAAGCACTTTATCGCTGACCACAGCACCAGTCCTTATCTTATAATAAAAACATTCCAGCATCAGTATTACATTTGCTGTAGTTATTTTGTAGCCAGTATTACCAGATAAAGGAGGGTTTTATCATAGTCCTTGTTCGTTAAAAGTGAATTCAGATTTTTTGTTTTGTTTTTTTTTTTCGAGACAGGGTTTCTCTGTATTGTTTTGGAACTTGCTCTGTAGACCAGGTTGGCCTCAAACTCACAGAGATCCTCTTGCCTCTGCCTCCCAAGTGCTAGGATTAAAGGCTTGCGGCACTAAACGCCCTGCGAGTGAATTCATATTATTAAAAGCAAGAGTCAGCGTTGCCATACACTATTTCTCCTTTAATTTTAATGTAGTATAGTCAAGTGATTGACTAAAAAAATCATCTGTGTCCCTTTGACATTCCTTATACTGTTTTCATCTAACTATTACCCAGACTTCTTGCTGCTGTGTTAGTGAATAAGATTATCCTGAGACTAGCTAGAATTTGATACTAGTGAATGAATGAACAGTGGACAGGAAGGGAAAATTGTTCACAAGAAAGCCTGCTTATTTAAAACGATGCTTTATGTGTTTTTGAGGTGACCTTGTTGATGAATGCAAAGTGAGTCTTTAGTGCTAAGGTTAAGCTTTACCTTAAAGGCTGAGCTTTCAATTCTTAACGACAATGCATAGGTTTTTCTTTTAGTTGGTGTTTACATGGCACGTAATTTTCATCATTTAATTTTCAATATTTCTAGAATGCTTTTTATGCATCTCTTAGAAATAGCACAGCATGTCAGGTGGTGTTGGCGCACGCCTTTAATCCCAGCACTCAGGAGGCAGAGGCAAGCGAATCTCTGTGAGTTCGAGACCAGCCTGGTCTACAGAGTGAGTTCCAGGACAGCCTCCAAATCTACACAGAGAAACCCTGTCTCGAAAAACAAAAACAAGCAAACAACAACAACAACAAGAAATAGCATGACATTAAGTCACGTGGTGTAACCTTATGACCCTAACACTCTGGAAGTGAGGGCAGGAGAACCAGGAATTCAAGGCTAGCCTGGGCTATGATGGGACTATGTATAAAAACAAAAAAGTTAAAAAGCATAGAATTACATTAGTTCCCTTGTCCTGACCATTTATATATTTTTTATCATATAAGAATATTTAACCTTATTTTAATCTCACTATAGATTTTTTTTAGCCTAATCACCTAATTACGTATGTTCTGCTTGATCTTTCTGTCATGTGCATTTTTCCTGTTCTTTATTGACTACTTTTGATTATTTAAAACATTTGTATACATTTATTAATTTTATGTGCACCCACATATCTGGAGGTCAGAGAACACTTGCAGGAGTCAGTTCAATTTCCATCCTGTGGAGGAAGGGGATTGAAATCCGGGTATCAGGCCTGGCAGCATCTCTGTGCTCTGAGATATCTTACTGGCTCTGAATACAGCTTAAAAATCATGGCCAGGCGGTGGTGGCACACTCCCTTTAATCCCAGCACTTGGGAGGCAGAGGCAGGCGGATCTTTTCGAGTTCAAATCTAGCCTGGTCTACAGACGAGTTCCAGGACAGGCTCCAAAGCTACACAGAGAAACTATGTCTCAAAAAACAAACAAACAAATCAAAATCATTTCATTTCCTCCACATTGAAAGATATATCCTGTGATTTGACGTTGATTTCTTATGGTTGGCTGAAAAACTTTAGAATTTGGTGTTATTCTCTTTGTTTTACCCTCATTTCAAAAACATAAAACCTTAAAATATTTTAATTCACTTAGTTTATATCCTGTGTTATATCAACTTGTGCCTTTTAATATTACTAATTACCCAGGTCTTTGGTTTGGTTTTGGTTTTGTCTTTTGAGATAGAGTCCTGGCTGACCTAGAAGTTGCTATCTAACCCCAGAAGGCCTCAGACTCACAGAGATCTCTGCCTCCCAAGTGCTGAGATTAAAGTTATGCAACATCACACCGGGCACAATTGCTGAATTTTACATTTTATTTTTATTCACACTTTTATGTGTATACCTGCTTGTCTGCATATGCACTGTGTGCCTGCAGGTACCCTTAGAGGCCAAAAGAGAGCATCAGATTACCTGGAACTGAAGTTACAGGGGGGTGTTCTTTAGGTTACAAGCAGGAATGTGATTATAAATGTGTGTGACTTACAGGGGCCGCCCTAGGATATATCCAATACATAAAGTAAATAAGTTGAATGTTAAACACATGGAATAAAACTAGATCACTACAGGGTATACCTGTGACACAGAGTGAAATAAAATGCTGAATAACTGCTTGTGATGCTATCAATGTTATAGATTAGCAACTTGAAGGAAAACACAGTGTACCAGTTCCAAGTGTCAGCCGTGAACATCGCGGGGCTGGGAGCACCCTCTGCAGTGAGTGAGTGCTTCAAGTGTGAGGAATGGACCATCGCTGTACCAGGTAAAGTGTGAACTTGTGTCCTTCCTCCAACAAAATCTACAAGTTAGAATGAACTGAATTACCACCTAGATGGCATTTAAGAGACAAGAGTGTGCTTGCTAAAATATTTCATGACATCATTAAATAATAGATAAATGATAGCCAGCAAGGTGTCAACTTGAAAACAAATTCCTCATGCTCCTGTTTCAACTAAAACCCCTAGGTGCCATTGCTCAGCCTCTGTTTGGAGGATTAACAGAAACACACAGTTTGGGTGCCAAGTGAGCAATTGGAAGGACTCCCAAAATTTTCATTTGTCTCTTAAAGGCCACTTGAGAACATCAGTTCATATCCCACAGCAAGTTTATTTTCAGAACCACTTCCTGCAACCTCCATAGCTATCTCTCAACACACAGATCTCCTTCTAGAGAGCCAGCCAAGATGGCGGCTTCTCCTTCTTATCTGTCCTTCTCCCTTGTCCTAGCTCTTCATGATTCTACATGGGCTACCATGCCTTCCTGGGGTGTGAGCCTGGCTTCTCTCTATTTGCCTCTCTCTCCTAAGCCTTCATATCTGTGTGCCCACATCACCCCCTTCCCTCAGCAGTCTGAGAATCTGGTTTGCAGATGGTCTGCTGTGGAGGCTGTCATGGAGGTGACTGGGTACATGAAGAAGAAAGAAAGAAGAAAGCAGAAAAACTTACCCATGCTTACACTTCATAAGGTGCCATAAAACCAAACACATATAAGCACTGACTACAAACAGACTTTCTAAGTAGTAAGGGCCCAGCTAGTAATATGTACATTGTAGATGATTTAATTTTGCTTCTGATTCTGTTATTGATTTCTGAGACCCAATTATTCTGAATGACACAGGATCCCTGGTTTTGATAATCAACATATCTAATAATTGGCATGGTAACAATCATAGATCTTATAAACACTCCAGACAGCCACCCTGCCCATTCCTCCCACTCTGCCACCCTTTCCTCTGTCTGAAACCCTGGGCCCCAGAAGAACCACCATGTTGCCCTCACTTGGAAAATACCTTTCTGCTTAACTTCTGCCAAGTATGAATAAAAAATTAGCAAAGGAAACAGAAGAGGCTCGAGGCTCACTCAGCACCATCAGGCACACAGAGGCAAACACCTGCCTTTCAGTCAGGTGTCAAAAAGTTCTTTCTGCTACTTTCACTCAGGTGGATCTGTTGGCAGAAGTTTCTGTCCCACCAGCCAGCTCCCAAATAACCACACAGACACTTATTATTAATTATAAATGCTCAGCCGATAGCTTAGGCTCGTTGCTAACTAGCTCTTACAACTTAAATGGACCCATTTCTATTAATTTATGTGCTGCTATGTAGCTCATGGCTTGTTACCTCATTTTCTACACATCCTGCACCCTCTGTGTCTGACTGGTGACTCTCGTTCCCAGCATTCCCTCAGTCTGGCTCTCCCTCTTAATCTTACTAAACCAATGAGAGCAACACATCTTCACCATGTACAACAGGGCTATTCCACAGCACTTCCCCATTTTGTCTAATTAAAAAGGAAGGTTTTAACTTTAACATAGTAAAATATATACAGTTATCAAGTAAGAATTACAGCTACAATATCTCACAGTCATGAAAAGCCTCAGGTTATTCTGTAGGTCTTTGAAGTGTTTGAAGACCATCTATCTATATAAATATATCTGTTGAACCTTGAAAACATACCTAATATGACTACAAGTTTGATTATTATAGCACAGATTTTTAATTATTGTTCTACCATGTGGTTTGGTACCTTTTCTCAGTATGGCATGTTCATCTCCTGCTTTCTTTGTGTCTCCTGGCAACTCTACCCTTTGTAATCTCTGCACTCTCTTTTTGTCCGTAAGCCCAACCTAACTTCTATCTGCCTGGCTATCGACCATTTAGCCCTTTATTAAACCAATGAGAGCAACAAGTATTCATGGTGTGCAAAAAAAGATCATTACATGGTTTGGATTTGTTTCCAAATTCTTATAATTCTTAGTTAAATGTGGCTGTCTACAGACTTAGCAATTATGAGCAAGTCCGCACTGGAGGTGCCCATGGAAAGTGATTAAGTCAACAAAAGAGTTGCAGGGTGGGCTCAGAAAAGAAACACCCCACCGACCACCCTGATCCATCCTTGACTTAGTGAGTAGCACTGAGCAGGCAGGGATTGGGAAGGTGTTCTAGAAGATAGAAGGAAGAACATTTTCTCGTCCCTTCATTGTGAAGGTGACTAAACTGAGGTACAGTTAAATGACACATGGAAAGTCGCATGGGTCGCAAGTGGCAGAATCAGGACTGGGAATCCTCTTCCCTAAGGAGATGGCAACTGAACTTTGTCTCACCTCTGCAAAGAGGGGCTGCCTACTTGGATGCCCAAGTTCATGGTCACTAAAGCCCTTTGCTAAGCAGAATACATGGCACCATTTGATGCTCACATTTAAGTATATTTCCATAGATGACATTGGAAGATAGGAATGGTACATATTTGAAATGTCTAAGCCAGGTAAGCAGTAAGGCAAATATTGAACTATCAGTTGCGAAATTCTGAAGTACAGCATGGCAGTGTCAGTGTTTGCAGTTGATGTTAAGTCACTGTGAGTCACTTCAGGTGATTTTGATTGGCTGTTTAGACAGAAGTTGTTATTTGAAAAAAAAAACCATATATATCACTTGAGTAGCAGCCAGTGGTCACACAAAGATACAGATGGTGACATCACAGTTTAGACTCTTTAGAAATGCAGTCATGTACACACAGCACACGCCATAGCGTCTTCGGAGTATTGTCAAGTTTCTTGGCTTCTGTGGACTGTCTGCTAACTTCTGTAAGAGAGTTGAAATCAGTGATGACTTGTCCACCCAAGAACAGCCAGAGGGATGCTTGATGCAGCTCCAAGAGGCATCTGGACATGCCCTTGACCACTGTGTGCTCAATCAGTTGTTGCACGGCCGCTGAAGAAACTTGCAGTGGCTACAACATGACATGCCTACATTCGGGGGCGGGGGGAGACTTGTAGATTTCTACAGAGAATAGCAGCATGAGAGTCAGCTGAGAGACCCTAGATGTGGGTGTGAATGCTCTCATGGTGAGTCTCCTTCACTCTCTCTCCCTCACTCAGGTCCACCACACAGCCTGAAGATCAGTGAGGTCAGGAAGAACTCCCTGGTTCTCCAGTGGAAGCCTCCAGTCTACTCCGGTCGCACTCCAGTCACTGGCTACTTTGTGGACCTGAAGGAAGCCAGTGCCAAAGATGACCAGTGGCGAGGTCTCAATGAGGCAGCCATTGGGAACAAGTACCTGAGGGTGAGAAGATGCACTGTGACTTACAGCACGTGTTTCTCTCTGTAAAGGAAAACTACTAATACTAAGCTAACAAAACCAGAGTCAATTCCATATATTCGGCTCCTTCCTGGTAAGATTCCATCCACTTGGCAGTAATTAAGGCTGGGGAAATTTTTGACGCTTGAAACTGTTTGGTGACATTTCACCTGAATTCTTTTAAATCTGGCTTTGAAAGGCATCCACCAGCTCCCTCCTCCCCCTTCCTTCCCTCCTTGCTTCGACTTATCCCCTCACGGTTTTTGTTCTGCACAATCTTAAAACATTACCACTCATTGCTATCCCCCAGAGGTGATTCTCATTCATCCTCTGGTGGTTTTTGATGGTAGCTTTTTCCTGGATGGTGCTCTTTCTACAGGGTTCACACGGGCGCTCCTGTAACTGCGGGCTCTCTGGAGTCATGCCCTGTCTCACTTCATTTCCTCTGACAAGCCTGTGCTTGCATGGACACTCGGAGCTCCTTGGCATGGGTTCACTCAGCTCCTGACCTTCACCTCACCCTTGCCACCTCACTGCCTCCCGTTCCCTTGAGTGTGCTTGCTGAACCTGTGCCTGACTGACATAGATGCTGTTTGGAAGCAACGGGTTCTCTCACTTGTGCTGACTGGGAGCCGCAAAAGAATGTTTTCCCCTGGGGTGGGGACAGAGAGTACCTGAAGACCCTAAGTCTGTAGCAGGGCAAGGAATAGGATTCCATAGCCTGTAGCTTAATTAGTGTGACTTTACCAACCACTCAAAATCTGTATACTGTATTCATACCAAATAGTTAATAACTGTATTGATAACTAGAGAGTGTGAGACAGGAGCGGATGGATGGAGGCAGAATATAATTCCTGCTAGGATTGTAGGAAAGGAAAAGAAATCCAAGAGTATGAATGCGTAGATTATGAATTAGTCATGGTGTTGTCCTTGTGCTGGCAGGCACCTGGCGATTGGTCTGTTCTTACCACAGGAAAAGCTTCTGTTCATTTCTTAGCATTACTTCTCAATGTAGAATTCAAAGTATATTAAACTCTATGCATTTAACCTGTGCCCTACATCAAGACTGAACTTTTTCAATTTTGAAGTTATCGTTTTGAAAATTCATTATCTCAGGTAGGTGTGGTGGCAAGCCTATAATCTGAGCACTTGGGAGACAAGCAAGAAAACTAGGAGTTCAAGGTCAGCCTCCACCATGTAGTAAGTTCCAGGCCAGTATGGTCTACACTAAATTCATTAGCTCCAGTGAGAGCTATCCCTGTATAATAATAATATGCTGCCATCAGAACCCAGTCCAACAGTTATATTTAAAACCTAACAGTCAAAGCATAGCTAATTTGCATTCATAGTCACAAAGGCTTTGTTTATTGACTACATGTTCCCCGGCAATGTTTTTGCCAAGGTGTGCAATATAAATGCTGTTTTAAACACTTTGTATTTTACTTTCAGACCAAAGACTAAAGGTAGCTAACTCATGCAGAGCATTCACTCTGCTTTTGGAGGTGCTTAGCTTACCTAAGAGAGAGGCTGTGCGAATGGCATGGCTGGAAGGGATTTTAGCAACTCTTCCACTGACAGCTGGTACACAAAAAGGCCAGCTCTCCCACTGACTGACAGCTGGTCCACAGACCAAAGTCAAAGCCCCCTGAATGACAGAGCCAGCTCTAGAACACAAGCCCCGTTTCCTTGGTATTGTGTGAGTAATGATACCTACAGCAGAAGAGCACACCTGCTTATGTGACGTAAGACACTCAGTATTGCTAAACCTGCTTATTCCAGGTGCAAGGACTCAAAGAGGGTGTTGGCTACGTGTTCCGAGTCCGGGCCATCAACCAGGCAGGCGTTGGAAAGCCTTCTGATCTTGCTGGCCCTGTTGTGGCAGAAACACGCCCAGGTGGGTCCTTACTTCTTCATTAATATCCATCCCCAGCTTAGGCTGTCAGTCAGCAGAGGAGCATTTGACTGCCATGCACCAGAGCCAGAGTTTAACCCAAGTGCCAAAGCAGAAGAAACAAGCTGACTTCCAGAGGACCCCAGTTCAATCCCAGTACCCACATGACAGCTCTCAGCCATCTGTGACTCCAGTTCCAGGGGAGTCGACACACTCTTCTGGCCTTTGTGGGCACTAGGTACATACATGGTGCACAGACATCCATGCAGTCTAAACACCCATTCACATAAAATAAAAACAAAATTTAAAAGAACATTACAGGACTAAAGAATAAACAAACACTGTCCTTGTAAATATAATGCTATTTCTCACTCTTAGCCAAAAGTAGATACCATGTGAGTAGTCAATAACTATGCCCTTAGCATGTGACGTTCATGTATTCCCCAGAACAGGGACGGGCCAGGTTTGAAGTAGTCTAAGGAGCTACTGTGGCTAGCACCTAATCATATGGTATTCTTCCTGGACTAACCCTAAGCAAGCACCCACAGAAGACTGCTCCTATTATAACATGGTCGTTAGCTCTGATAAGGTATATTCCAATCACAGAGGGAGCTGCAATAGCCCAGGGAGTGAGCATGCCCTTACACAGATGTCGATTGTTTAGAATTTCAGCTCTGAAGTTAAACCAGAGGTCAGCACACTTTCTGTTAAGGGCGAGTTAGTACTTTCAGCTTCACAGACACATGGTCCTTGTTACAACCTTTGCCTGCCAGGGCATGAAGGCGACCACAGACTAGTACATGAGCAAGCATAGCTGTGCTCCAATAAAACCTTTTCATGTGTGTTACATAAGTGCATCATATAATACCATGCATTCTGTACACTATAGAATTTGAATTCCACATTATGTTCCCATGCTTTGAAATGCAAATCTTCTTTTGATGTTTTCTCAGCTGTTTTTTTTTTTTATGTGTTTTTGTTTGTTTTGAGACAAGGTCTCATTATGTAGCCCAGGCCGGCCTGGAACTTGCTATGTAGACAAGCTGGCCTCCAATATATGCCTCCTAAGTACTGGGACTAAAGGTGTGTGCCACCCTATCTGGCCTTAAAAATATGAAAATCATTATTGCTTTGTGGGCCATATGCAAAGAGACAACAGACCAGATTTAGGCCATCAGCCATGGTTTGCTGATCCGCGGGTTAAGCGAACAATGTCCCATGTGCATGGTTGACTGAGCTAGCGCAGCCCTCTCTCCCAGGTTCAAGGAAGCCCTCGTGGGCCCCAGAAGACAGTGTCTCCTGTATTATGAAAACCCCGTTTATAGTGCCCGTTGCTCAGTTAGTTCCTAATCACTACCCGATGATGATGGTTTCCATTCTTGTTCAATTTGTTGAAAGTCTTATTTCTGTTTACTGAGGTCGCATAGAAGAAAGCACCAGTAACGGTGAAGGGTGAAAATTATTGTCCGGTTACCTTTTGCTTTTACTCATTCTAGTGTGAGGGCCTTTGTTTCAGTGTGCCCCTATTTTCAGAAGTGAAGTGTCATATTTATTTTCCTCATGAGGAAAATGTAAACCTAGGAAACTCCTACAACTTGAAAACTCTCAACAGTGCCTTCCGAGGAACAGTCTGCCCACTACATCCATTTCTTCACAACCGCTTTCGTCTGCTCCTGAACTAGTTTGTAGATGGGTGTCTGACAAAAGTGATCTTTAAGAAGTGAGGCAGGGAGTGCCACACCTCATAGTAACCTTTGCAAAATTAAAGAGAAAGCAGAGCAATGGACATACAAAGACATCAGGACACATATACACATTTATGCATCTTATATGCATACATGCATCTTACAGGAATCAGACCCCTCAGCTGTCAAATGTGTGTATATCAATGGTACCAAATGGACATTTGTGAGTGCTCAAATGCAATGACTACCATCAGAGGGCATTTATATTAGTGTACAAGGGCACTCTCTGACTGGCAGATCAAAAGCTGTAGGTTCCCAACTTGATTAAAGGAGACTCAAATCAACCTATTTTCTCAATCAGTGCCTTCAGAGTGGCAGGCCACCAGCTGTGGCATTAGCAGGGACATCTCTCGGGGGTTGGCTATTGACCTCCTGGGTGAAAGTTCTGTGTTACTGTTTTGGAATAGGCACCAAAAGTTGCATCTATGACTAAGCAATTCTTGGACTAAAACTCTAGTCAACAGCTGCAGCACGGATACACTTGGCTACTCACGGCTTAGGAAAGAATCCTTGGGCACAGAAAGTCAGAATGCTTCCCTGTGACATTTTGGATCTGTTTATAGTCAGCAGGCATGCTCACTCTCTCAACATGAATTTCCCCAGCTGCTGCTACATGGCAGGTCCTGTATGTGCCCTGGGAGTACTGTTTATGTTTATGTTTATGGTCATGTGAGAACAACAGAGTTTATAGCTTGCTTTAGTGAAAGCTAGGACAGACATTCATAAAAATCTGCACAGCCAAATTAGGCTAGAAACTAGGATTCAAGGTTTTGCAAGTCGCTGGCTAACAAAACTTAAATGTAGCATAAAATTGACTGTATTTATTTGTTTTTACTAAGATTAAGTGTATTATTTTTGCCAGTTTTATGTAAGAATGAACAAGAGGAAGAAGGGGAGAAAAGTTATCAATTTCAAGATTTAGGGTGTGAAACTTGCAAACTTAGTTCAGAGAATACTCTGGTTTCTCTTCAGGTCATAGAAATCCTTTCCTTTTTTTATTTGTGAAGAACACCTTCGCTTGTGATACATTATTAAATTCTTGGGCAGAAAATAAAGCTTATCAAGTAACAGGGCACCACAGACCCACCTCCTGAGATGCTTCAAGTGTAATCGGGTTTCAGTTAAAAGCTCACTTAACCCTCAGAAGTCAGCAGGATCACTGGCCTCCCTTTGAAGTCTAAGATGCCACCCAGCTCCAGCTACAAAGTCTAATTGTGTTGGTAATCAGAACCCAGACAACAGCCTCAGCGTGCCTGTGGTGCCTCCCCAAGACAGCCCTTAGCGAAGGAAACCTACAGACAGAACAGGTTAGAACTACTTAGCACATTTGGTGGTGCCCAAAAGACATTTTCTTCTTGATGTCTGAAACTTTTAAACAGTATCTGCTGTTGACAATGGCATCATGCCAACAATGGAGACAGAGCCCAGGTGAGCCAGATCAGATAGGAGACAAGAGAGACCTGGCCTAGGGTGATCTGGAGGTCAGCGGGTTGGCACTGCCGTTTGTAGGTATCCTTGCCAGAGAAACACAGCAGCAAGTAGGAGAATCAGGTGATGGGAAGAGCCCAGACAGCAAGCAGGGCCTCCAGTAGGAGCAGAACACAAACAGCAGGAAGGAGATTACATTTCCCCAGAGGAAAATGCGTTGGGATTCGGTCAGCAGCCAAGGGCACCTTGCAGTTCCAGTGTCTAAAGTTCATTGGCCCAGAACCTGGTGCAGCACTGAGAAGGCCAATGTGGGCAAGGGGCCTCATGGTGGAGACTTAAGGGATCCTGAGGCAGGGGGCTGGCTTTCCCGGCTAACTCAGAGGGCTGCACTTGTGCCTGCTCCCTGACTGTCCCCTTAACCCCCACCACAGCAGTTCTCAGTGCCCCTGTTAGGAACACTGAAAGACTGACACCCACCCCACTCCAGAGAAATGAAGTAAAATTAACCAAGCCTAACTATGCATTAGACTCTGGCTCCTTCAGAAGAGGAGCCGTATCTTTTTTTTCATGTACCCCTGAGGGCTTAGCACAGAGCCTGCTATATTACATAGTAGTTAATCTATAAGATGAAAAAAAAAAGTGCTGCCATGTTAGATAGCTTTCTCGTCACTGTGACAACTATCTGACATAAACTTTAAAGGAGGAGACATGGACTCACCTCATCGTTTGAGAGGCTTTAGTTCACGTGGCAAGGAGGACACGATGAAGCAACTAACACCGTAAGGGGAAGCAGACAGCCAGCAAGGGACAGGCGACCATCTTCAGTGACCTCCATCCTCCATGTAGGCTCTGGGTTTCCCAAAGTAGTACCGTGAGCACCACCACACAAACCTCTGGGGACATTTCATACTTCAACAGTAACAGCCACCATGTTTTGAGCAGTGCGAGTCTTGCAGCATCAGAGCGTGCGCTTACTCCCAAGCATCTTTGTAACGCAGGCCTGGCTGTGAAGGATGAGATGGGAAAGGCAGGTCCAGTGGAGGCTACAGGGCGGGCGCCAAGATGACCAACCGGTCGGCTATGTGCGATAGATAACATGATAAATAACAGTGAAACGTGCCACTGATGACAGTGGCTCACCTCTGTTCAAGTCTTTCAGAGGCACGTATGTCACACCCGTGCACATACACACATGGAACAGAAGGAACTCATGTAAAAGATTGTAAAACCATGTCTAGTTATGAGGCGGGCAGGGAAGCAAACAGCTCACTAAGATACCGTCTTTTAAGTTACTCGTCTCTTTACTTATTTAGAAAAGAGAATTTTGAAGCCGTTTATGTTATCCCTGATTATTTCTTAGCTCATTCTCATCCTAGGAGTTCCTGATGCTGTCTAGAGTATCACCCGTGAGACCAGATGCCCCTGTGTCTACATTAAGGACTTTTATAGGTCGAGGTATTGACTAGGGACAGCTTTTCTTTTTCTTCAGTGTTTATTTCTAAGTTTGTGTCTGTACACATGTATAAGGGGTGGTGTGCACAAGAGCGCAGGTGCCTGGGACGTCCAAGGAAGGGCGTTGGATCTCCTGGAGTTGGAGTTACAGTCAGTTGTGAGCTGTTGTGGGGATGCTGGGAACCAAACTCAGGTCCTTTATAAGAGTAGAACATACTCATAATCACTGAGCCATCTCTGCAGCCCCAGGACAACTTTTTTTGTTTGTTTTGTTTTTTTGAGACAGGGTTCCTCTGTATTAATTTTGAGGCTGTCCTGGAACTCACTCTGTAGACCGGGCTTAAACTCACAGAGATCCGCCTGCCTCTGCCTCCCGAGTGCTGGGATTAAAGGTGTGTACCACCAATGCCTGGCATTCCAGGACAACTTTTAAAACCTTGTCAGTTCCAAATTATCTTTCATATTCTCTACTCAAATCTCCTGATATGCCAAGTGAATTTTCATGCTTTTAAACAGATTCACAAGTTGTTCCTGAAAAATCCTGAGTCATTGAAAACGGGTTCCCTTTTCCAACCCAACTTAATGGGAATGTGGGCTGGCCTAGATAAGACTATTCACAGGGAGTCCTTTCTTGACTGCAGAACAACAGAGTTGGATCTTGCTTCAGATTCTAAGTGTGAAATGAAGTAGGAGAGCTATGGCCACTAGGACAATACCTTTATTCCACTTGATGTTTATCAAAATGTTGATGTCATATGGAAGCTTTTATATACCGTGTCCCAATGAAATATATATTACAATGTTAAACTATTTTTTTTAAAGTTAGGTTTTCAGTCCAGTGCCTGGAACATATAAATATGTATAGAATATACGAAAGATGGAGTTTCTACCTTTGCCTTCTCAATAATTAAAGAACCAGAGAAACTTTTTGGAAAATGAAAATGCAGCTAAATAGTCATCTTAATAAGCTTTTACTTTTGAACCTTAAGACCCAAATAGTTCCAACTGTCTACTTGTTCTCTTTACTGCCCATTACTGAGATAAATTACTACCATCCATCATAGGTACAATTAAATTTGCGCAAGTTGAAGAAACGTCCACGCCACTCTTTTCTACTTCCTACAATGTTACCATGTGCCAACCTGACATAACTGACCAAGAAAAGCTTCACAGACAAGGAAAATGCTTAGATAGGTGAATCTGCAACTAATTCCTGCATCACTGTCTATCCTAGAAACTAGTTATTTTTAAATTGAATTTAAAACAAAGAACAACTATGTTCTTTTCCAAAATTATAAAATACCACATTTCTTAGGCTAGATGTCAGTTATAAGGTAATGAGGTAAGATTCACACATGGTAAAGGGAATACATCACTTGAGGTTTAAAATAGTATATTTGAAAGGAAATAAAAAAAGGAAACACTTCTTTTGTTTTGCTCCATACTTCATGAAAGATCAGCACTTACATTACAAAAATTAATTTCCACAGTACTTCAGTGAGTTAGTTCTGTCTTCTCTCGACACATTGAGGCAAGTAGGACATCAGCTAAACCTGGCCATCCTATCCTGACATTTAACTTGTATTTGAAACCAAATTTGGCCATTAAACCTGGTCTGAGTTTGTGCCTCAGCACCACAAAATAAGTAGATAAATAAACAACATTTGGTTTTAAGTATCCAACTGTTCTGTTTATCTGAGAGCTCACCACCAAGTCATCAGTTCTTTAATTTTCATTTTAAGACTATGAAATTCCATTTGAAAAGACTGCATGTTTCTATAAATACTTTTTGACGCAATGTACTGCACCTTATTTACTTTTCGTATGCAGCTCAGAGCCACAAGTCCTAACCATATTTGTGGCACAGAGTTGCAATGTGGTGATATCTTTACTGGTGAGAGAGTGTTTGCTTTTTTTTTTTTTCTATCTTCCTTCTGGTTGTTTTCAGTTCTTAAAGTGCATCCATTAACCTGGACGTAACCATTTAGGGTTGTCAGAACTGCCATATAAGTACATTCCAGGTGACAGTCTGGAAATCACCCAGTGTGAGCAGGGCCCTCAAAAGTGGACTTCGGTCCATGAGCGTTGGCTCTTAGAGCTGTGTGTTTTTATTTCTTGGTTTGGGTCCAGGTTCCTAGTGGGTGAGGCTTTGGAGTACAAAGGTTATCTACAGAACTGGGACAAAGGTGAAGCTGGTGGAGCTGCTCCTACGCTTTCAGTTTTGTAATTTCCTTGCATAAAAGTCTAGGCTTTATTTAGCCTTATGAGAAAAATAAATAAACCAAGATTTTGGCCCCAAAATACCTTTCTTTTATAAACTTAAGTCATGTCATTACTATAATAAACAGCAAGAGGGTGATTCCTTTTCTCCGGAAAAGGATTACAGGCAAGAAAATGATTAATATGAACAATTTGTTGTGCCTCCAAAGTAGACACTATGCAAAAAGTGAAAAAAGATTTAGTCAACACCCATCACTTCTGTCCTCATTATAGTAATACAGAGATACTAATACGCTGACTTTTGTAGTTTCACAGTGACTCTTGCAAACTCTGTGCCGTAATAGTACCTGGGCCCAGACACCAGCCTTCACTTAAATTCCAGAAAGCACATTGGTTCAGTACTTTACAACATGGGTGTGAGCATTAGTCATATGCTGTCACGGACAGAAATGAGACAGGGCCTGCAGCTTCACAAGGACCACATGGCAGATGCTTCACTGTAGGAACAAATAAGCATTTGATTGGTTGTTATTTTAGGTCACCTATGAGTCAAATATGATGATAAGCATTTCTTAAAAATATGACTTTAAAAATCTGCTAGACCTAGTGTGCTTTCTACTCTTCAAGTGGGGTAACCATTACCCATTGGGCATATATACAGATATGAAAGTTAAAGTGTGCATTGATGTCAGTAAGAACAAAAATTATGTCAATTGTCAGGACCAGGATCCAGGATCATCAGTTACTCATTGTCTCAGTTCCCTCCTGAGCATGCCTAGCAGCACTCTCCACCCCACTGGTGACTATACGGGGCAGTGCCCACAATGATGGATGGCCTTTAATGGTAGTATCTAGAGACAAAACAGTATTCCTTTGGGGAAAAGCTATAGGAAAGTTTTTTCTAATACTTTGAAAAAGAATAAAACTATATCTTTCTGAGACTAAATACAATATGCCTAATCCATTAAAACAAACCAAGTTGAGTCGATAACTGAACTTGTGCTCCTTTCAAAATGGATTTGGCGATAGATGTGTTGCTGCACAAACTTGAAATTGCCATATTGGATTCTGGTGCTTCGGTAAATCCTGTATGTAGGGAGTCACCAGAAAAGGATAGAAAGACATTAAAAAAAAACTATAGAGAAATTTCTAAGAGAAACTAGAGAGAATGAACATTGCCTACATTCTCTCACCTAAAGTTATGTCTCTCTCAAGAGAAGACTCTGTGTGGGAACTTTTTCTACTCACCCCATAACCTTATCAATTTGAAGATGTCTCTCTACATTAGGAATGACAGCAACCTAGAGGAGATTATCATAGGACCATATTAAAATTGAAGTGGAGATTTAAAATTCAAGAGATGAAATGCATGTCAAGAAGATTGATTTCTGGGTTTTAAAAGAAAATAATTGAGACTTATTTTATTTGGGAGATCCATTGAAGCAAAAGTCACAAATCCACTTTTCCTTTACCCAAGACTTTGTTCATAATGACATCTGTTTCACTCAACTTTTTCTCAGTTCCAGACAGACATGAGGGTGTGGTGTTGACTTTACACAAGAAATAAGACAGATTCATTTAATTACATGTTATGCTATGGAAGTTGAATTGAAGTGAACCCTGGGGACCTATCCCTGGCCCAGGATAGTGTCTTGAGTAAGGCTAAATAAGGGAAGGCATCTCAACACAAGCATTCTTACGTGGCTGGTTTCCGTGACAAGTCCAAATGTCTTCTTTATGATCTTCTAGGTACCAAAGAGGTCGTTGTAACTGTGGATGACGATGGAGTCATTTCCTTGAACTTTGAATGTGATCAGATGACTCCCAAGTCAGAATTCGCCTGGTCCAAAGATTACATACCTACTGATGACTCTCCACGATTAGAGGTTGAAAGCAAAGGCAATAAGTAAGGAATGTCTCTATCTAATAACCCATTCCATTTTCACTGCAAAGAACACAAAATAGGCTCCTTGCCCCCTCCTTAACTTCCTTGGAATAAGAAGATGAAGGCATAACTATGTCATTTCTGGCATTATAAAAATCCATAACCAGTATAAACCTTAAAATAATCCTACTGTACAGTTCTTGGTGTTGTAACTTAAAAAAAAAAAAGCAGTGCTTGAGAGAAAGACGCCATGCGACACGGTTCAAGCAGAGGATTTTTTTTTAATTAGGGAAAGAGATCATAACAATGGGGAAAAGGAAGGAGGGAAACCAGCCTCTGGAGACAGGAGAGAGGAGAAAGGAAAGAGGGGGGGGGAGAGAGAGAGAGAGAGAGAGAGAGAGAGAGAGAGAGAGAGAGAGAGAGAGAGAGAGAGAGAGAGAGAGAGAGAGAGGGATGGGAAGTGGGCAGGGCCCTTTTAAAAGGGAATGTAATGAGTGTGCACAGGTGGTGCTCTTAGAGGCTGCAGCTGAGGGCACATCTTGTCAGAACCCCAAGGACAGGACAGTACAGATGCCTGAACACTAACACTTGGAGTAGAATATATTTGGTTAAAGAAAATAACAACAACAACAATCAAAGTATCAACTTTTCTTCTGGTTTATTCACTTAACATTTAAATGTTTGGTTGCTCTTAAATGATACCATGACTAGTGGTGGAGCTTGTCAAAATGAGAAAACACAATGATTGATTTGTTCATTAACTCATGTACTGTGTTCCAGACACGGTCCTGGATGCCAGGGATGAAACAGAAAGCAAGGCAGAAGCCTATCTCCGAAGGCACAGGCATTACACAGGGAGATAATCCAGTGTAGTGGATCCTGAAAAGAAAAATACAGGAATAACACAGAAACACCCAGAGTCACCTGCAGTCTTCCCTATAGGAGAAAAAACTTAGAATTCCCTACCTGCTAATCAGAGAAATGTCTTCTTGTCGGATGTGTTTTATATATATGCAGCATAGCTTGGAGATGGGGTATTCATACCTGTGCCCCATCATCCTACAAGAGATCCAGAAAGTCTCCCTAGTGGGAATGGCACCAAGAGCTGCTAGCTTTGGCTCAGTGGGGCTGAGGATGTGGGTGGGAACATGACAAGTGTCCACATGACGGGAGTATCACGTACAGGGGATCAGAGACAGGGTGAGTTGACAGTCCCACAGACCATGCACAGTCTTATTTCTAAGAAAAATATTTTGTTTTGAAGGACAAAAATGACCTTCAAAGACCTCGGGACAGATGACTTGGGCATCTATTCTTGCGATGTGACAAACACTGATGGGATAGCATCAAGCTACTTGATAGATGAAGAAGGTAAGTTTAAAATTCGTATCCCTCTTAAGTCTAATGTTGCTTTAATTGTCCAGTTGTCATTAAGTGACACTTGCTTTAGTAGATAAAGGTTTGCTTTCTGTTTCTCCATACAGAAATGAAACGTCTACTTGCCCTCAGTCAGGAGCACAAGTTCCCAAGTAAGTATCCCCAGGGCAGTCACAGATTTTAGCTGTTTTACCAGAGTTCAGCTCTGCAATAGAACAAGGGACAGCTCGGATGAGACTGAGAGGAGTTTGAAGACCTATCTGATGGCACAGTCCTGTGATCTTAGTCACTTAAGAGGCGGAGACAGGAGGAAGGCAAGTTTAAAGTCTGCCTGGGCCGCAGTGTTCAAGTTCAAGGTCAGACCAGACAGCTTAACACGAATCCTGTCCTTACCTAAGAGCCGGGGTTAGAGGCAGGGGAGCCCTGAGTTCATGGTCTTTTCATGGTAGAACCTGTCCAAAATAAAAAAGTGGGGCCAAGGAGGCATGGAAGGAGAGAGAGAAGAGAGAAGAGAGAAAGGGAGTAGCCTAGTATATACAACACAAGCCACTGTCCACAGGAGAACTTTCTAGAAATGACACTTTCCTTTGCCACTTTTCTCCAGAAATCCCAAGATACTAACATAGGAAAAAGTACCCCAAGGGGCTGTAGTCATTAGAGTGCTTTCATAGCACTCACAGATGCCTGGATCGGAACCAGATGTGGTGGTACACACCTGTTATCCCAGCACTTGAAAGGTAGAGGCAGGAGTATCAGAAGTTCGAGGTCATCCTGTGCTATATAGCAAATTAGGAGGCCAGCCTTGGCTACCTGGGACCCTGTCTATAAAGAAAGCAAATGAGAGGGAGGGAAGAGACAGAGACAGAGAGAGGGAGAGGGAAGATGGGAGGAAAGGAAAAGGTGTAGAAAGAAAACACACCCCATGCCTCCTCCTATAGGGCAGTGTGGGGATCCTTAGGTGTACTGAGTAATTATGTTCTTCAATATTGACCCATGTGTTTTGGGATCACATTTGTATCTCCTGAACATACTCGTGTATATGTTTTAGGCAGATCTGTGAGGTTGGCTTGTAATAGAATACTCAAAGCTCTGAACAAAGACAATGTTTTTATACTCTCTTACTCTTGGAAAATAGGACAAGGGCCTCAATCAGAAGGAGAGCTCTTCTGAACTATTTACAAGCTGCTAAATAAAGCACCTTCCATATAAAAGTTTAAACTCCACAGCTGACACCTAAGAGAAGAGAAAGAAAATAACACCCAAAAGGCCCACTGATCTAAAACGAAACACAACCTAGTGTTTGAGAAAGCAGATTAAAGAGTGTTAAAATCTGCTCCCTCTTTTAAATTAAGACTCTAAAAGATTCCTCAATGCTTAACACATTTTTTTTTCCTTCACAACTATGGAGTTAGAGATACCAGTGCATAGCATTAATTTCATCTGTGTATTTACTAACCATAGAACTGGAAAATATTACTGTGGTTGATGTTTGAAAAGTTAATTTTGGGAACTGTAGGGAAGGTGGAGGCTTCCCTGTGTTCTGTGACCCTGTGCAAATCATCCCCATTTCCCTGGACTTTGGTTCCTTTTTCTAGGATTGGCTATTGTGACAGTGCTTAGAACCTAATAAGAAGCTGTTTCTAGGGTGCATGTTTCCATCCTCTACTCAAGCCTGATAGAAATGGAAAGAAGCACTAATCTAGTTAGTAAACACTGCTCATGTATCCAGGTAACAGCTTCCCCAACAACATTTACATTCAGGTTAAAAGATGGTGGCAAGAGAAGTCAAGGCAGCACGTGGCTGCTAAGCTCACATTACCTGGGCCTCCTGCAGTGTGATGGCCATGTAGACTTGGAGATAGGATAATTAAGTCATAACCGACTCAAGCTGTTGTCATCTACACTGAGATGTTTTCTCTTGAGTAAGCCTAAGTATTATATTGTTGCTGCTAACAGAGAGGGTGACAGCAAACTCTTGCTTCCTTGTTGGAGACCAGCTGTGACAGCATGAGAGCCCAAGGATATGTTTCAAACTCTGAGTATGAATAGCAAATCCCCAATCCCTTGAAACTGAATTTTAAACAGGACAATTTCAGTGTTTTCTTTCCCCAACCACAGTGATGACGTCACTAAAGGAACATTTTTTTCAGAGATCTGCCACCAGGGTTAAAGCAGCATATCTAATTTCTTAAGTCACACCCACTTCCTCCTGGTCAAGGGAAACATTAACTCATTTTTATTGAGATTTATTGAGATTTATAGGGTTTTAAATGTCTCATTTCTCATGGAATGTAAAATTTTAAATATTTGGTTCCCATATAGTAAATTTTCCTCTGTAAAACTATTTTTAAAAATGTTTTGAAAGCCATTAAGCATATGCCTTCAATCTACAAATAATAAGTTTGCTAGTGCAAATAAAATGCCAGAGAAGGTGATTTGGATCTGAGAAAAAGAAAAGATAAATAAAAAGTCTGAATGTAAAAACTGAAAATAACATGGCCTGCTTTGACAGCACTAATACTAAGTTGCAGTGTGGTGAGTCAGAGTAGAAGACGTAATGTCACTAACGTCCTGCCTCACAGTTCTTCATCTGTAGACATTTGCTTTTTTCCCGCCTACACAGATATTGTATTGTGTGTGCACACACAGGCATATAGCTATAAATATAGATACACTGCTGTGTGCCTCCTCGGTGTCAACACATTATATTCTGTAATTATAGGATATTGGTGAAGCAACTGGAGGAAAAAACAGATGCCAAAATAGATGACATTATAGAGCACTTGTTATAGGCCAGGCCCTTTCTAGGGCCTTTAGATGGGATGCTCCATTTGACATACACCAATCCAGAAAGCGTCCCCGTCCTGTGGTGGTTTGATTTTAGAGGTTAAGAACATGAGACCAGGGGAGCTAATAACTAGACCAGTTGCATATAGCCGATGGAGTCCAAGGGGCTGATCCAACCATGCCGGAATCTGCCTCCATTGTATGTACATGCCATGTTTGCTCTGCGCCCTCAGTGGCAATTCGTGGCGGCCTGTTTTCTTCTAGACAATATTCTTGTGACTTAGGGCACTCCAAGTCACACCACCCATGTATTGGGACCTCCATGATGGGATCCAGACTTTTCCAAAATATGCTTTCTATTCTCAAGACTTATTTATAGCAAGGGTTAGCCTCTGGTCTTCTTGAAGAGTTAGCCTCTGGTCTTCTTGAAGGGTTAGCCTCTGGTCTTGGGAACTGTCTTTTATCTGCTCCACTCATACATTCATTTACACTGGAAAACCACAGTGTTCATCAGACAAATGGAAGTGGGACAAAGATCAGCACAGAACAGCAGGGATAATTGCAGGCTCAGCTCTGTGGCCTAGACGCCATGACTCTTACTTACCATTCAGCTCTCTCAGCAGTAAACTTGGTAGGGGACAGAGAACTCACCTTCCAACCATTGACCATCACCATGTATGTTAACGTATCCTGCTGTACCACAGATAATGGTCTGACAGCCAAGCGAGGCACACAATACCCGTGTTGATAGATGAGGGCCGTAGGCTTTAGGCGGGGAGCAATGCTGAAGATCATGTTTAGCTGCAAGCAGAGTGAATCTGTAAAGATCCTATGGAGTGGATAGGGAAAGGCAAACAGGAACCTCTGCAGCTTGACTGCCCACACAGCTCGCTCCTAACAGACTTGGGGCTAGACGCTGGCCATCCTGGGTCATCTGAGAACTTTATCATTTTTCCTTGTGAATGCCCTTGAGTAATCTTGATTAAAGCTACAGTGAAGAGTCACTGATGTTAACCAGAAGCTCCCTATAGATCACTTCCCTGCTTTGACAGTTGGCACAACTATGATTCAAAAGGGGTGACAGCCAAGGCCTCTGTCCCTTAGTCTGAGGTCTCCCTATACATCCTTGCGTCTCTGGGTCTTGCAGGAAGCAGGGGTCTATATTGCTATTGGTATTGACTGTTTTTTTTTTCCACTTGTTAGAATGTCTGTATCAATATTGTTGTTTGCCAATGTAATGACTTACTATGTCTGTTCCTATTTTTCCTAGCTGTCCCAACTAAGTCAGAGTTGGCAGTTGAAATTTTGGAGAAAGGTCAGGTCCGGTTTTGGATGCAGGCTGAGAAGCTGTCTGGAAATGCCAAAGTCAACTACATATTTAATGAGAAGGAAATTTTTGAAGGGCCGGTAGGCTTCCCACCCCACCCCCTTTTTAAATTAAAATATTTATTTTAATATTTTATTTAATTTTTTAAAACTAATTTCATCCATTGTGATATATATATATATATGTTATTTACCCCTCAAATCCCCCAATTCCTTTCATGCCCTCCTACTCCCTTTTAAATTCATGAGCTCTTAATACAACCTGCGGGGTTCATTTAGTGTGGCGTGTGTGTGTGTGTGTGCGCGCGCATATGTGTATGTGCATGTATGTATGTGTGTGTTTGTGTGTGTGCATGTGTGCATACGTGTGTTTAGGAATGACTACCTGGGACTGAACACCTGTCAGAGGACTCATCCTAGGAAACGGCTGTTTCTGCCCCTCTTGGCAGCCACTGCTTGCCCACAGCTCTCATTTAGGGATGACATTTCCCCCACCTGCCTTGCCATATCAACTGGGAAGGTCTTGTTTGGGTGACCAATTGTTGAGATTTCAAGCTATTCAGAATCAATTCCCATCTAATTCATACACCCAAGCAATGTTCCTTTTTCCAGGAATAAGATTTTTTTAAACGGGCTGGAGAGATGGCTCAGAGGTTAAGAGCACAGGCTGCTCTTCCAGAGGTCCTGAGTTCAATTCCCAGCATCCACATGGTGGCTCACAACCATCTGTAATGAGAGCTGGTGCCTTCTTCTGGTGTGTAGGAATACATGCAGTCATAAAGGCTGCATACAAAATAAGTAAACAAACAAATAAATACATAAGTCTTTTAAGAAGATTTTTTAAGCAATTTGCTTGGTTGTCTAGAAATATTAAATTCTGATTCTTTGGGATTCGTTTTTATTTCATTGGGGTTATTGTCTTCAAAGTGGACTGTTTGCCCCTTCTGAGTTCTCTGTCTTTACCTCTTCACATGAAGAAATACAAGATGCATGTTGACCGAAATACTGGCGTGATTGAAATGTTCATGGAGAAGCTGCAGGATGAGGATGAGGGGACATACACATTCCAGATTCAAGACGGGAAAGCAACCGGCCATTCTACTCTTGTTCTCATCGGTGATGGTGAGAATTCCGAGGGGCTGTCAGGGGACAGTTGGCTGCCCACTTCAGTGCAAATGCCTCGTGGCTTAAATGGGGTCCCGTGACTGGAACTGTGTAATGAATTCCTGCATCAAATCACAAAATCTCGTCAATACATTCCACAGTATCCCGTTGACTTGAAATGAACATCATTACATTAAAAGAACACCAAAAGTATTCCAGACTTCCAGGCATGGCTGGACATAAATAGTTTCATATGTTAAAAAGTATGCACTACTAAATTCTCCAAACTAGGAAGTTTTAGTACAGCCAGAACTCTCTCTCTCTCCCCTCTCTCTCTCTCTCTCTCTCTCTCTCTCTCTCTCTCTCTCTCTCTCTCTCTCTCTGTCTCTCTCTCTGTCTCTGTCTCTCTGTGTCTGTCTGTCTCTCTACTATTTTAAACAATATGTGATTACTCTAAATTATTAAACTTTGGAAAGAAAAAATGTAAAAGTACTAAGTGTGTGCCAAATCTGTCAATCATATGTTATAACTAGACTGCAGAGGTCAGATGTAATAAACATCTGTAGAAACCATCGTGGTTTAAAAAGTGGCACTTTACAAGATTCGAAAAGACTGATGTCTATATTTGTAACAGCCAGTATGGTTTCATCATTTCCTAGCTTTATGACCTTGGAAAAGTTATTTAGTTCTGGGGCCTTGGAGATGCTTGGTCAGTAAAGTACCTGCCCTGCAAACAATAAGACCTGATTTCGGATCCCCAGGACCCACATAAGAAGCCTAGCATGGCAGCACACACTAATGCCATTGCTGGGGAAGCAGGGACAGGAGAACCCCTGGGGCTGGCTGGCCAGTTTAGTTAGAAATCTTTAAAAAAATTTATTATTGTTTTCAGGTGTGCATATGTGTTTCTGTGTAGGGATGTTGCAGAAGTGTGTTGGAGCTGGAGTTACGGGTGGTTGTCAGCTGCCCAGTTTTGGGTGCTTCAACTCAGGTCCTGTGCAAGAGCAATGCATGCTCTTAATCACTGAACCATCTCGTCTCTCCACCCCCAAACCCTGTCTTAGAAAATAAACTGGAGAGCTGGGTGTGGTGGTACATGGCTTTAATCCCAGCACTTGGGAAGCAGAGGCAGGAGGTTCTCTGTGAGTTCAAGGCCAGCCTGCTCTTAAATTCCAGGACAGTCAAGGCTACCTAGTAAGGCCCTGTCTTGGGGGGGCGGGGGTAGGGAGACAACAGTTAGCAAAGACACCTACACACGCACACACACTCACAAACTCACACCCACACAATGTTATTTAGTTTTCAAAGGTTGTCTCTTCATCTATAAAAATCAGAGCAAGCAGGGCCATCACAATATCTTAGTACCATCATAAAGAAAATAGGCCACACGGCATAGTGGCTGTCATGCACATTTGTGCTGCTCAACTCAATCTCACACTTCCTTGTTCTTCTATTTCCAGTTTATAAGAAACTCCAGAAAGAAGCTGAGTTCCAGCGACAAGAATGGATCAGGAAACAAGGTAAAAACAGACTTTTTTTTAAATAAAATATTCCAAGGTTATTTTTCTATAACATATTTAAATGAAAGGTACTTGCTATTATGTTCATGCTTGGTAAAATATAACTTAAAATAATAATTATTAAATATGTAGACATTAAAAATATTTTAAAACCTAAATCCATAGTTTTAAGAAAATCTGATTTTGCATTTGCAGCCAATTAAATTAATTAATTAAAAGATTGCGTATGTCATTAAAATTTCATAGGCCCACATTTTGCTGAGTACCTGAGCTGGGAAGTGACTGGTGAATGTAACGTACTGTTGAAATGCAAGGTAAGAGATGGATGCATTTTTAATATTTTGTTCAGGAGAAGCAGAGGACCTGGGTTCAGTTACACACACACACACACACACACACACACACACACACACACACACACACACGGCAGTGCATAAATGCCTGCAGCTCAGTTCTAGGAGATCCGCATCCTCTTCTGGGCTTGGTAAGCACAAGATGCACATGTGGTGCACATAAATGTATGCATGTAGACAGCTCATATGCACACGCAACACACACACACACATGCATGCAGGTCACACACACCACACATGCACACATACATGCATGCAGATCACACACAAACACACACAGACATACATACACACACATGCTTGCAGATCACATGCATATGCACACATACACACAAACGATTGCTGTGCTCAGCAAGTCCAGAGTGTTTCTAGTTTTCCATTCCAGATGGAGATTTTCAAGTTGGTTATCTTTATCAATGTTACCTAGCAACACAATAGATTCCTACAATATAGAAACCAGTTAATAGCCTTTTGTTTACTGACTCTACTATTGTTTAAACAGTATTGCTTCTTATGTTCACTTACTAGATGAACTTTTTTGGTGTGTGTGTGTGTGTGTGTGTGTGTGTGTGTGTGTGTGTGTGTTTTGCAGGGCCTTACACTCTACCACTGAGCTACATCCACAACCCAGCTGAAACTCTTTCAATGCCCCAAAACATGAATACTTTTTTGTTTTTGTTTTGTTTTGTTTTGTTTTTACGAGACAAGGTTTCTCTGTATTGTTTTGGAGGCTATCAGTCCAGCCCGGCCTCGAACTCACAGAGATCCGCCTGCCTCTGCCTCCCGAGTGCTGGGATTAAAGGCGTGTGCCACCACCGCCCGGCTAAATACTTTTGTTTATAATGAACATATTTTCTGTTGCTGTGATAAAGCACCATGAACAAGGCATCTTATAAAAGAAAGTGTTTAATTGAGGTTATGGTTCCTGAGGGTTGGAGTCTATGATGGCAGAGCAAAAGAATGGTGGCAGAAACAGTTTAGACCATGTGTGTCAAACTGCAAGCAAGAAGCAAAGAGAGCACACTGGGAATGGCATGGAGTATTCTGAAACTGCAAAGCTCACCCCCAGTGACACACCTCCACCAATAAGGCCACACCTCCTAATCCTTCCCACACAGTTCCACCAACTGGGGACCAAGTATTCAAATACATTCAAACCACAAGTAAACATTTCTCCACTTTTATCTTACAGTCATACATCTTCCTACCAGTTGTCCAATGGGGGTCTTTAGGGTTCTTTGTTTTGTTTCCCTGATTTGTATGAAGTCTTTCCTTTTTCATACAATTTTAATTTTCAAGAAATACATGGATATATTCCTCTTTGTAAAAAATAATTCAAATGTTGTAGAAAAACTTAGGCTCCCTCTAAGAATATGAAATGGTTTTATCCATCTGAGAGTTTCACTATGATATATGGATTATGATCTACATGCATCTTCTCAAACTTGCTAAGTAATTAAGTGATTAAGCCTTACTTCTTTTATACATGTATTTGTAATCTTCCTTTATCTCTTTTATAAATTCTTAGATATGTATTGGAACTTACTCATCCTGTTCATTATGCTGGAAGACTATTTTAATGCTATGGGAACTGTCTTTCTTTGGTTTTGAGATTCTGTTGTTGTTGTTTAAGCATTTACATTTGTGTATATTGCATCCTTTCTTTTCATGTCTACCCAAGAACTTTGGACTGGGGACAGGGTCTCACATGTTAGCTAGGCTTCTTTCAACCTCCTGGGCTCATGCAATCTTCTATCACCGGCACTATGGTGCTATACCATCATGCCACACTGATCCATTGGATTTTTTTTTAATTTGGAGAGTACTTTACTTCTTGGATATCTCTTGATCTAAGTGGTACATGGTGCTTTCCCTTGGCATCAATTTTAAGCTGTTTTTGCAGCAATTTAGTGTTGCACAAGCTGGCCTGATTACTGATCCCTCTACTGTTTTGAGAATGAGCCTGGCAACGGGCAGTTTCCATTCTACTCCAATTAGTCCTCTACATGCATGCAGAAAGCAGTCCCAATGCAGCATTACTGTATTTGTCATGGAAATAAGATGTTAAGACAACCTTTACCACTGGAAATAGAAATCCTATTGACTTAGGTTTATTCACTGGTGTTCTCTTTATTGTAACCCTTTCTCTACTACAGTAGTTTGAGGCTGATTTCTCTATAGATCTGTGTCTTCTGACTCTGGTTCAGTGTTTTTTTTCTAATGCCCCAATGTATTAAAAACTGCCTACCATCATAAAATGACATTTATTTCTTTATTCGAAGGAAGGTAATTATGATTCTTCCTACAGGTAGCAAATATTAAAAAAGAGACTCACATTGTGTGGTACAAAGATGAGCGGGAGATATCAGTGGATGAGAAGCATGACTTCAAGGATGGCATTTGTACCCTGCTCATCACAGAGGTGGGTGGAGCAGAAGCTAGATTCATCAGTCACCACATGCCCAAAGGACTCACAACAGCTTCCATCTAGCTGATATAGGAACACACGTATAATCCCCATAGTGGAGATACAGAGACAAGGGATCCCTGGGGCTTTGTGGCCAGCTGGTCTAGCTGAATTGGAGAGCTCCAGGTCCTAGTAAGAGACTTTGCCTCAAAAAAAAGCAAGGTTGGAGCTAGAGAGATGGCTCAGCAGTTAAGAGCACTAGTAGCTCTTCCAGAAGACCTGGATTTGATTTCCAGCACTCACATGGTGGCTCACAACCATCTGTAACTCCAGTCCTACGGAATCCAATGTCCTCTTCTGTTCACTTTATTGTAATCCTTTCTCAACTAAAATAGTTTGGGACTAATTTCTTTAGAGATCTGTGTCACTCTCCCCGGTCACAGCATACATATGATGTGCAGTCAGAACCCCCATATACATAAAATAAAAATAAAAGGTTAAAAACAAGCAAGGTAGATACGTCCAGAAGAGTAATACCCAAGGTTGAACTCTGGCCTCTACACACATGCATGTTGTATGCACATCCATGCATTACCCATATAATATACACTCATACACACATGAGCACACACACATGCATATATGTATATATGCACACACACAGACACACAAATGCAGCAGCCAGATTTTATCTATGAAAACCTGTAATATTCATTGTTTCCTCAGTTCTCCAAGAAAGATGCTGGATTTTATGAAGTTATCCTGAAAGATGACCGAGGGAAAGACAAGAGCAGATTGAAACTTGTGGATGAAGGTGACTTCCGACTGCTGGGATCTGCCTGATGGGTTCCACAGCTACCAGAGTTATGACTGGGGCTGGGCTGGCCATAGGAGTCGTGCTGTTTTGTGTCTGCCAGTTTTGGTTTAATTGAAATTCCAGCAGAGCAAACTACTGTTATTTTGCAAAATTATTTTCCATTTTGGACTTCCTAGAAATCAAAAGTGTGTTTTTGATCCTTAGAGAATTTATAGCCTGAGGGCCACTAGAAGTCTGTTTCCAATTTAAATCATCATTTTTTTTCTCTCAACTCTACAAAAATGTTATAGGATCAAAACCTTCTGTGAGGAAACATACTAAAAAAATAAGCCCATTGTTAAGGGTGGTAAGAAAGATTTATGTATGAAATTTAAGGTCTTGCAGTTATTAGCAGAACAAAGCAGTTTTCAGAGATGTACTAAGGACAGACATATCATGATACTTAGAAGATATTTATGGCCCCACCCCCCAAACCTCCAGTTCTCTTCCTAAATGCGGAAGGATTGCAGTCAACCAGCAGAAGCCTTAGAGTTTGTCTTTAGCTCTCAGAAGAGGTGAGGCCATGGTATTATTGGGCAGGGGATGGCCAAGCAACCTTGACAGTTAATTCATTAGGAACTGATGTCACAGATGTAAAGAAAACTCCTGTAATTCAGACTGAGGCTTTTCAGACTTAAGAAGAAAGAGTTTTCCAAAGCCATTCGGCTTCCTGGAGATCTTAGTGTGGTCTTTTCTAGAATGTTCATACAATATTAATTGCAAACCATTCGAGGAAAACTTAAGTCAAAACAAGCAGAAGACTTTTTAAGAGTCTTACAAAAATTAAATTACTTCATCAAAAGAAAACACTAATTAATTATCATGGGTCAACAAATTTACATTCTAATGAATGGCTATCACTAGACAGGGACTTTCTGAGAGATAACAGCTTGAAATTTGACCTTATATGGAATATGCTCATGCTAAAGTTTTGGTTATGACCCTCTATCTACAGCCTTCCAAGAACTGATGACTGAAGTATGCAGGAAGATAGGTAAGTTACTGATGGGGAGAGTGTCCTTCTGTATAGATATATGTTTCCTTTATTGATTGATGAAAGAAGCATCATTTGGCTGATAGAGGCAGGAAGATAGGCGGAGCTAGGAGACAAGGAGAATTCTGGGAAAGTAGGTAGAAAAGAGTCACCATGAGGGACCGGGAGGATAGGATGCATCAGGCATTTTCTGGTAAGAATGAGGCCATGTAGAAATACATAGATGAGTAGTTATGGGTTAATAATTAAGACAGAGCTAGCCAATAAGAAGCCCTAGCCACCAGCCAACAGTTTTATAACTAATGTAGCATCCGTGTGTTTCTTTGGAGTTGAGATGGGTGGCAGGACCTGGCAGGACAAGAGAGAATCCAGCAACGAGTTACCATTTCCACATAGCAAATACCCCAGGATGCTCCCTCCAGGGTGAGCTCACAGTTGCTTGGATTGTGCCGTTTTCTTCCCCAGCTTTGTCTGCTACAGACCTGAAGATCCAGAGCACTGCGGAGGGCATCCGGCTGTACTCCTTTGTCACTTACTACCTGGACGATTTGAAAGTTAACTGGTCCCACAAGTAAGTCAATGCATACTGACTTGCTAGGTAGACACCCCTCCACAGCCCCACCCCACTGGCCAGCAGGAGGAATGAAAACAAAATTCCCACCCCTTTCAAGTGTTGAATAGCATGGTTAGGTCTCTCCTCCCTCATCCATAATGGCTACAGTATGTCTTGTGACAGACGTATCATCATTCGTAGACACCCTTGCCGTGTGGCCTCCATCCAAGACGGCCGGGTAAAAGCCTCCTCCTTTGTTCTGCCAGCCATCCAGATCTGTGCTGCAGCCCTCTGTGTGCACAGTCAGCTCCTGTGACCTGAAGCAGAGCTGAAGCAACACGCACAATCCGTGTTCACAGCCGTTTCCCAGAGAAGTCTCATCCTGAGGAGAGCCTGGGCTTATCATTGTTGGTCACAGCAGATGGCATAATTAGGCATTAGCATCTTGTAACTTGCTTGTCCATCCTCAGAAGGCTTTGCGGACCGGTGTTTGAACTGGATTGAGTTTGAAGTCTGTCTTAATTCTAGGATGCCTTTGTGGAATTATAGAGGACATGCATCCAAATTCACCTGGAATTCCACAGGTTTCTGAATCAAACCAGACTTCTCAACTTAACCCTAACAATGTACTCAACCTCTGGGCTTCCTCGAGACATACTTGGCAGAAACAGAAAAAAAGACATAGTTTAGACATTAATTCCAAACTGTTAACAGAAGTCCTGTACCATCCCTTGAGGATACAGGTAACAATGTCTGTTTGTTTTACACCTTCCCTGGGCACTAGAAGTCCACTGGGAATTGCTACAAACCAGCAGCCACGTGAGTTCCTCCATAGCCACAGCTCTGTACAATAGGCATTCATTACTTCAGGGGAGAGGAAGCTCAAGCTTGGGAGGTGACGAATGTGGGCACACAGTTAAGTGAGCTGAGGGCTGTGCCTGGTGAGTCTGGCTCTAGGGCTAAGCTAGGTCATTATAACACACACACACACACACACACACACCCCACATGCACATATGCATGCATGCACACACATACACATGCAGCATGTACACACACACCTCCAAGTTGCATGGAAAGTTTAGAATGAGGGAGGAGAGGCTGATCATTGAGTACTGAGGTACAGAATATAGCAAGTTGTCCTTGCTGCTGGTGTACACTCTGGTGACTGTGCCGAGATATAATGCCATGCATATTTCAAAAAGCTATAGGAAAGGATTTTGAAAGCTTTCACCATAAAGAAATCACAAGCAGACCAGGTATGGTGGTGCTCACCTTTAATTCCAGCATTGGAGGCCAATGCAGGAAAATCTTTGTGAATTTGAGACCAGCCTGGTCTATATAGTGAGTCCAGGCCAGTCAGAGCTACATAAAAAAGGAAGAAAGGAACAAAGAGAGGGACAGAGGGAAGGAGGGAGGAGAGAAGGAAGGAGGGAGGGAGGGAGGGAGGGAGGGAGGGAGGGAGGGAAGAATGTGTATTTGAGAGGGTATTTTAACCTGATTTAAAGGTATACTGTCTCTTTTTGATATAAACACACACCAAGGACTGTAGTACATTTACTATTAATGTATGCATGCATGTGTATGTATGAAAATCTTATGACTGAATAAAAACATGACTGCTCCTAGTTATGATGGCAGAGAAAGTTTACTATAGATATGAGGGGGAAGACAGCCAGAGGCATCTGGAAATGTCCAGACTGAACCAGGCCATGAGAAGGGGGCCGGAGGTGAGGGGCCCTGCTTTAGTGTTTAACAGGCACTTCAGTTAGCCAATTGTCCTGAGTTTGAGACCTAATGATCCTATTAAATACAGTGGCACGCAGCTAAAATAGCATTATTTGGAAAGTTGAGGCAGAAGAACTCTAGGTTTAAGGCCAATATGGCCTACATAGGGAGCTTCCAGCCAGCTGGGCTGCATAGCAAGATGTGGAAGTCACCAGATGCTGAGGATGGTGGGTTACAGAGGCATGCCTGTAATTCCAGCACTAAAGAGGCAGGAGGATTAAACACGTAAGGGCAACTTGTGCTACAGGGTGAAACCTGTCTCAAAACAAGCAAACAAAACCAAAACAGCAGACCCGACATCACCCCATTAAAACATGTATCAGTTAAAAATTAATTTAAAAAAAGAAGCTAAGTCCCAGCACTCGGGAGGCAATTCCCAGCACTCGGGCGGCAGAGGCAGGCGGATCTCTGTGAGTTCGAGGCCAGCCTGGTCTACAGAGTGAGTTCCAGGACAGCCTCCAAAGCCACAGAGAAACCTTGTCTCAGAAAACAAAAACAAAAACAAACAAACTAAAAACAAGCTAAGGCTAGTGGTGTAGCTTGGTGATAAAGCACTTGCCTAGCATGCGCTAGGCCCTTGTTCAATCCCCAGGACCACAAAGAAGGAAGAAGAAGAAAAGAAAAGAGAAGAAAGCAAGGTGAACAGGGGAACCAGAGCTGGGGCCCGCAGAGCATTTGTAGTGTCGATTCGTATACAGGTATTTGACTGGGCCGGCAGGTGTTTTCTGAGTTCTAAAAGTAAGAAGAAGCAAAATGCCAGTGTGAAATGCTTGGGCTTTGGGCCCTTCGTTCTCTCTCTTTTCAGAAAACATTGCAGGGAAGTGATTAAAATTGAAAATAGACCCAAATCCTCGGAAATTCCTCTGTGACACCTAGGACATTATATCAGTCTAAAGAATGAGGGCAGCAAAATTAGCTGGATGTCAATTGTAGTACTGTGGCTTAGAGCCAGCGAGACGGCTCAGAAGGTAAAGGCGCTTGGACCTGAGTTCTACCCCCAGGACCTAGGTGGGAGGAACCGACTCTTAACAAATAACTGTTCTCTGACCTCCCCACACACACACAGAGATAAACAAAGTATTTCTAAGTTGTATCCTTTGTAAAAAGAATTGTTTATTCAAGGACTGGAGAGACAGCTCAGTGGTTAAGAGCACATACTTATCTTCCAGAGGATTGGGGTTCAGTTCCCCACAACATGTCAACATGACTCCAGCTACAGAGGCTCTGGCACCTCTAGCCTCTGTGGACACCTGCACTCACGTGTATATGGCCTCTCAATGCATGTACGCATAATTAAAAATAAGCCTTTTTAAAACGTATTTTTCTTTTTGAAAAAATGAGAGCATTAAAATCTATTTTAAGGAACTTACTGTTGGAGTAGAAAGGCAGGAACTTCCTACAATTTTGATCTCGTCTGCGTGAGTTTCTCAGATATTTATTTGCCTACACAAAGCTCAGAAACTAAGAATTGTATACTGTTTTTCCTCAATCTGAGAAGAAAAAACACACCTCAAAGTGGAGTTAGCCTTGACTCTGTCTTTATCTTCTTTAGCAAGTCATTCAGTTCTATGAATGTCTCTTTTAAATAAGAACAACAGAATCCATTCTGTCTGAAGTACTTGACTTATAGAAGGCTCCATTGTGGGATCCAGTCAGAGACTAAATGACTCATGCAAAACAGAGGACTGCCTTCCTGTCTGACTCTCCAAGAAATACTATCCTTCAGGCTAAGACCTGGGGTACAAGTGTGTTTCTCTACACTAGTTTTATGGCATTTGAATTGCTAATGTATTTTCAGATAGTTTAATAAATACCCTCATAGCATCTAAGTATTTATTGGAAGCTAAAATATTTTGGTGAAAAAAATTTTAAGTTCACATTGAAATTCTACTCAAGCTGTAAACTTTGTGCATGCTTTTCTGGAAAATACATTGATAGATATTAGAAAATAGAAAGATTTATAATATGATATCATCAATAGTTTTGTTAGCTCCTTTATGCACATTTAATATTTTTCTCCATGTATAACTGTAACTTTATGTGTATATATGGCAATTTTACATACTGCTTTTAAAAAATCATCGCATTTATTTTGTGTGTGTACACGTGCACACAGCACATATTTGTGTGTGTACACATACACACGGCACAGGACATGCTTGTGTGTATACACACATGCACACACCACGGCACACGTCGAGTCACTTTGTGGGAGCCAGTTCTCTCCGTCTACCACATGAGCGTGAGAGATTTACTCCAAACACCTTCACCCCCTGCACCATTTGCTCGTCCCGTACTGCGTTTTAAAATTTCCTCAAAGTTTCATCACTCTGCCACGCCCTTGTCTTGCCTAGAACAGGGTGTCTCTGCACAGTCAGATCACAGTGGCCAGGCCTGCATTTCCCTTTGCTCTCACACGGGATCACAGCACACAGCTCCCTGGTCTTGACAGCCAGTCTGCTTTGTGTTCACTTCTGACTCCACAGCCACGCATATGTTTATGTGTCCTAAGTAGCTTTGGAACGACATACGTCAATAGGTGTCATGCACAGAGAGTCCCTGCCCTTGTGTTTTTACCCACCCAGTTTGGCCACAGAACATTTGTACCAAATACAAAGCAAAACAGTATGTAGTTTGACCTCTCACCTTTAAATATTCCCTTATTCCTAGAAATAAGCTCAAGCAAAACCAAAGATAACCAGTGCCACTGAGAAGTATTGGTCTTGAAATCTACACCAGGGCTCAGGCTACTTCACTGAGTTCAGTAGATGTCCAGGCTGTCAGTTCCAGGTCCTTGGAATCCAAGTGCTTCAGGGCCCAAAATTACCCTGAGGCAGAACGGCATAAGCAGGTCTCGTGCTTTCTGAAAGCCTATGAGGGTTTGTGGTGTACCAGCTAATCAGAAACAGGAGAGATCAGCTGTGTGGGAAAGGAAGGAGTAATGACACCTTCTTCCCCCTTAACAGTGGCACCGGCATTAAGTACACAGACAGAGTTAAGAGCGGCGTCACCGGGGAGCAGATCTGGCTGCAGATCAATGAGCCCACTCCAAATGACAAAGGGAAATACGTAATGGAGCTCTTTGATGGCAAGACTGGACACCAGAAGACCGTGGACCTTTCTGGACAAGGTAGACGTGCTCATTAAAATCCACTATAGGGAGAGCCACGGTGAAATGAGGTTATTAAGCTGGTGATGTCAAAGAAGTTGGTGTGTGTGACACTTGGGTTGAGTGGACCTGTTATGATTGGCTAATCTGAGTCCCAGTCTTTTTTGGAAGCCTGACTTATTTTTAAGTTCAACTTGATTATATGTCACCTTATACGAGTGTAGGCTTCAACGGACGCAGTAACGATACGCGACACACAATTACTGAAAGTAAAGCTAAGTATTTAATGTAGAAATACTCACAAGATACCAAACAAGTAACCCAGACGATACAAGCCATTTCCTCTGCCGAACCGGAAGCCGAACTCCAGGAAAAGAGAGCGAGACTTCCTGTGCGCTGTCTTTTATGCCTTTCCCCCCCGTAACTCCCCTTAGCCATGCCCAAAAGTGGGCCTGGCTAGTGACGTAGTTCCGCCTACGTACGTATACGTCTTTACGTCCAGCCGTATACGTCTTTAGTCCTGCCTAAAGTGGGTGTGGTTAGCGGTGTGGTAAACCGCCCTTTTATTACCTCATCTGTATGCTACTCTAATAAGTCACATGTTTAATGGTGGCATCAGACTTCCTCCTACATACGAGTGAATCCATTCTGGTTAGATTTGGTTGGCTGAGGACTAGGGCCAGAACTAGGCTAAAATAATGGCCTATGATGCTTTTTATTAATAATGATTTTGGCGAGACAGTCTTAACTATCAAGAATGTAGTGGGCAGACAACCGTAAAAAGCAAGCTGGAGACAGTAAACACGGAGAGAAAGCACCACTCTGACAGGAAGTGAGAGGTCGGTTGACTCAATCACTTCCTTAAGAGCAAAGTGAGAAAAGCAATTGTGCCTGGGAACTGAAATCATCCAGTCCGAGTGGGCAGCTGCTGTGACTATGAAGACTGCATGTGAAGGGGAATCACTGGCCTGTCAAAGCTCCAAAGGCGGGTGGTGTGAGACCAGTAGTAATAATAATAATAATAATAATAATAATAATAATAATAATAATAATAATGACAAAGGGGCCTCTGTCCATAGAGAGCAGCGAGTGATCATTAAAGGAGAGCAGTGAGCAGAACCAGGAGTCTAAGTCTGAAGGGTCCCAGTGTCTTAGTGTCTGTTGAGAGACCAGGGGTTTCTGTAGAAAAAGGGGAAGAAAACAAGTCACAAGAGAAGCAAACAAAATGATTTGCAACACGCAGAGATCGAAGGTGGCACACCATCGCTGAATAAAACTTAAAAAGTTACATAAACAGCTGAAATCGCTGTGCTGTTTCTCCCCATGCCCTGGCTATGTTTCCTAAAGAATGTAAGTCTAGGTGAAAGCCACCAAAGGAGACCAGACCGACTTTCCTCCTCTCCCTGGTGCATCAAGATGCAGTCTTAGTGTCTCACAACTCTTGGTGTTTTTCAACTCAGGATACATTCACAGTGTATGTAGAGAAACACTTCCCAAGCATACCTTGAGGGTGTGTGTGTGTGTGTGTGTGTGTGTGTGTGTGTGTGTGTGTGTGTGCGCGCGCGCTCGCGCGCGCGCACGCGCACGCAGGCATGCACACATGGTGTTAATCTGAGTCCCCTGCTCTCATGACACTCCTACCTATTATGCCTACAAAGACTCACTGAAGGATCTGTAGTCATGGGAGAGACTGCAGCAAAGAGGCAAAGATCTTCTGACCCACGGTGCACCAGCGGCGCCGTGGGTTACCCCCACCCTTCATCTGACTGTGGAAATACAATAGAAACAGGGAAGCGGTAACGGGTGGAGAGGTCTAAAAGATTTCAAAAATTATTTTTAACAAAAAAGCGTACACAACTGCCTCCCTTTTAACCCTGTTTAAGACAAATGTTGTGGATCCTCTCCCCAGGGTTGCCACAGCCACCAAAGCCAAGTTAGCTTGGCCCCACTGCTCTTTATCTGCGCTCAGTGTGGGGACCGGGAAGATGTCTGTGCTGTCATCCTGGTTCAACCTGAATCTCAGGCATTTTTCAGATGAGAAAAAGTAAGGTCCAGCAACTTGAAGCCTGACTTTACACTCATTTTTTCATACATAAAATATGTAGATTAGCAATGTCCAAATATTCTCTAGACTTAAAATACGGTTCTTGGCTGGGGAGATGGCACCACGGGTGTAAGCACTGGCTGTGGAAAGTCCGACAGCCCGAGTTCAGTCCCCAGAACCCACGTGAAAAGCTGGATGTCACAGAAGACATCTGTAATCTCAGTTGTGTGCCCTGAACTGGGGCTGAGAGTGGAGACGGGAGCATTGTCTGGAAACTCCAAGGCCAGCCAGCCCGGAGTGAGCCGAGCAGCAGCAGAAAGGAAGGTGGCCAGGGAGGGTTGTATTCTGACCCCTCCACACAAGCAACACACACTCTTCACACACACATGCGAAAAAGTCATGTCTGTGGCTGTGTTTCTTGAGCCCCAAAGGAAAAGGAAGATGAAATAGAAGGATTTATCCTTTTTTTTCCCATGGTCTTCTGTCAAGTGTCTTACCCTGATGTCACAGGGAAAGGTTATTTGGAACACCAGTTCTCATCTTCTTACCTCCCTTGCCTGCACTTCTGTCTGTTGGTGAGAGGAGAGAGGAGGAGCAGGAGGTAGGAGAGAATATGAGCAAAGCCCAATGACACATACTAGGAAATGTCATAATGAAACCCATTACTTTGTGGGCTAACAAAAATGTATTTAAAAAATAAATTCAAAAAAGTACAGTCTCAGGGATCTGTCCTGTAATGGACAGCACACTGGACTTCAGGCTAGTCTCAGTGTCAATGTGACGACCATTACTCAGTGTACTCTCCTGCCTAAATGGACCAGAAAAACCTAACATGAAGACACTTGAACTGTCTAGCCCAGGAGCCTGCCAGGGATAATTTAAGCAAGAAAAAGCTTTTTCTGTTTTTCAGGGTGCTTACACATCATACCTTTATTTTTTCCTTGGGTGGGACTGATAGCTAGCTTTTTTTTGCTTAGGGTTGAAGGCCCCTGACTGAAATGAAATCTTCTAAAATCTCCTCCTCATGTTTTCTACATAGAAAGTACTTGTCTTGTTGAGAGCATCCCACCGCAATATGAAGCCATAGTCAGTCTCCTGGGAAGGTGGACAGTGACCTAACCTTGGGACTTTAATCAGCTCTGTGTACCCTTAATTCTGACTGAGACATTTTTAACTTTCTTCTTTTCTTTTAAAGCATTTGATGAGGCCTTTGCTGAATTCCAGAGGTTAAAGTAAGTTCCCCTTCCTGGCAAGTGCCACTCCTGCTCGTTCCTGGGACTCTGAGTATCAGAAAGAATGCTTTCAGCAAGCACAGGAAAAGCCCCACTTGACACTGTTAGCTGAGTTGCCAAGTCTCTGATGTGGACCATGGACTGACTTCTCTCCCAGAGTGTGTATTAAATGCAGCCCAAACTTGTGCAGGTCTTCATGGCACTCAGAGCAAATTTATAAGTGAGAGAGCAACCTTCTAAGCCTGCACTGAGGCATGCCTCTGTGTGTGTATGTTTGTGTGTGTGTGTGTGTGTGTGTGTGTGTGTGTGTGTGTGTGTGAGAGAGAGAGAGACAGAGACAGAAACAGAGAGAGACTCACACAGAGAGAAGGACAGAGAGACTACTTGAAGTGACACTAATACAACTCTTCTTTGTCTGTCTGTCTGTCTATCTGTCTCTCTCAATCACAGACAAGCTGCCATTGCCGAAAAAAGTAAGTAACTGCCTTCACACTTAGCACAGAGGCAGATTTGAAGTCAAACTTCATTTCCCAGCACAGCTACAGATAATAATGCATTTTTTTTCTTGTTGGGCTTTGTGTCACAAACCTATAATCCCTGTACTTGGGAGGCAGAGGCAGGTGGAGCTCTGTGAGTTCAAGGCCAGTCTGGTCTACATAGGGAGTTCCAGGACAGCCAGGGCTGTTTCACAGAGAACTCTGTCTCCAAAAAAAGGAAAGAGAAATAAAGAAAGAAAGAAGACAATGGATTTTCCCTCCTCTTCTTTCTTTATTTCTTTTATAAATTGTAGATAGTTCTGCATGTGTTTTCACTTTAGTCTATGTCTGTAGGAAGGTCTCCATTGTGACATCTGACTCTTGTCCTCTGAAGACATCCTATGAAATCTCTTGATTACAACCATATGATAACTATTAGTCACTTGTAGGTACAACATATGAAAAGAAAATTAAACCCAGGGAAGAAAATAAGAGTCTGAAACACTGTCATTTTTACAATGGGTAAATTCACAGAAATGAGACTGGAGAGTCACAAATGGAATGAAACAGGCCATAGAATGTGAGGCTGGTAACCACAGTGCTCATGCCAGACAGGCGGCCTCAGGGTGGGTTATAGAAGGGCTCCTTCATCATGTGCTCAGACGGTCACACCCAGAGCAAGCGTCTCGGCCAGCAGCACCAGCCCTCGATTCCAGCACCTCTCCTGTATCTATTATCTCCATCTATATACTCAGCCACAGACAGACCTGCACAGCACCACCAAGAACCAAGAAAAGGAAGCTATCCAAGGAGGGCCTCAGAGGAAGCCCACAGCTGTGCAAGTCTCGGGAACCCCCAGAGTATAGTACAACTGGTGCTCGTGACAGGGAAACCATAAAGAGGCCACACCCGACTCAGAGCCTATATGTTAAGATTTGTTCTGCTTCCTCGACCTTAGGCCTGCTGAACTACACAAGGGCTAGGGCCGGATATGACCGTGAAAATGATACAGCAGCTCTTTAGGTGACACAGTTGTCCCAAGCTGGTGCTGTAGGTGCAGCTATAGGCACCTGTGCGTGAGCAGTGAGTGAGTAGTGACTGAAGTCAGAGTCACTGAGACCTTTTCCTGTTTTGCATGCTGAAAGCAGGACTGAAACAACCACCAGGACAGGAAAAACTAACTTGGGAGATCTGTGTCATGAGGTGGTTTTGAGGGCATGATCATTGGCCCTCCTCATTGATTAACCAGAAATTCCTGTGCTTGCAGATCGGGCCCGGGTGTTGGGCGGTCTCCCTGATGTTGTCACCATCCAGGAAGGCAAGGTGAGTATAGGGTACCATTGTCCCTGCCTCCACATGGGGAACAGGCTCCAACACCCCACACTGTGTTCCTTCCTTTTGCATCCTACCATCTCTGTCTTATTCCTTCTATCTGCGCTCCTCCAGAATAGCCAGATACATGGTTCAGAGCTCAGCATTCCAGTCATAAAGTCTTGTCAGCCCAGCATCAGGATGAAAGTTTGCCTTGTGATGCTAAATGTAGGCCACTTCTCCAGAGGCACACTTAAAATCCAACAGAAGCCATTAGGTTGTGTGAAAATGAACCTGAAAACATTCACTCATAGCCCTGTAACAAAGAAGAAAGAAATTATTCCAGCACACACTGAAAGGTGGCCCACGTTATTAAGAGTCTCATGGCTACAGGGAACACACTGCCTTGTGAGTTTCTATCCGCGCCATCTCCGATGAAAACCAACTCCTCTCCATTTGGATTTAAACTGGTGTTTCCGTGATTACATGATGCCTGTAATCAAAGAACTCAGCAGGGTGATCTCAGTTGGAAAGGACGGGCATTAGTTTTCTACAGAGCTTCCAATGTTTAGGGTTTAAGTTCTATCAGGAAGATATTTAAAAGAACACTCTTTTCCTAGCAAGGCAAACTTCATCCCTAGTCAAGATTATGTAATTCAGCATCGCTAGCCATGGAGAAGGGGACGAAAGACACAGTGAAATATAACACACATACCTGAACTGCAGTGATAAGCAACGTGCAACAAAAATGCAAACAGTGGCAAGCATGGGCAGAGATGGGGGAAAACTGAATTACTAATACATCGTTGTCAGGAATGAAAGCCAAAATTTAATCATCTCTTAGCAAAAGAGCCTGGCAATTCTCGGGAGAAAAATGAATCATACATTTATCATACATCCCAGCGACTGCACCTGGGCGTTTAGCCCAAAGAGATGGGATTGTTAAATAAGGGCCCGGACTCTGTCTTCATAATAGCCCCCAAAACTGGAAACAGGTACACGTGACCCTTAGCACATCACTAGCCAGCAATGAAGGACAGCATGGGTGGGTCTGCAGGGAATCATGCTGACAAAAAGAAGCAGTCCGGAAAGTTTGCATACTGTAGATTATGTTTATGTAACATTTTTGAAATGACTTTTTATAAATGGAAAAAAGGAGTAGCAGTTGCTGGAGATTGAGAACAGAGTTGACAATCAAAACGTGAAGATGTGGGGCACAGTCCCAGTGGATTATGTGTATAACACAACTCCCACACCTAAGGTTGGGGAATCGCGGGGGGGGATGACAGTAAGAGCCAGAGGAGCCGGGAATCTGCTGCGAGACTGTGCCTGCTGCTGTCATCAGAAGCTACACCCATGAAGCCTCCCTGCATGACTGCCTAAACATGAGCTGAACAAGGACGACATCCATGAGACCCAACAAGAGAACCCAACCCTACACAAAGAACTACAGGCAACTAAGGAATGCTGAGAGCCAGAGAAATCGTCTTCCCCAGGGAAGAGAAGACCAATTGGTTATCCAGTACCAAATGGTCAGCCTGAAAAATCACACATACAAGTAACATTATACAGACTGAGCTGGTTATAGTTAAGAATACACACACGCGCGCGTGCACACACACATACACACACGCACACACACCAGTATAACAACAATTAATGAAAAAAGAGGCCATGAATTTGAAAGAGAACAAGGAGGGTTGCATCAGAGGAGTTGGAAGGAGGAAAGAGAAGGGGGGAAATGATGAAATTATCCATCATCTCAGCAATTGTATTATAATCTCAAAAAATTAAAAGGTAATAAAAAAACAGGGTTGAAAAGTTGGGGTGGGCCATGCACAAAGGGAACTTGTGATGATGAAAATGTACTGACTGTCATGAGTACACAACCCTGAATGGAACACTCTTCACAAACACAAGTCTCTGCCGTACTTCTGAGAGATGCATGTGAGTGAACCTGGCCGTTTTCTTAGAGAAGCGAAGTAAAACCGCAGCCTAGAGAGAGTTTCCGCACGGCTGGGGATGTCTTACTTTAGGATGCATTTGGGCCAAGCACCTCTGTAGCTACACAGATTGGACGGGGTCCAGGGAGCTAAAGAAAGTGAGGAAGACAGAATGGGAAAATCAGTTAAATCATGTAGCGTAGCTGCTGCCGTTCCATTGCCGAGCCCTGTGACGCAAATGAGACGCAGCCGCAAGCCGGCAGTGGGTACGGAATGAGATCTCCCTACTGATACGGCCCAGAGGCCACGTCAGAGCCAAAGGCATCTTGCTGTTCATGAAGGAGAAAGTGGAGGTGGAGAGCGGGAGGGAGGTTCCTCTGAGTGGGTTGACAACAAGCTCTCAAGAACCCCCAAAGCCCTTGCCAGCCCTTACAGATGGGTGCCACTCACACGTCCCCAGAGTGTGACCTCGAGCAGGTGCCAGCGCAGAGCTACTACAAAGCCCAGCCTGGGAGCCCTGTAGCTCTCCCTCTAGACGGGCTGGATCAGACTCGTCACATGCATTCCTCCCCGTAAACCTGTCTTGCAGGCGCTCAATCTCACTTGTAACGTGTGGGGCGACCCAACCCCTGAGGTGTCGTGGATGAAAAACGAGAAGCCGCTGGCCTCGGATGACCACTGCAGCCTCAGGTTTGAGGCCGGGAAGACCGCCTACTTCACCATCTCAGGCGTGAGCACCGCAGATTCCGGCAAGTACGGTCTGGTGGTGAAAAACAAGTACGGCTCAGAGACGAGCGACTTCACTGTCAGTGTCTTCATCCCGGAGGAGGAGGCGAGGAAGGGCCCATCGGAGCCCCAGAAAGGCAACCAGAAGTCCAAGTGAGCAGAGACCGGGTGGAGCTTCGAGGAGAGCCAGGACCAGCTCACACCCACCGGGCTGCTGTTGTGGAAATGATTTGAGTTACCGACGGGTGGGGGGAGTCCCACTGTTGTCTTCCTGTTTTGTGCTGGCTTGGGAAGAAGTTATAAAAAGCCTCTTATTCATTTACACGAGGCCCCAGTTAACGACACTTTAAGGGTTTTTTTCATCTGCGGTTTGTATAGTTAAAAAAAAAATCTTAGGAAATGGTTTCAGGGATGAAGGCCAGGAAATGTGGGAGAGATGCTGAGTGAGAGAAGGAGGAGAGGGGCAGAGTTGGAAGCAGACGAAGTTTTACCTGTTAAGTTCTTAGGAGTTGTGTCTACACTTGGCGTTTGGTCGAAACGGAAGCATGCCGTTCAGGCCGTGAGTGTGGTTGGTCACTGTTACTGTAGTGGCTGTGCAGCCTGGTGATGTGGCCTCCCTCAGTGTGAATAAAGAGCCTCCTACCCTTCCTCTCCCCCCTCGTGTCTCTCTGATCCTCATCGTGTGGCTGCTTAGGTGGGGCTTCCCTGCTGCTCCCTTGTCACTGCTGTAACTCATCTTCTGACTCACACCCTTTGGGCAGAAGCAATGCCTTCTGGACGTAGTCAGATAAACCATCTAAGGTCAACCAAGGCCCAGAGTTCACTGCATATATGATCACTTAGCCTACATCTCATCATTAAGATGAGACACTCATTGATTGAAATGTGACAGCTAATTATGGCAAGATGGCATAATGCTGAAGAGGTCTCGTCTCGTGTCTCCTGTCAAAGGTGGGAGTCTTAGTCAACTTAATGCTGTAACAGAACACCCGAAACCAAGTGGCCTATAATGAAAAGAGATTAGTGTTTTTGATTTCCTTGAGGCTCCAGGGTCCAAGATCAAAGGGTTGTTTTCTGGCAAGGATGGGGCTAGAATCTTGCTAGGTGCCTTTTTGCTTCCCTGTCTGATGTCAGAAAGAAGGAAAGCAAAAGAGTGAACTCTCAGAGGACAGGATGTTGGGTCCAAACTCAGCCTTTTGTCAGGAACCTTCTCCAGAGGCAACCAAACTGTTCTACTGTGTACTCTGACTGCATTCTGAGCATGACAGAGATAAGTTTCTAGTTGTGAACACTGGAGCACGTTCAAGCTATGACAGTAAGAATGAAGCAGAGACCTCCCTATACAGGATAAATGACTCCTGTGTACACAGAGCTTTACAAGTTATGGACTGATGTTGGCTCCTATCTGATTGTTGGACATTCACTGCCCAGCTGAGTGTTGGCTGCTGTGCACTGGACACCCGAGAAGGAAGTGTTACCCGGGTCTCACTCTGGCATCCTCTCTGGTGACGGCAGTCCTCACGTCCACGTGGACTCCAATCAGGAGGCCTCACCGAAGCCCCTGGGGCTGCCTGACCTTGGCTACCCTGCTTCTGAACTAAAGAAATTTCATTTCTTTGCAAAGTCAGCAGGCTTCAGGTCCTCCGATATAGAAAAATACATATACTCTAGCATAGCTAGTTAGTGCATTTCTGGAAACCAAGTGAGGGAGGTACAGACAAAGTCTGAATTCTCCCTGCCTCAGCAAAAAGGCTCCCCAGAGGCAAGGAGACCAGAAGGAAAGGGCTACGGGGTATATACCTGGCAGGAAGCGTCTCCCATGCCCTCCAAAGAACCCACAATACATCACACATAAGCAAGGGCCAGCAGCAGAGTCTGGTGTTAGGGGACCAGTGCTGTGTGAAAGCAGAGCCCAGTGCTCTGGGACCTACTCAGGCTCAAGAAGGCATGTTGAATCACATGCAAACAAAATTGAGATAACATGTTCTGATTTCTCAAATTGTATGAGAACATGAAACCAACATGTGTTCCTACCAGGAACCCCATCATGCAGCAGAAGAACCTGATGGGTCGGGGAGGCGGGGAGGAATTCAGAATGCTTATATTCAGGGCAACATTTGTTGAGATCCTCAACAAACTGATTCTAAGACATATTCCTACCAGTACAGTGACCAAACTATATTATCCACACTGCAAACCCAGGAGCCTTTGAAGCTATTTCTAAATGGAAAAACAGAACTAAAACCATAGACCTGCTGGTATAACAATGCCGAAGTTTCCTCCTAACACATAATTCATCAGTCTGTGACCTGCTACAGGTAGGCTATTGGTATAGTCACATTGGAGCACAGTAAAATCTGTTCCTATAAAATTAACATATAATAAGGGCAATTGACAAATTCTGAAACATTTCTAAGCCCTGGAAGGTGCATCCTTGTGGATGCACGGATCAAGATTCACGGGACTAGTCTCAAAATAGGTGAATGTAACTTTATTCAGGGAGAATGCACTTACACAAGAAGCAGGTGACCGCCGCAAGTTCCAGCTCCAAGGATTCACCCAGGCTGCCCTCTGTGTCACGTCCGCACCTGTGACCACGCCACACCGCTACCTGTGCAGACTGAGTGGATATCTCACTACACATCCTTACATTTTTTTCTGTTTAAGAATTTAGAGAGATGGCTCAGTGGTTAAGAGCACTGACTGCTCCTCCCAGAGGACCCAGGTTCAATTTCCACCACCCACATAAACTGTAACCCCAGTTCCAAGGGTCCAACACTCTCACACATACATACATGCAGGCAAAACGCCAATGCACATAATTTTTTTAATTTTAAAAAAGTATCAAAATTTAGTCATTGGAAAACAGTGTTAGGACTACTCTTTATAATAAAAATTCTCTTTAATTATATTTATCAATTGATTTTTTCCATTTTAACCATTGCTGTTATCTGACTTAGAGGCTTAGACAAAACATTACCAATCAGCCTTAATTGCCTATTAAACTAAGTATGTAAATATGGAAAATTCGAGTTCTCTTAAATGTTCTCATGTTAAATATAAACCGAGATTTAAAATGATAGTCAAACCTTTTTAAGTTTAGAATCAGAAACATAAGCTATCACTAGGCTAAATTATCTAAAGCATTCCAAACACATAGAAATGAAACAGAAAAACTGGAAAAAGGGTTAAGTCCGTAAAGTACTTGCCACAAGCGTGAGAAGCAGAGTTTGATTCCTACACTGTACGAGAAGTCGGATATAGTGGTGCTCTTGCAATCCCAGCACTGGGAGGCAGAGATCCTGGGACTCTAAGAAATGTCACTGAGGTTGACCACACAGACACACACACACACACACACACACACACACACACCCTTCTGTAGCGATCTGGTTGCTGTTACGGGGCTCCAACACTTCTTAATGATCTGGGTAAAGGGCTAAGGATTTAAATGAAGATAAAGACAGTGGCTTATTCTTGCAAGGAGAATGGTATTTATTTTAACAAGAGCAGAGCATTAAATACCAATATCAGGCATGGTGGAAAACTACCAAGGTCTACCAAGGTCAGGAGCTCACATTCCCAGGGCCCTCCAGCAAAGGAGGGGTGGACAACAGGAACTTGAATTTAGGCCATAAGGATGGGCGGAAAACAGGAACTTGCATTCAGACTATACTGGGAGGAGGGGACAAGAGGTATTTTGCTAGAAGCTCCTAGTCACGAGCTGGTCAGCAGACCCCCATGGGGGAAGGGTGCAACACACCTCCACACACACCACACAAAACACACAGACTGTACAGCCGCAATACTAACTTTATACAGACAGAAACCCTCACAACAGGGACTGGAGTTTAATACTAACACCAGAAAAGGAGATGTGGACTCAGACTGTTCAAGGGGGACTGTGCAAATTTGGCTTAGGCTAAACAAAAAGGATAGTAGTAAAATTACCGCCAACTGACTGTTGAACTTGCCATCTGCCTGGAGATGGTTCTGGGGAGAGAGAGAAAAAAAATAAGATGATCCTCAAGTCTGTAATGGCTGCATGTGGGGTTCACATGTGCAGCATGGCATGGAATAGGAGCCCTGAGCCAAGAACACCCATGAAAATGGAAATGATGTCTGGAGTCCAGAGAACAAATGTGAAACGACGCCACAAGGGACTTCAGTGTCTAACCACAACGGGTCACTGTTAGGAGGACTGTCCTTGCAGGCACAGCTAGGAAACCTGGCTAAATACAAAGCAGAAAGCGCTGAGGCCTGGGCTAGCATGCGCACAGGGCTGCGATTCCTAAGGGGGCTGGGAACGAGTTGTAGCAACAGCTATGACTTCTCCAGCTGCCGGTGTGGATGGAGAGCCCTAGCTAGCTACAGCTCAGCCTCACTGAGCTCAAGAGAGGGAGATGGAAGTTCAAAGAGGTTTCGGTGACAGGAATGCCTGGGAGGCTTATTAGAGACAAGAACTGCATGGAGGCCAGAGGGCTGGAGAGACGCAGGTGGCCTGGGTGAGTTCTGAAAGGAGCCACTGGAGTGGCACAGGCAAACAATTCTTGATGACCGCTCATTGTCGCCAGCGCAAATGAAAAGTGTGACGCATGGGGGCATCGGACAGACTCCTCAGAAGTTTCTTCCTTTAACCCCAGAGGCAAATACTCCTAGACTGAAATCTGCTCCAGGTCCCAAAGCTAAAACGGGAGCTGCAGCCGTCAGGAGAGATGGCTCAGTGAGTAAGTGTGCTTGCTTCGAAAGCATAAAGATATGAGTTCAAGTCCTCAGAATTCACATACGCGGCACAAAAATCAACCGGCTCTGGAACTAACAGGCCAGAAGTAAAGGTTCCATGTCACTGGACAAACAGAACTCAAGGATTTCCTTCCAGAAGCCAGCTGTGTCCCTTGTATTGTTCTGTGTCCTTTATCTGATGCCTGCGAGGCTAATACTGGCTATCTAAACAGTGCTCAGAGCCTGTGCGCTGAAAGCCCCTTCAAGCAGCTCTTCACGCCAGCCACACAGCCCATATGTGCGGCCCACGCACGCAGCCCTGCAACCCTGCAACCCTGCAACCCTGCTGCCCTCCATCCACACTTCAGCATTCCCTGCCGGCTCACCAGGCCTGGAAAGCACCCGTGCTCACCGCCACCTGCCAACACAGGCACTTCCTGTTCCCTTACTTCCTACACAGTACAGCTCCAGTCACCGGAAAGTCACATGAGAAGTGCCCCTTTACACACACCCCCAAACCAAGGACCACGATGCCAAGAAGAGGTTTCACTATTCCATCTCATGGAAGATGAATCTGCAGAGAAGAGAAGTGAAATAATAGCTGGCTATGCTGCAATCGGAGAAACTGAAATCCGCCCCCGCCTCCCCGCCCCCCCCCCCCCCGCCCAAGGCTGCCAGTTTCTGAAGCACTGGTGCAAATGGAACCCAACTCTTGATTTCCTCCCAACTGAAGAAGAAAGCAGTTACCTCTATGCCGCGTCCTTATGTAAGATCGCATCGCCATCATTCATTTATAGTAAGCAGGGGCAGAACTCATCGGGTAAGTTGGCCCTATCCTTCACAGAGCCCTCGGCATGGCAACTGAGAACCCCCAAGCCCTTACGCCTCCCGCCCCCAGACTTACAGCAAGGCTTATATGTCCAAGTGGAAAGTTACTGATGGCTTTGACCTCTGCCACACATGCTGCTGGAAGTCAAGGAAGCAAGCTGGGTGAAGAACCGTTCTCTCTAGTGTTATCAGGGCAGGGTTCCTCGGGGAGTGTCCGGCTTAGGGGACGTGGCAAAATAGGGAGGAAAGACAGAAACATAGGCATGACCTGCTCAAATAACACCATGCCGGTGAGGAACTAGCATTTAAACGCTTTTCAATTAAAATGTTTCTTAATTGTATTTCTTTCGTTTTTCCTTCCTTCCTTTTTTGTTTTTCGAGACAGGATTTCTCTGTGTAACTTTGGCTGTCTTGGAACTCACTCCGTAGACCAGGCTGGCCTCAAGCTCAGAGACCCGCCTGCCTCTGCCTCCCGAGTGCTGGGATTAAAGGCGTGCTGCCATATTTCTTGAGGCTCACTGCTGTTAATGTACTTTCTCATCGAGGCCCCATTATAATCATTAGCATTTTTAAAAGACCTTAAATAACAAAATGTTTGAAACTGCTTCCCACTTCCACAGTACCCACAGCTGTGGAAATACACCGTGTCCCTTGTCCCAGAGAGGAAGCTGGTTATAAAGACATCATTCAGAATGAGAGTCAAACTCCGGGAACTCCCTTTAAAGGAAATGGGAGAAACAAAATCAGAATGCATTTACTTCTGCCAGCTTTTAAATACTTTAAGAACCAGCAAGATGGTCCAGCGGGTAAAAGTGCTTGGCATGAGTCATGTGACAAACTTTTCCTAGGGGAGTTGCAGCACATAGTCTGCTCACCACCAGACAGGGAAGCCATGACAGGACAAAGCACAGATAGCACCAAAGTCAAAAGTCCCTGGTGATCCAGTGAACTTTGCTGAGATTACTTCTGAGAATATAGGCAAGGGGCAACTCATAGGAGCAAAATGACAGCTGTACCACCAAAGCCCACCCCAGCATGGGCGACAGCACACAAAGCCAGGAACCTGGAGCACACTGCATACACAGCCTGCAGGCAGCTCAACAGGTTGCACAGTGCCCTTTCCAGGCGCCTCAGATGGTCTGAACCTCTTCCAAGCAGCTCTAGCTTGGCTGGTTTCTGCTTCTTTCAGGCAACTGGTGTGGCCTGAGTTGTCCGAGCTTGGCAGGGAGGAGCCTGGTGAATCTGATCAATTTCAGGGACTGGGACTTCCTGAAGATATTTTGAGTCGTGTAACCTTCCTGTTCAAAGGAGAGAGTGTTTCAATTTGGGGAGGAAACTGGTCCACAAGAGCAGGTAAACCTGATAACCCGATGTTGTTTGGTCCCCATCAACCTGATTTCCATTCCATTTCACTTACTTCTTCAAAATATATTGATTGAGCAAAAACTGTGAGGATACAAAGATGAGCCGCATGGAGACTTGCCCCCGGGATGCTTGTTGAACACTCAACAGTGTAGACGGAGTGCTGCGAGACCAGGAGGGCCGTAAACTCCATCTACATAACAGTGCAGTGAACAGCTATAAACCACTTGTGAAGGAAGACACACACAAGGGAGACAGACAGGCATTCGCAGGAGGGATGCTGCAGTTGCCCTTGGGCGAGGTGAGGATGTAGGAAAAGGCAGACTCTAGGACGAGGAAGGGTTCCACAGGGGGTGGATCCATTCGTCCTTTCCCAGCTTTCACAGAAGATGAGTTTTGCTCTTTTGGAACCAAAAGGACAAGCCTTACCATTACAAATCACTCAGCATAAGGAAGGAACTCCCCTCCCCCAGTAGACAGATACTTCCAGATAAAAAAGTATCCAAAGGAATCATTCTGTCCCTATTAGGGGATGAATTATTTATTTCAAAATACATATACTGAACGCAACCTCTAGACTTCAGAACATGATAGTGTTTGGACATGAAGTTCTTTAAAGAAATAAAGAAGGAAAGAGCCCATCAGCTGACTGGAGAGATGACCCAAGGATTAAATGTGGCTACTACTATTCCAGAGGACCCAGGTTTAATTCCTAGCATCCAGGTCAGGTGGCTCTATACCACCTGCAACTCTAGCTCCAGTGTGATCTGATGTCTCTGGCTTCCAAGGGCACCTGCACTCACACTTGAGTTCTTACACACACACACACACACACACACACACACACACACACACACACACACACCTGCATGAGAGATCCCTGTAAAAGCCAAGGAATCTCCTCTTCTGTAACACAGAAACTAGAACATCCTAACTGGATAAGCAGTTAGTTCTGACACCCCACAGCAATGGACCTCTTGTCCTGGAAGTTTGTCTACACAGCCCAAGGAGTGTGGGCCTCAGAGAGAAAGCCAGTACTACAGATGTGTCCGTGAGCGAAAACTCAGAAACCTCACAGGAAAAGACGTCTCATGAGAAGGCATCCCGGAGGAGGCTCTTCCAGTAAGAACAGGAATTAGTGGAATAATAGAAAAGAATTTTTAAGGCAGTGTTGCGTTTAAATGCAAAACGGAGAAAGAAATGGAGCCTAAAAGGCAGGAACCAGTTGCTATAGAAGCAAGCAAGTGGATTTGGAAAGGAACATCAAAGATGTACTTACTGAAACGGGAGAAAACCTTAATAGAGAGTTGACCAAAGAACTAATTAGTGAATTAGAAAGCAAATTTAAGGAAATCGCTTATGAATCAGATTCAACATATAAAAAAAGAAAAAAACACTAGAAGATTGCCTGAGAGACATAGAATTGCTTAGAGGTTAAGAGCACTCTAGCTGCTCTTCTAGAGGAATAAGATTGAATTCCCAGCACCTACATGGTAATTAACAACTATCTGTTATTCCAGTTCCAAGGGCTCTGGAACCTCCTCAAGCACCAGGAATACACACAGTGCACAGACACACATGCCGCAAAACACCCACACGCATAGAAAAAAATAAATCTGTTAAGTGAGACATATTAGGTTGGAAGTGGTGGTGCACACCTTTGATCACAACACTCAGGAGGCAGAGGCAGGTGAATGTCTATAAGTTGAAAGCCAGCCTGGTCTACACAGCAAGTTCCAGGCCAGCCAAAAAAGCCATATGGTGAGGCCATGTCTCCAAAACACAACAACAACAATAATAATAATGTAATGAGACAGCCGGGTGTTGGTGGCGCACGCCTTTAATCCCAGCACTCAGAAGGCAGAGACAGGCAGATCACTGTGAGTTTGAGGCCAGCCTGGTCTATCGAGTGAGTTCCAGGACAGGCTCCAAAACAATACAGAGAAACCCTGTCTCGAAAAACCAAAAAAAAAAAATGTAATGAGACATATCAATATAAACCCAAGCAGGATTCCAGAGATGAAGAGTATACATATTATGTCTGAATTTTTAAAATCAGCAGATGTTAGATGCCATTATGCTATTTTAATTTTTCATGATATTTTCACACATTCACATATTCTGGATTTCTGACACTTGTTTTTAAATGTATGTGTGTCTATGAATGAATGACGTGTATGTGGAGATGTCTGAGGAGGCCTGAGAAGGGTGTTGGGTTCCCTGGAGGTGGACTTACAGACTATGTTGCTTAATCTGAGGGGTTTTTTGTTTTGTTTTGTTTTGTTTTGCTTTGCTTTTGTCAACGTGTCACAAGCCACCTCCTGGGAAGAAGGAACTTCAGTTGAGAAAATGCCTCCATCAGATTGCCCTGTAGGAAAGTCTGTGGGGCATTTTCTTGATTAATGATTGATGCCAGAAGGAACCCCCACTGGGAAAGTGGTCCTGGGTTGTATAACCAAGCAGCCTGAGCAAGCTATGGACAGCAATCCAGTCTGCAGCTCTCCTCCATGCCCCTGCCTCAGAGGCTCCTACTTCTCCTTCCCACCGTGAGTTGCAGTCTTGGAGTCCCTCAAGGACGGAAGGTGACCTATAAGTCAAATAAACCTTTGCCTCCCAAAGTTGTTTTTGGTCACGATCTTTATCACAGCAATCACAAGCAAACTAGGACACAGGTGGTTGTGAGACACCTGACTTGGAACTAAGGTTTTCCTGGAAAAGCACGAAGTGCTCTTAACTGCTGAGCCATCTCTCCAGCCCCGTTGCAACATTCCGTCAACAAAGTGTTTCTGTGGTCCTCTCTCCCCTTTTCCATGTCCCTAAGCCCTCTGCCCTCCCTTCATTTCATCTTCATTGCCTGGTGTACCCGTTCTTGGTCTCCTTTCCAGATTTCTAGACTTTATCTACACTTACACCTGTTTGTATGTACACGCAGACATCATTGTAGGGGGAGGGAGTTGTTTATTCAAAAATATGGTTCGGTATCATGAGCAGGGCACACTCGAGAGCTCACCAAAGCTCGTGTGAGGGTCAGGTGTGTGGCCTGCTCTTCCTCATCAGCCGTGGCTTCAGTGGGCCAAGAGGACATAGCTCTATTCTGAGTACGTAGTGGAGAAAAATGGATTGCAAAAGAATTCAAGGGGAAGAAAGAAGAGAGTAAAGTTGGTCTTGCATCAAAATTCAGGTAAGATTTGATGACGATTTAGACTGTTGTTAGCGATAGAGATGGAGAAAAATAGACGAATTTGAAATACAATTTGAGGTTACAGATTTGCTAATTCAAGTCTAGGGAGATAATTCAGCCAGGAAAATATGCTAACATTGCATGCATGAGAACCTGGGTGTGAGCCGTAGAGGCCAGGCACAGTAAGTAGCACACACTTGTAATCAAGGTGGACACAGGCAGATCCCTGGGCTCACTGGCCAGCAAGCCTAGTGCACTTAATGAGATCCAGGATGATAAGGGATCACGAAACAAAAAGATAAGGGGGACCCTGAGGAAAAGTGCCCAAGGCACTTAGGGTGTTACTGCTGTGTAGAGACACCACGACCACAGAAACTCTTATAAAGGGAAACATTTAATTGGATATGGCTTGGAGTTCAAAGATTTAGTCCGTTATCGTCATGATAACAAGCATGGTGGCATGCAGCAGACATGGTGCTGGAGAAGGAGCTGAGAGTTCTACATGCAAATCCTCCGGCAGCAGGAAGGGAGAGACACTGGGCCTGGCTTGAGCATCTAAAACCTCCAAGCCCTATCTGGGCAGTAGTAGCACACGCCTCTAATCCCAGCACTCAGGAGGCAGAGGCAAGCAGATTCTCTGTGAGTTCAAGGCCAGCCTGTTCTACAGAGTGAGTTGACTGTTATACAGAGAAACCCTGTCTTGAAAAACCAAATAAGACAAATAAGAAATAGAGGGGGTAGGGGCGGAAAGACCTCAAAGCACACACCCTAGTGACACACTTCCAACAAGGCCACACTCTGTAGTAGTGCCACTCCCTATGGGCTAAGCATACAAACCCATGGGTCTATGGGAGCCATTCCTATAGGGGGCAAGCCTGTTATCCCAGCACTGGAGAGAGAGAGGCAGGCAGATCTCTGTGCGCTCAAGACCAGCCTAGTCTATGTAGTGAGTTCTAGGCCAGTCAGCATTACATAGTGGGACCCTCTCTCAAAAAAGAAGGAAAAGAAAGGAATGAAAGAAACCACGAGTATATGAAACAACAGTTTTAGTTTTCCAAAAGAAAAATTGCAAAACAATACAGAGAAACCCTGTCTCGTAAAAAACCAAAAAAAAAAAAAAAGAAAGAAAGAAAAGAAGAAAATTTGATTTTGTTTGAACCAAATACGTGCAGATGGCTAACTGTTGGTCACTAATTTTAACTATTTCACTTGCTCCACTTTTGTAGTGACTGATGAGGCACCCAGCCCTCCAATGAAACGAGTATATCTATTTTGGAACTTCCTGTTGAATTGTTCTTACACAAGGGATTCTGCTAGAACAATGTTAGACTCTCTCCCTTAGGAAACAGATCCAGATATTTATAATCACTCTCCAAAAAATAAAAAAGCCTACTAGTAGAAGAAAACAAATCTTGTAGAGAGAGAGAGAGAATAAAAAGAAAAAGAAATGTGTACCAAAAAATTTTACACATATACCATTTGACACAAAATTCTACATTGAAACAATGTAGCATAATGCAGTCAGTACAAGATGTTTGAGTAAGTATGTTCATCACAATTGTATTATACCACCACCATCACCACCACACAAAAGGCTATTTTGCTACTAAGGGATGAGAGGTTATTGAAGAAAGACCCTAGAAACCTACTAAGGAAATGCTATGCACTTATTCAGTACTGACTGGGATCTTACCAAGTGAGAAAAGGTTTTGCTTTGCTTGTTTTTGTTATGGCCTCTGCACTTGCTACTGTTGGTGTTGTTCCTTTGTTTTCTGTGATGAAGTTTCAGATTTACTGTGAAGTTAAGGGTGGCCTTGAATTCCTGATCCTCCTGCCTGGGACTTCCAAGTGCTGAGATTACCGAGGTTTGCCACCGTGCCTGTCTCCTTTTGCTTTCAACTCAGAAGTACATGAATCAGTGCAGGGGACAAAAGATGAAAGAGGTATGTGTATATTAATAACTGTTATAGGTGTAGAATGGAATTGTGGAAGTTTTTATTTTTTAGTTTACTTTGATCCTTTGTGCCTTGCTATGTTTGGGGTTTAGATTTCTGTGGTTGGTTTTGTTTTGTTTTGGTTTTGGTTTTGGTTTTTCAAGACAGGCTTTCTCTGTGTAGCTTTGGAGCCTATCTTGGTACTTGCTCTGTAGACCAGGCTGGACTGGAACTCATAGAGATCCGCCTGCCTCTGCCTCCTGAGTGCTGGGATTAAAGGAGCATACCCATAATCTCTCAACTCCAAAAGCACAGTCAGGAAGACTGTATGTTTGAGGACCACCTAGGCTTCATGCAGAGTTAAAGGGTATCATGAATTAGCTAGCCTAAACATACATAGCTATCAAGGAAAATACCCAATTTTATTTTGTTTCCTGTCTGTGCAAAATGTATTCATCAACCAGTCTCAAGATTCCACTTGTGTCTTTATTAATTACAGCTGGGAAGATGGCTTGGTGGTCAAGTACTTGCTGTACAATCATAAAGACTTGAGTTTTGATCCTGAACTCATAAAATCCCAGTCAGAGGCAAACATCTGTATCCCAGCGCTGGAGGGAGCAGAGAATCATGGGAGCTGGCTGCCCGTATGGTCTAGCTAAATCAAGTTCCAGTGTAGTACTTTGAATGTAATCTCACAGGGGGTGGCACTATTAGCAGGCGTGGCCTTGTTGGAGGAAGTGTGTCACTGTGGAGGTGGGCTTTGAGGTTTCCTATGCTCAGGATACCACCCAGTGTCTCAGTCAACTTCCTGTTCCCTGCAGGATGTAGTACTCTCAGCTCCTCCTTCAGCAACACATCTGCTTGCATGCCGCCATGTTCCCCGTCATGATGATAATGAACGGAACCTCTGAAGCTGTAAGTAAGTCCCCCTCAGTTTAACGTTTTCTTGTAAGAGTTGCCATGGTCATGGCGTCTCTTCACAGCAACAGAGATCCAAACTAAGATATCCAGGTTCAGTTAGAGACCCTGCCTCAAAAAATAAGATGGAGAGCAGTAGAGGAAGACACAGGATCTGGAAGGCTGTAGAGATTTTACCCATGACCAGAGGGAACGCAGCCTCAGTAGGCACTCAGCTTGAACACACCCGGTCTAGAGAATATACCAATGAGTTTTGTGTTCCTGTCAGCTGCCCTGAAGTTCCCACCCAGCACGGAGTCTATGGCAATGAGACGTTTCCCACAATGACTTCCCGTTCCTCCCTCCTATGTCTCTTCTTCCTTGATGATTCTATGGGTCTTTCCTACCTCTCTGTCCTCTTCATTAGACTCTGTGTCTGCCTTCTTTGTGCAGAGTGGTCTGCTGGACCTGGGCCATTCATGTTCTTCACATGCGGTGGTCTGCACAGCTGACCAACCCCTCTCCTGCTCATATTGTTACAGTGTGTACAATCTGAGGGAGGCAGAAAGGAGAGCCAAGGGAAAGAAACGCCTCATATATATGTATATGTATGTATGTATATGTATATATATCATATATACTATATATATACATATATAATGTTTGCATATTATATTTTGTCAGGGACCTCCAGCCATCAGTCAGCTAGGCTGTGTCACGTATTCATAGAGAAGACGTGACACTAAGACCACCCTGCCACCTCTTCTGACATAAAGCAAATTCCAAGAAACCACCCAGTTAAAGATTAGCTTAATTAGAAAACTACAAGGTCCTCAGGAGATAGGCCTGAGCAATAGTAAATTGTAACAGATAGGATCTGATCCTGCTGTCAGGTTAGCAAACAACATAGAAGGTCCCACCCCTGACCTCATGCCCTGTAGATTAGGTTGCCAGGCAACACGGCAGACCACCTCTCCCACTGACCTCTTGCCCCTGCAGCTGCAAGTACACCTTCCCCCCCTTCCCCTCCTCACTTCTATATAAATCCCTTTGGGATGAAATAAAGTCGTAGCCTTGATCAGAATCCTGTCTTGGCATCCATTCTCGTATCCCCCTGTCCTCCATCTTTCTCCTAGGTGTCTATCAGACCCACGTCGAACGTCCTGTAGGTCGGGACAATATTTATGTTTAACTATATCTGAGGAAGAAACAATATTATAAAACTGAGTTGGGAGTTCTGTTCCTGTCTCATGTCTGTTGTTGTGATAAAGTATTCTAGCAAAAAGCATCTGAGAGGACAGGTTTGTTTTAGTGTGTCACTGCTGGGAAGTCACAGCAGCAGGAACTTGTGTAGTCACATCACACCCATAGTCAGGAGCAGAGAAGCACGTGCAAAGCCACTCCTTTGCTCATCTGTGCTCAACTCCGTTTCTCCCCGCTTGCACAGTTCAGAATGGTGCCACCACAGCGGGGCTGAGTCTGCCCACATCAATTCCCAGGTGACTCTAGGCTGTGTCCACTTGACAGGTGACGCTAACCATCACAGGGACTAATAATTTAAACTCCCAAACAACACTGACTTAAAGCACCTGGAGGCAGATGTCCCCTCCTATATCGAATTCAAGAGGCGGCTGTTTACTCTAGGCCTGGAAGAGTGACACATTGGAATTCCCAGGGACCCAGCTCTTGTAAGCCTGCTGTCCCATGTGGGACATGGCTTTGGCTCAGGAAGTCTCACCTGCATACGAGCTTAGCTGAAAAGAACAGAGAGCGAGCGCCAGGCCACACAGAGGCACCAGCAGAGTCAGAGAGAAGAGAAGATGAAGAACAGTCAAGGTCTTAAAAACAGACCTCCATCTAAGGCCTCGGTACCCTCCCAATGCTTATCACAGCTTCCTTTCGTTGTGGTAGGAGAACAGAACACAGTAGCCCCCTCTAATCTTTGGGGACTATGTTCTAAGACCACCCTCCAGTGGATGCCTGAAGCCTCAGGCAGTATACCCTCCTGTGAGAACTAAGTAGATAGTGTCCTCCATAGTTACGCTCTTCTCTATACACTAAGGCCCGTGATGAAATTTAATTCACAGAGTAGACACACTAAGAGAGTAAGTAACCACAGTAACCAGTAATAAAAAAGTAACCATAATAATACACTGGGATAAAAATTATTTAAAACTTACAAGTTGTCTGTATCTGGAGTTCTCCACTTAGGGCATTTGGAACTCAGCTGGCTGGCTGTTCACTGAAACCTTAGAAAGTGAAATCTGGGTAAAGGGGTGGGGTGGGTTGGGGGGCTGTGACATACGATACAAAATACCCAGACGGTGCCCACTGGTGGGGAATAGAAAGGCGCAGGGCAGAGGGGTCACCTCAGGGTGGACAGTCAGGTCAGTTGAGGAGACACTGTGCAGAGACTTCCTCTTGGTTTACTTCCTGCACGAGAGCTGTTTTTCTGTACTGCCTTTGCTTATTTTAGGGTTATTTAAGCCCTCCTTTCGGCATTGAGCAGACTCTCAGTACCTTAGTTCAGGCCGTAGGGTGACTGGTAGATATCCGGCTTTTTGTTCGGCTCTTCATGCATCAGGTAATGTCTTCTGCATGTAGAAACTCCAGCTTTCCACTTCCTTTCCCTTCCTCCCCCAGTCAGGCTTCATCATGCAACCTGTTTCGGTCTTTTTCTAGTTCCCGAGCGGCCTCCCTGGGGCTATTAGCCTCTGATTTTTCCACCCTTGCTGTGCCTTCTGATGAGCACTGTTAAGGGCATACCACCATGGTGCAACCCAGCCCCACCCGGCCTGGCGTTTTCCCACAGATCTATTCATAGACTTGACTCCCTCTAGGATGCATAGTGTAGCTGTAAATCTTGGCTACATCCCACAGGACAGGGTCCTCGGTCAGACAACCTTACCTTATCCCTGCTGAATCCAACCTCAGGCAGTCAGTGGGTGGCCCATCTGCACCGGTTCACCCATTCGGCAAGCAGGAACCAGACCAGACCTGCTGCTGATCCTCAAACCTTTGAAATCTGTTAACTTTGGAATTCATTGACTACACTTCCACAATAGAGGCCTTGTTTAAGGGGCTAGTTTGGGGGCATGAGCAACTCCAGGCAAATCCGTTCATGCACGAAAGCAGCAAGGGCAGACATGTGGGCCTCTCTGCCACGGGCATAGAATAGAGCTCTTCAAAAAGAATGAACAGTGCCATGATTTCCCTTCTTTCCCTATACAGGGGTTCCCCCCTTGCAAATGAGAAAGTCAGCATAGAAGACAATTCACGGTCACCAGACTGGACCAAAGATCCAGACCCTGGAGTTCCTGATGGACAGGAGATGACACACCGGCCTCTTGCCCCAGGCTGTTGCTGTCTTACTGAACATTGCAACGTAGGCATAAACTTGTACACATCACAGAGCCGAGTCTTGCTACAACACCATCAAAAGTTCTCTGTCTTGGGCTAACTGCATGTGCTTAAATCCCAGCATTTGGGAGGCAGAGGCAGGCGGATCTCTGTGAGTTCGAGGCCATCCCGGTCTACAAAGCGAGTTCCAGGAAAGCCTCCAAAACAATACAGAGAAACCCTGCCTCGAAAAACCAAAAAATAAAAAATAAAAATAAAAAATAAAAGCCATTGGGGCAGACACATATTTGGTGAGAGTCAGCTTTGTTCCCTGTTAACGGTGTTACCAACGTCCCTTTTGTGGGCCAGGGAGCAACTTCAGCGTTGTACGGTAGCAGAATCACAGAGCTAGGTAGGTGGGTTCCACATAACGCCTCTTTCTGACCGTAAGCCACCTGTAAATGGAAATAAGGACACTGTCCTGTCTCCCACATGGAGACCGAGCAAGGATTAATGAGATCACTCATTGTATAAATATCTATGGGAGAGACAGATAGAAAAAGTAATGGACAGAAGTTCTGGGGCCTGTGAGATTTCTCAGTAGGTAAAGCCTCAGCTGGGTTCCTGGGATCCACACAGTGGAAAAAAAAAAAAAAAGACTACTTCACGTTATCTTCTGACCTCCACATAAATGCTGCGGCATGTGCAGGTGTTGATGGAGTGTGGGTGAACCGAGGAGGCCTGCAGGAAGTAGAGTCAGTGGTCGTGAGAGAAGATGGGAATGTCTCTCCACCCCTCCACACAAGCTGTTTCCCCTTTCAGCTGTACTAAGGCACTGGTCTTTTGAACCCAGGGGGCTGCAAGGCAGCAACTGGCTGCATTACATGACTCAGGCTTTCTCTGTAAATGCCAGGGAGCAGACGAAGGCTAAGGGCATAGCTCAGTAGTAGGAGGCTTGCCTTGAATGCATGAGACCCTGAGTTGGATGGAGCATGCACACGCACACACACAAACACCCAAATACACAAGCCACACCACATACACACATATGCACACACACACACACAGAGCACACAACACATAGGCATGCATGTACACACATATACACACCCACCACACATGTAGCACACACAGAACACACAGCACATAGACCTTATACACACACACACACACACACACACACGGGAGTGATATAAACACAGGTCTCGATTACATTGAGTAGAGGGAGTGACATCTCTCACAAACACCCAACACCTCCCTCTATTTCGATAGCTTGGGAAAAAAAATCTCAGGTTCCCCTGACCCTCTCCTAGCTTTCAGAAGGCGCCATCGCCTGCTCAGAGAGAAGGCTTTGCCCCCAAAAGACACACAGAAAGCGGGCAGGAATGAGGCAGAAGACAAGAATCGGGGTGACAGTCTTACTCTTGAGCAGGCTTTTCATCGTCCCACTGAGACAGATGGCAGCTATCTATAAAATACCTTCTCAAGGCCTTTTTTTTATTTCCTTTTGACTTGTTGTGACAAGTGGAGTTTAGTTTTAGGCAGATAGATATATTGGATCATAATGTACCCTTAGTATTGGGATAATTAAAGCAGTGAGCTCTCCCATTCCTCTTATGTAAGAAGCATGTCTCTGAGACATGGGTTTTACTTGGCCTCTGGGCTTCTTTTTAAAATTGAGACAATATTTGTACATCTTATAATAATGCACTCCCGGTGTACCGTGTGTAACAATCAAATCGGGCTAGCAAGCCCTGACAACCTGAATACGGAGGTAAAGAAACCACCGAAATGGCTCCATGATGGGGAGCAGAGCAGAGAGAAAAGGAAGCAGACTGGACTTGGCTGGGGCTAGGGGAGTGGGGTGGAAAGATCATTCGGGGTTACAGGGAGAGTAAGTAGCTGAAGGAGGGAAGCCGGTGAACTCAGCAACCTGGGGGTTTAAGGAAGAGGAGGGAGGTGAGAAGGGCCTGGATGCTAGCATGAGGGCTCTGGAAAATATGCCAGGCACTTAGGAATAGGATCTGTAGGCGCCTAGAGGCCAGCGTGGGCTTTAGTGCGCAGCCACGGGTATATGGGGAAGCATGTTCCTCCTGTCAGAGGCAAGAGAAACAACGCCTTTTAGCAGGGGGGAGTCCATTTCACAAGTTCCTGGGAATGCTGGCTTTTATCTAATGCCATAAATCCTCCTATAGCCCAGCTAGATTCAGCTTTGAATCAGATCAGTGGGCCCTCCCCTCTTGGGGGGGGGGAGCAGGGCACCCGACACCACCAAAGTGCACCTGGGTTTGATGGTGAGGCAGATGGAGGAATACAACAGTGCTGCGTCTCAAATACAAACAGCTTCCACTAAAGAAAAAACCAGAGTTGGCTCCAGAGCAGGTCACCAAGTAAGGGAATTATTTTATTTTTCTCCCAATGTACATCACACAACTTTCAGTGTGGTCCACCTGGGGCTCACTAGCCTGAGGCAGATGCTGGCTGACCAAACATCTGGGGTTTCGGATACTTTTGGGGCTTGTCTGCCATGACAGTCCTCCTGACCCAAGAGGCGGCACCAACTCCAAACCGTCAGGTACTCAGTAAGCTCCAGCCCCTCACCGACCTCCAAACCATACAGTGCGGCGCCGGTGTCATGCAACAACCCCAGGCAGGCGTGGTGGCACATGAAACCACATCACTAGGGAAGCAGAGGTCTCTGCCGTGGAATGATCTTTCCGTACTCTGTGAGTGTGTATTGCGCTCATTGGTTGATTAAAAAAAAGCTGATAGACCAGGAGCCAGGCGGAAAGTCTAGGCGGGACAGCCAGACACAGAGGACTATGGGAAGAAGAGTCAGAGGAGATGCCAGCCAGCTGCCGAGCAAGCAGAATGAGTAGAAAATGGGGTGGCAAGCCACAAGCCATGTGGCAAAGCATGTGTGGAAATACGGGTTAATTTACATGTAAGAGTCAGCTGGTAGCAAACCTGAGCTATTGGCCGAGCATTTATAAATAATAGGAAGTCACTGTGTGGTAATTTGGAAGGAGCTGCGGGGTGGTCAGGACAGGAAAACTTCCAACTACAGTTCTCTGTGAGTTTCGGGGGCCAACCTGGTGTTCAGACCAGCAAGGACTACGTAGTGAGGCCCTATCTCAAAAAACAAAACAAAAACAAAAATAAAATAATAATGCCCTTTGAAATACATGTTTTATGTTTAGTGTGTGTGTGTGTGTGTGTGTGTGTGTGTATGCACACATATGTGCAGGTATGTGTGGAGACCAGAGGTTGTTTTTTTTTTTAATCCAGGCTTCCCCTCACTCACTCTCCACTTTAATTTTTTTGAATCTGAGCTAGCTGATTATGTAGGCTGACTGGTTACCAATTGAGCCACCTCCCCCAAACCTTGAAAATACACATTTAGTTTTAGCGAAGGGTATAATGCTCAAGTCCAGAATCCCTAATAGGGGCGACATCTTAGGGGAGCAGGACATTTCAGAATTCTAGCCATGCTGATCTGGCTGAGCCAACTGATTGCTGATGGAGATAGCAAGTAACCTGACATAAGCGTCACTCACTTTCGGCTCTCAAGAAGGATCATCATTTTACATCTTAGACCATAATCTTAGGGACACACATAATCTGTGACACGTATCACAGACGGCTGAAATTCAGTGAAAGATTGAGAAAAAAGACATGAAATTCAAGAGTAAGTATGGAGAGGAAGCTACATAGAAATATAGTCATACATAGTTTGCGTAGTATATAACATACAGAATATAGTTAATGGCAGGTTTCAGACAGCCAAGGTCAAGAGCAAGAAGGAAATAAAATGATTGTTCAGAACGGTTTCTCTATAGGACGATCATCGTAAACTGACCTGATTGGCCCCTTTGGCTTTTCTAATTTACACAAGGCAGCAATAGATACTCAGGTGTAATCTAGTTAGTGTTTAGCCTTTGAAAAAAAAATCCATGCCTTTTTTTTGGGGGGGTGTCTTTTAAATTTATATCTGGAAAGTTCCTTTGGGTTCTTTTTTTAATGTTTCAAATTTTTTCTTTTCTTTTTTTCATTCATTCACTTTTTAGACAAGGTTCCAGTCTGAAGTTCAGGGTGGCCTAGAACATGAACTGCCTCCTGCTCAGCCATCCGAGTGCAGACTTTAGAAGGAATGCTCCACCACACTCAGCTAGTTTGTTTCTTACAGAACTACGCTGTGAGATGTCAAATACAGAGTTCAGATCCCCGGCACCCACACGGTGCCAGTTAGATGTGGTGGCCCAGCTGTCATCACAGAACTCGGGGAGGCAGAGATGAGGGATCCTGGCTAGCCAAGCTAGCTGAATTGGTAAACTCTGGGTTCAAGTAAGAGATCCTGCCTCAATATACGCATGCACAGGAATTCATGTACATGTGTCCAAACATACGTGCGCGTGCGTGCACCACGGCACACATGTACCCAAAGCAAGAACAATTATTTTCTTTTGCAAGTTACCTACAAGTATATACTACTACTAATTTTTTGTTGTTGTTGTTGTTGTTTTTGTTTTTTCTAGACGGTTTCTCTGTAGCTTTGGAGGCTGTCCTGGAACTCACTTTGTAGACCAGGCTGGCCTCGAACTCACAGAGATCCGCCTGCCTCTGCCTCCCGAGTGCTGGGATTAAAGGCGTGCGCCACCAACGCCTGGCTACTACTAATATTTTTAAGAAGCCAAGAAAGTTTTCCTTCACCTTCCAACACCTGTCAGAGTTTCTGTCCTGCAGTAGGCACAGCCTTTTGTTGAGGGTCTAACTTGAATGTGTGCAGGGAAGACCTTACTTTATGAGTTTTGTGAGGGAAAGCTAGTAGGAGCCCGTACTATACTTCTCTCTGTCTGGTGCCGTATTTAGTACTCTACTAGGTACGGAAGATGTGCTGGTAAGCCAGATGTGTCAACAGGAAGAAGGATGACTTTGCAGCTTGCAAAGACAACCCAGTGAGTCAGTCCTTTCTGCTCCATTCCCAACCGGCTCCGCATGGTTATCTGGATCATTTGAACGAGTCATTCCACACCCTCAGCTGTTGTCTGCATCAGCACGTGTCACAAGGAAACAAACCTGGTGACCTAGCTGGGCCCAGTATAAAGATTAATGAGTACGTGAGAAATAGCCAGAAGTAGAACTTTATTTACGTTATAGAATAAAAAAAAATCTAAGAAATGTTTACCTTAAAAATAAGTTTTTTTTTAAACCAGGCGGTGGTGGCACACACCTTTAATCCCATCACTCAGGAGGCAGAGGCAGGTGGATCTTTGTAAGTTTGAGGCCAGCCTGGTCTACAGAGTGAGTTCCAGGACAGCCTCCAAAACAATACAGAGAGACCCTGTCTCAAAAAGCCAAAAAAAATATATATATATATATACATACATATATATATACACACACACACACACAAACACACACACATGGGAGAACGTGAGGATTTTATCTTTCAAATTTTGTAATTCCTTTTTTTTTCTTTACAGATAGTACAACTCTATTCATCTAAGTGCCACATTTTCATTACCCATGTACCTGTTGATGAGCATCCAAGCTGGGTCCATCCCTAGCCATCATGAGTATAGTAAAAATGGATGAGCAATTATCTCTATGGTAGAATATGGAACCACTGGATATGTATGCCCAGGAGAGGCATAGGTGAGTCATAGGGCAGCTTTCTTTCTTGGTTTGTTTGTTTGGGGGAATATTTGTTTGTTTGGGTTTTGTTTTTCTTAAGAATTCTTCACGCCCCAGTAGTGGCGGTGCATGCCTTTAATCCCAGCACTTGGAAGGCAGAGGTAGGTAGATCTCTGTCAGTTTGAGTCCAGCCTGGTCTGCAGAGTGAGTTCCAGGACAGCCAGGGCTACACAGTGAAACCCTGTCTCAAAAAGACAAAAACCACCAACAAAAACAAAGACTCCTTCATGCTGGGGCTAGGGAGATGGCTAAGCAGTTAAGAGCACTGACTGCTGTTCCGGAGGACCTGGTTCAATTCCTAGCACCCTCATGGCAACTCACAACTGTCTGTAACTCCACTTCCAGGGGTTCTGACTCCCTAACACAGACATACATGCCAGCAAAACACCAATGAACATAAAATAAAAAATAAATTAAAAAAATTTTAAAAAGAATCCTTTGTGCTGATTTCCATAGTTCACATTTGTGTAATAGATACATCACCCCCTTGAGAAATGTGGATTGGGTAATTGCCCCATTACCTCTGTAGCAATGATTATTCCTGTGAATGCCAATTCTGTCTCCTCTAAATGCTTCATTGCAGCCCTTCTAAACACACAGATGTAAGACTGGGAAAGTCCATTTTTCTTTTTCATCACCCCATCCGGACACGTGAGCTCCTCTCGCTCCTTCCCTGCCTCCTTCCTCAGACTGATGGAAACTCAGAGCCACTAACCACAGCAGACTAAAGACCAACATGATTCATGATGGGAGGCTGGGCTTACAAGGAAGACCACCGCTGTTTATTGATCTGCCTTGCCGTTTTATGGCTGATTTCAATGAAATGAGACAAGGAGAGCTTTAATTAGAAGTGCCCACAATTTAGAAGACATAGTGTTGTCACTAGCAGTTGCTGTAAATTAAATACTATATGTGTAAGTAAGATGTTCTGCACCTCAGGTGATACTGTTGCCATGTTCCTGAACAGAGCTTTGAGATACAAAAGAAATCTTTGAAAGGGAAACAATTTTTTTTAAAGAAATCTGTCTTGAATCCTTTTGTAAAATTTAAAGCCTTTAGCAACAAGCTACCGACTTACTCTGTGTAATCGGCATCGATTTTTAGCCCAGAAGTGAAAGTACACTGAGATTTTAGGCTTTAGGTTATTGAACTAATGAGTGCTCATTCTGTAGTGAATGCCAGACTCTGCCCTGCATTCTGGAGCTACAGTGGTGAGCAAGAGAGACAGATGCTGTCTTAATGACACGTGCAGCCTTGCAGGAGACACGCACAAGCAGAGGTGGGGGCCATGGGAGAAAATAAACAGGATGATGAGGTGAAGGGAAGGCTTTTCTGAGCAGAAGCGGCGTATGCAGAACTGGGAATCTGCTTCAGATCTGAGTAAGGCCATAGGAAAGGCTAGCCCTGGGATTCTCAGGTACACATAAGGAAAAGGATAGAGACCAGTGTGTGTGTGTGTGTGTGTGTGTGTGTGTGGTGTATGTATACTACACGTGTGTGCATGTGTGAGTGTGGTATATGTGTGGTGTGTGTGTGTATGTATGTATTGTGTGTATATGTGTAGAGTGTGGTATGTGTGTGTGTGCATGTGTAGTATATGTGTGCATGTGTATATGTGAGTGTATGTGTGTGGTGTATGCGTGTGTCTCAGTAGTTACCCTTCCATGACTGGCAACGTTCCAGAAATATAATAGGTATTTGTGGCAGAGGCCATAGCAGGAAAAGGGACAAGCACTTATAATCACTGTTTGTCATTATTTCCTAAACTCATAACAGAACTATAAATAATCGGAGGACATATTTTGGTTCTTGAGGAAGTTACAAATAAGTTGGATAAAGCAGCCATGTATACAGAAAGACAAATGAAAACAAAAATCCACATAGGTTTGGTACTGAATGGATGGTGCCAGCAGTTCTAGAAGTTCCAGACTAGGACAGATTGATAGCAATTTAGATCTTAAGTTTTGGTGTGAATTTCTTGGCTCCTAACACCAGGTCATTTGTCCCAAATGCCTTCCACTCCACTTTAGCAGACATCATTAGAAGTTCTCACTGAGAACAACACGGGCAAGTTGACAAGCCATTCTTGAAGGCAGGGCCTGTCTCCCCAGGAGCTCTATCTCCAAATCTTAAACAGGAGCAACATAAAATTTCCTCTGGGATGCTAAAAATGGACAGGGAAGAGATGCTGGCCCAACACGAAGAGCTGCCCATGCCTGTGCACACTCGTTTATGGGACCTAAGTTTAGACTCCAATCAGAACAAAATGAAGAGCCCTCTCTGCAGATTCCACATCCTCTTTGGAGTCTTTTGTACGACAATTCCAGAAACTTCCTTCCAGGGCCTCGTCTGTTTCTGGACTATTGATTTACAGAGCTGTGTTTTCTGGCACCAGATCACACAAGAATTCCAGAGAAATAAAGAAAATGCTGGACTCATAAAGTTTGGCAAAGAAGGTGCTTATCGGGTGGCCGTGCCTTCAGCCTGGGGAAGGTCCTCCTCCTCCTCCTCTTCCCCCTCTTCCTCTCCCCAAATCTAAAAATGTTTTTTTCTTGTTCACAGCCAGCTGGCCTGGCCTTTCTTATCCTGGTCCTCCTTGCCCCTCCCCTGTTTGTTACTTTCCCTTTCTAGGCTAGAACAAAGCCCGAGTATCTTGTGAGCTGTCTTGGAGGGGAGGACGCTGTGGGAGCAGAATGGGCTGTTTGCTAGTGAAGAGCTGTTCTACAAGGATCTCCCCACCCAGCTGCCCCTTTCCTTCTTTCCATGCTCTTTGGGACAAATGGGGCCTAATTCTCTGCTTAAAAGTTGATGCTAACCAAGTGGGCCATCCCTTGGGCTCAAAAATGGTCTCTTTTACTCATAAAAGACTGTGGATGGTGAAGAGATAACTAGTTAGCTCAGGGGGTGCCCTGTAGATTCACTAATCAGTTAATACTCACACAGGACTGTAAAACAGCTACTTACTTAACTCCAGGGAATATTCACAACAGAAGCATCTCTTAGCGAGGGAGATAAAAGTCAAGGGAGTAAGACTATGGACACCCCCAGGGAGGGCCTCACCCTCCCTGGGGAAATGAGGGGATAATGGAGGAGTTGGGGGGAGGGCACGGGAGGAGGGGAGGAAAAGGGAGAGGGACCTGGAACTGACTTGTGAAGCAACCTTGTTTCTAATCTAAATTTAAACTGAAAAAAAAAAAGTCAACGGAGTAGAAAGTCACCTACAAAGCCGTTCACTCCTCCCTTGTCTGGAGACGTCTATCTAACATTAATAAGCCTTTTAGGGAAATATAAGGAAGAGGGGAGGACCATGGGTAAGAGGGACTTTCATGAGACAGAAGCGAGGTGGGTGAGACAAGAGGAAGATGGAGAAACCACTCAACTGCTAATCACTTCCCTACGACAACACGGCCTCTCTCCTGGTCAGAGAGTGTGCACCTTAGCTCTGTGGAGGAGGAAAGGGAGGTTTCTTAGGGAGAGTTTAAGAGACCAGATGTCCATCTTCTCACAGCACATTCTTAAACAGAATTTGCAACAGCCCAGGCATTCCATTCCCATTAGGAGCTGTTTTGCAAAGAAATGAAGACGGTAGCCACCAATACAGGCAGTCTGAAAGAGCAGGACAGTTAAGACTCACATATCAGAGCTTTGTAGGCCAACCTCAGAATCATGGCTGCACTACAGCTGGATCCCTGAGAACTTCCACACATGCTGTGGGCAGACTCCCTTTGAGGTGAGTGCCGTTCAAAATTCCTGTCCCTCTTAACTGATAAAATGATTTCTGTCATCAATTGTTGGATTATGTAAACACAAACATTTACTGCTGAGGAGCAAAGAAATTGCACAGTGTGTGTGTGTGTGTGTGTGTGTGTGTGTGTGTGTGTGCATGCCCTCCCCTTGTGAGCAAGTGTTAGCTTCTGTTAACAGGGAGTAAATATCCTCTATGTTATTAAGCTGTTAATTTACTTGAAAAATAAAACCATATTTCTAATGGTTTTTCCAGTGAGCAGTATATTCATATTAACACACACACACACACACAGAGAGAGAGAGAGAGAGAGAGAGAGAGAGAGAGAGAGAGAGAGAGAGAGAGAGAGAGTTACAGGGGATGAACTAATAACACCTACAAGGAAAAGCCCCCAAATCGGAACAGACACACAACTGTTCAGGGCACAAGTCTGTGGCATCAGGTAGTAGGCAATATGAAGTGAGCTAAATATCTTGAGCAGGAAAAATTGTGTTTGTGCTGGAACCCAGGAACCGAGGTAGAGGTCCTTGGTCACAGCAATTTTCCTGGGCAAGACTTCTTCCTGTGACTGGGTGATGGGTCAGTATGCTGCCATGACTCAGCTTTGGGGCACTTCTTTTATAGCCCTAGGTGAAGGAGTTACATCTGGTATACTTGATAAGCCCATGGGGCTGTCTTTTGTGATATGCTTTTGATAAGCCCATATGCCCATGTCTTCCTGACTTAATTTCATAAATTCACTGACAGTAGTATTTTATTTACATGAATAGGTTATCAGTCTGAACCTAATGATCTCTTCTGGGTAGATAGTGACTGGTTACTTGCAGACTCACAAGGAGATGCTGAGTCATTCTCCTTGTGAGTCACCCAGGGCAAGGGACAGCCTGAAAGACATTATTCCATGTAGTATGAAGTAACTTAGAACAGGGCCCAGACTAGTCACCACAGCTCTGATGTCCAAAGCTTTCTGATACAGAATGGGTAGCACACGTTTTCCTCTCAACTAGCTAGTTGAAAACTTTGGTAGGCCGTGGGTGCTCCAAATAGTTATTTTTTTTTTGAAAGATTCCAGCTCAGACTTCCATAAATAGATCTGTCTACCGGGTAGGGTAACAGTAGTCTTAACTGTTGATTATGGCGTAAGCTGTCCCAGACATGCCCCCAAGGGATTGAGCTAGACAAGATGGCCATCCACAGAGATTTCAACTCCTCCAGCAATGGTTGTAACACGCTGGTCTCTGGGGATCCAATTTTATGAGCTGGTGGAAGATGCCAATGAAAATCAGAAGCTCCTGGAACAGCTAGAAGGGTAAAAGTCCTCAGGACAAAGAATCATAACCATCACTCTAAAAGAAAGCAGATGAGGGGGGGGGCCCGGATCATGGGTTCCGGGGCTTGAATATAGTGGCTTCAAGGCCAGCCTGGGCTACACAGGAAACCCTGTCTCCAAAGTAAACAGGTAGAGCTAGAGAGTTGGCTCAGTGGTTAACAGCATTTGCCAGTCTTCTGGAGGACCTGGGTTTGATTCCCAGCACACACACACACACAGCGGCCTGTAATCCTTCGCCACTCCAGTTCCGGGAAGCCTAATGCTCTCTTTTGACCTCCATGAGACAAATCACGCATAACACACCATGCACAAACATGCATTCAGGCAAAACAAGCAAACAAAATAAAATAAATGAAATGGAAGAAAGCTAAAGGAGCCAAAACTGCAGCTCAACAGCCAGCAATGCACTTGCCTAGCGTAACTGGTGCTTCAGGGTTCTACCCTCAGAGCACGGGGAGACAAACGCAGAGACCTGCGGGCACTGCACGGGAGACGTGCAATGTAAACTACTCTTAAAAGAGCTTCCATGCGTCAGCTATGTCTTTTTTGCCTGCCCGGCCCGTTTTACATATAGCTCTTTCCTCATCATTGAGGAGCAAATTGTATAACAGCCTGTTTAAAAAGAAACCATTCCTTGCAAACTAATAGAGAAATTCTTAAACGATCTGGTTTTGTTTTGTGAGCAATACCAACAAAGCTTGTAAGCTCGACATAACTTAAAAGAACAGAGATGCACTGATTTGACCCCTTTTTCTATTCTTTCAGTTACCTTAAATTTTTATTGTGAAATAAAGATGCAGTGGCCCTGTGACTGCTACAAAGTTGCCGTGTGCCCCTCTGAGACTGCAGCAACCTCCCTGCCTGAAACTTACTTATTTCTGTATGTTTGTTGAGACAGGGTCTCATGTAGACCAGGCTGACCTCAGATTTGTGGTATAGCTGAGGCTCTTCTTGAACTCTGAGTCTTCTCCTCCCAAGTGCTGGGATTACAGGCCCTTTCCCTGAAAGCTGTTGTTTACTTCACTGTTTTTCTTTCTAGTGTTTATTGCTTTTACTTTTAATCCTTTAACAACGTGTCACGGAATAGAATCTGCAGAATGGAATGCTAATCGTTCCATGCTTGCTTGCTCGAGATTTATTTCCAGATTCGTCCATGCTGACACAATCAGGTAGCGCTTGTGTGATAATACAACAGTTGGATGTCCCTCCATGCTTCTTGCTCCTTGGGCTTAGGAGAAACCCTGTTGTATATTGTTACGTGCGTCTTTGTGTGCTCTTGTGCAGTTATTCTCCAGGGCAAGAATCTAGCTCTGGGACAGCTTGTGGATGTGGACCGTCAACTTTCTAACTATGAAATACCAAACTGTTTTCTAAAATTACTACGATGTGAGGGAGCCAGCTGGTTCTACTCTGTGTGTGCAACTCTCATTGGCAGATATCCCGGGGGCTGTGATACCTCTAACATCTTGGGGTCTCCAGTATAATCCAGGCTTCATGCAGTGGCCTCCCAGAGACTCCAAGCAGGCACTCCCTGGTCATATGCCTAGACTCAGTGGCTCTCCTTAACCACAGAGAAAGATTCTACAGTTCCTTTACTGTGTATCCCTCGTAACTCAAAAGTCAGAATCCTGTGGGTAACACTGCCATGCTTGAATGCCAGCTTGGGGTGAGCCCTGGCACCCATGAATCTCATTTGCAGGACCTTTTTATTTGTTACTACTTTTCAGAAGCAGAAAATCCTTTTCCTTTCACAGGTTGGAAGCTTGGCTGAGTGGGGTCTCCCTGACGGTACTCCTCTCTTTATTCCGTGTTTTGATCAGGTCTCTCCTTAATCTTATCTTTCGGTGCAAGCCTTGGTGATGGGGAATGTCCTTCTGTGTATATGTTTCCTTTATTGGTTGATAAATAAAACACTGTTTGACTAATAGAGGCAGGAAGATAGGCAGGACTAGGAGAGTTCTGGGAAAGGTAGGCAGAGAGAGACCTCGAGGAGACACCATGTAGAGACTGGGAAGATAGGACGCACCAGGTGTTCTCTGGTAAGATGAGGCCATGTACCATGTGTTTATTTGGGCAAAGCAGTCGTGGGACCAGGCGGGACAGAAACTTGCATCTTCACTTTGACTCCAACATTAAATTTCCTTGTGCTCTTTTTTTCTCTTTAAACTGTGTATGTCGTGTTCCTTTTTGCTCTATTTGCTGTTTTCCGTTGCAGAGCTTCATAAGAGTGATTCCTAATAATCACGTAACACAGTCAACATCAGGTAGCCTTCAAATCTCCACCACTGAAGAAGTAAGTCCATTATCTTCCAATTTAGCCTCGGGCGAATGATTAGGACAAGGGTAGAAAGTAGCCATATTCTTTGCCTGAATATCCCAAGTGGTCTCTAGCTCAGTTGCTAATATGGTTCTCCTCTAAAACCTCTTGAGCTGGGGCCACCGTAGTCCGTATTGCCCTCAGAGCTATACTACTGTCTTCTAATCACCTACTGGGATGGGCTGCTAGGCTCTAACAGTGTTCAGCCGCTTTCCTACTCCGAAGTCCCAAAGTCCTTGCACTTTCCTCCACAAGCCAACACGGTAAGGTCTGTCACAGAAGTAGCCCACTTCCTGGTACTAACTTCAGTTAGTCTAACATTTCAGTTGCTGCGATAAAACACCATGAATTTACAAAAGAAAGCGTTTAAATTGGGTTTACATTCTCAGAGGGTGAGTCCGTGAGGCAGAAAACAGCTGAGAGCTCACATCTGGATCTGTAAGCATGAGGCAGAGAGCACACACTGGGACTGATGCCAGTCTTCTGGAAGCTCCAATCCTGCCCCGAGTGAACTCTTTTAACAGGGCCACACCCGCTAATTCTTCCCAGTTTTACCAGCTGGGAACCTGGCATTCAAACAAATGGGCCCGCAGGGGCCATTCTCATTCAAACCACACAGGAGTGAGGAAGGAGAAAAAAAGACAAACACATGGACATTCAAAGAGTTGGGCTAGGGCTGTCAGAGACGCCTCGGCACCCAGAAGCTCAGCGTGTATTCTGTATACAGTGAACAGAGAAGTGAGGTTATTACAGGTTTATTTTATATACAGCTGAACAAGGTGGCAGGGTTATTACAGGCAAAGAAGGAGGCAGAGTTGATGGTATACAAGCTGGACCAAGGAGACAAGTTTAGCTCATCTTGGTAGAAGCAGTCTTCAGGCTAAAATATGGGGGGTGTGGAGAGAAAGCTATGGCGGGCATTTTCTGCACATGTGGAAGGCTTTGCTGTCCTTCTGAGCCTCACTCCTGACCAGTGGTTCTCAGCCTTCAGAATGCTGCGACCTTTTAATACAGTTCCTCGTGGTGTGGTGACCCCAACCATAACATTATTTTCATTGCCATTTCGTAACTGTAATTTTGCTACTGTCATGAACCATAATGTAAATATTTTTGGAGATAGAGGTTTGCCCAAGGGGTCAGGACCCACAGGTTGAGAGCCGCTACCCTAAAGGGAAGGCTTTGCTATTTTCCCAAAGGTCTAAGGCTGAGTTTCTTGACATGGCTGCACCCATGTCAAACAATGTGCATTCATCTAAGACATTACTCACTAGGGACTTTCTCTGTTCCCCATACTAAATCAAGCTGGTTAACACAGCCATGCATGTCTTTTTAAAAATT